TGTGTTTTTTCGTGTTTGAGTTTTTCACGCCAAGCTTGTAGACGCTTCCTTGGTTCATTCTTTAACTGTAGTAATGACTGTGTTGACGGATTTTTGCCGAATGCGTCACTCTCTATGATTTGGGATTATGTGATCAGGTCCGTTTTAGTAAATTGTGTCTGGCGGTTGTTGATAGTGGCATGCGTCGTTTTTGGCTTAGACTGCATCTAGTTTGAATTATTTGCATTGTTGATCATTACTTACGCAGAATCGACAAAACAAACAGAGAAAAGCTCACAAAGTCATCCGTCGCTTCGTTGGTCCGCCGTTTGGACTTTCCAGATCAATGAGATCATCGTGGTGTACTCAGGTTCAGAGACGAGATTTTGAGAGAATTAGTCAAACTAATAACTTACAATTTATGATTGATTGCATGTCGCTAATCCACGGGTGACAATATATGGCTACTGTTGTGGAGTGTGAGGCACATTCTGTTAGCTTCGCATAGGATCTGGTGATATATAAATATTATGGGCACGATAACTCACTTCCTCTCGTTGGATCGCGTCTTCTATGTTCATGGCTGAATTTAGGTATTCACGATGGTTGATAATTCTTGCTGGTGTTGTTTGCTGTGTTTGGCAGGGGTCCTATGTATAAATACCATCATGGTTTAATGTTCTTTTGAGTGTGTTTTCAAGAATCGGGGTCGGTTGTATTTAGACATGGAATACATACGTTAACACATACCGACACTATACGTAAGAGATGATATCTTGGCAATTGTGCCCCGGTCGGTGGCGTTGTCGGTCGGATTGTCATCCTGGTACTATAAAATTCTTATCACTCTAAGACTATTTTCAGAAGTATATCGTTTCTGGACTTATTTGTCCCTAAATGTCACAATTTGTTGAGCGTGCCTGAGGTTGGGAATCGAGTGTGGAGTGTTCTTTCTTGGCTTTATACTTGTGGTTTAAGTTTTTTTATTAGGTTGATATTGTCTGTGGTGGGATTTCTTAATGTTTTTTTGGGAGCTGCGCTTGGTCACACTGTGTTTTCGTAGCTTGGGTTTTGTATATTGGTCATTTGTGGGGTTTCACTGTGGTGGTTGTTGTGTGTTTTAGTGAATGTTTTAGTGCCTCGTGGGTATTTGTAAGTGGCGTTATACTTTTACAGTCAGACCTTATACACTGTATGGTTTTGTGGATGATAGCCGTAAACTAAACATGATTTCTTATTAAGATATGCACGTCTATTAGCTAGTACAACGTTAACGCGGAAAGAAAGGATAGATTTGTATTATTAGATTAATCTGGAGTTTTTTTTAGTAATAATATGACCAGCACTGTTTGATGTTATTGCAAGTTGTGGAAATGAAGAGGCGTAACATGTCATCATATCAACCGAGAAATTTTTTTTTACTGATTGTTAGTTTGGGATCTAGTTTGGAGCTATCCAGTCTTGTATGCTTTACATCGTACAACACTTTTCTTTTATTCATCGGGGGGGCAATGACGTCAACATTTTTGAATTTTCATTTTTGTGGTGATTTCACGATTGTATTTTTGAATTTTTGATTATACTCAACCTTTGTTTCTTTTTCTGGTGGAGAGCTTGTGGAGAGGCTCAGCAGGTCAGATCAGTTGGGTAAATTGTACAAGTTTATTTTAGTTTTTTCTATACAATAAAACACCTCGTTTGTGAGATAGATAAACTTATTGCAGCTGACTCCACATCTTTACAGTGAGTTTTCTCTTCTGCTGAGACATGTGGGGGTTTGCTATAGGCCTGATTTTGAACTGGAAACTAAATGCAGACATTCATGGTGATTTTCTTCCATCACAGCTCAACAGTTTTCCTGGAGACCGTATAGTTACACATTGCCTAGTGAGGTTAAGTCTTTGTTGAATTATGCATAAGTCACCAGCGCGACCGGCAAACAACAAGACACACCTTCTCACAAAGCAAACGCAGATCAGTTACAACTAAACTAAAATATTAATAGACAGGAGCTGTTTGAACAAGTGCATTAGCACTAGAATTTGACAAATGTGTTTAAAGTTGCTTAACGTGCAGAAATGTATTGTTATGTAAGAGTAATAATGCAGGAGAATGAAAAATAGGTCTTTGGAACAAATATTAATAATGCATTGGTTTTACACAAACTAAGCGCTTTTCTGTACATTTAAGGGGGAATTATGATTATGAATTCACTCCGAACACAGTGGTAATTAACTACACCTGTAGTTATACTGTACAGAAAAAATAGTGCTCATCTGTAACTACGGCCCCACCAACCATCACAGACATCAGACTCTGTGAGGCTACTTAAGGACACAGTAATAGTTCAGCACTTTACAATCTCAGCCTGGTCTTCACTGGTCTTGCTTAGCTCCTGAGAACGGACACATAACCACAGTGTGGAAGAGTTTATTTAAAAGACCAAATATCTCCATTTTGAAAATGTGTCAAAAAATAGTATTTCTCCTGCTACTATCTTAGACATGTTTGTTATCGCCAATAAATGTGAAAGCATTTGCTCAAGAAGGGGGGAAACTATAAAATATACTTTGCTTTACAAAAAGGAATTAGTAGCGAGCAAATTGAAAGCCTTTCATATATATTCCAATGACACTTATCTGTTTTTGCATATAAACTATTCATATGTCAAATCAATCTGATCTGCCAAAATATCAGACTCATCAGAAATAAAATTCAGTAATTTGTGCAGAATGTAATGAATCTTGTAGTAGACATGCAATTTGTGTATTGTACCTATGCTAGTTTTTCTCCTCCAGAGTGCCATGTTCCACTGGGACACACTGATGACTCCTTGGTCCCTGAAAACAAAAGGTGTAATATCCACACAATATCATGAATGCCTTAATACCTACATTTAATATTTATTTTAATACACACCATAGCATTGTGTGAATGCTGAACAGATATAAGAGTGATGCAGCTCAAGTAAATCAAAAGTTTATGTTTACCTTATGACTGCACCGCGTCTCCATCACTCCATACAGTCTATAGTCTCCATGTGTCCGGCAGTGATTCTGGGGTTAGAAAGTATAAGCGCATCCCACACATGAGTCCGCAGCGCAGCCCGGGACCAGAGAGCTCCATGTGAGGAACAGAGGAGACCTGAGCCTTGACAAACCCACACAGGGATCCAGCTGGAGGGGCCCAAAAGCCCGGTCATGTGCAGGTTACTTCAATGATTCCACTGTCGCCAATATTCTCTATCTGTATGTGTGTGCACTGACAGGTGAAAAAAAGTGCTGTTATGGTCCCAGTTTAAAATAAAACCACATGATTCTTTCTCCTGTGGATCTGGAGCACCATCTGCTGGTGGCTTGATGTAAATATTACATTAAAAACTTGGGAGTGAGTTTATCCAATATATGCATACTTCTATGAACATTTTGTTTCTCTGATCTGTGCTTTACTTTGTAAAGTCCTCCGAGATAACTATTGTTAACCCAAATTAAATTTAGTTTCATTAAATATACAAAACAGTAAAACGAAATGATTCTAAGTGATTCTTGGTAATACCTCGTTTCGTGGTTTATGTAAGGGTTTATATTTCTGTGTATATTTTTCTCTAATATTATTGTGGCAATTTTCTAAAATAACGGAAGTGAATCTCTTGTGTGTTAAAAAAAAATCTTTATTTGGAGGCACCAAGCAAGGAAGTGAAAAATTGTATTATACAGAAGCTGTGTGTGTGTGTGTGTGTGTGTGTGTGTGTGTGTGTGTGTGTGTGTGTGTGTGTGTGCGCGCGCGCGCGTGCGTTTGTGTGTGTGTGTCTGTGCGCGTGTGTGTATATGAAAGCTGTTTTATTTTGTGAGATGGTGTATTTAAAACGAGGTGTGTGATGTAGGGGGTTTGTAGTAAAGCACCTATTTTCAAGCAATATTTTCTTATTTTGTAACCCATTTTGCATATGATAATTGATAATCACACTGAATGGAAAGATGAAATCAGTCTATGCATAAAAATAAATACAGTCGCCCTTTGTAGACCCAAGCCCTTTATGCTGTTTTGGCGGGTATGTAGCGCCATCTAGTGTCCAGTTAGTGTGTGTAGATTCACCCCACACATCTGCCTCAGGGTTGTTTACCTTTAGCACAGGTATTTGGTTAAGTTCAGCATTACACAATACTAACTTTTGATCCATTTATTTACATGGGATATGTTTGAAATGTCAGCAACAATAATGTTTCATAAGATTTCCTTGTTTCTCATAAATGTTGTGGAGAATATGACATTTTAACAATTAAAATGTAAAACAAATATTGTATAGTATTATGTCGTAGAGTGACATATTTTGTGTGGCAGATTTGCCCGCTCAGCTCAGCCCTTTGTTGTTGTTGTTCTCACGCTAACATGCGAGATCCAGGCAGAGGCAGAGCCCGGTCCGCATGGGTCCGCCCCGCTCCTCCCAGACTTCCCTCTCTCCCGCGGCCTGCTGCTGCTGAGTGCGATGAACAGAAGATGTCGGTGTCCGGGCTCAAGGCCGAATTGAAGTTTTTGGAGTCAATATTCGACCCAAATCACGAGAGATTCAGAATTATAGATTGGAAACCAGATGAGCTCAGCTGCCAGTTCAACGTAACAGGAGAGAAGCTGCTGATCATTCACTGCAACATCACGGTGAGTGCGGCTCGGCTCGGCTCGGCTCGGCTCAGGCTCAGGCTCAGGCTCAGGCCACTGCTCTCTGCTCTGAGCTAACACCACTATCACTGCGATGGGCCGTGTTTACCGCCCACGACTGCGGTTAACCTTTGCATCTACTCGGATCCAAGTGAAGACATGGTTTCTTCAGCTCAAAGCGCAGACTTCAGGCGGAAATCAGGAGGAAAATGTTCAGAAAAACGTCGATTGTGAAGAACGTCGCAGCAGATTTTGGTGTTAGCTTCATGAGAAGTGCACAGACCGCTAGCCCGGATAGTTAGCTAAATATCTGCGTTATAATTGTTTATATGCGTATGACAGCAATAAGCTTCTATCGCTGATATCTGAATAATGCCGTCATGTGTAGTAATGTGGCGCTAAAACACGACAATATGTAAACACATTGTTTTGCCAAAGTTTGTCTGATCAAGTCTGAGCCTATTACCTGCAAAGCTCTGGCGTCTTTCATTTACTGATGCAAACATTTAACATGTTAGAAATGTTACTTAGACACTGCTCTCAATTACATTATGTCCTCCCATTTGTCCAACTATCTTTATTTTACATATAAATGGCATCTATTTATATGTATATATATATTTGTATGTATGTTATATAAATATGTATTTAATATATTTATTTATATAAACTACACCAATTTTTCTAGTCTTGCAGGGTGCAGGGCCTTTACGTTAAGGTGACAACCCGTCATTTACATAACACAAACATCATTCTCCAGAACGTAATGGCCACTAAGTTATGCACATTCAACTCTTCTTTATGTAAATTCAGATCCCCCCACCCATGAAAGTTGGACAATTAATTTTCTTTATGTATTGTTCTTAATGATTGCATCTTACCCTATGCATAATTACTTTAGAGGTTTTGGTGTGAAGTAACCTGAGAGACACTCTAACCTGTATCAGAGACTTGGATTTAATCTTGTCTGACCAGTGTATGTGATGTGGCATCTCAGTGAGGAGGTGATGGGGGGCTCATGTTCGGGGCACATAGGCTGCCCTAAGGCGGCTGTGGCTTTACCAGCTGTATAAATATAGCAAGTCTCAAAGGTGCTGTGTTGAGGTAATTGTGGTTAAACGTATGCACTACCAATTTATTCTAATTATGTATGATTAATTCAAAGTAAGTAAATGCAATCAAGTGATAAGGAACCAGTGACCGTGTATATTGACACGGCAGGTCTCCTGTAGTATGTAGTTCTGCAGTAGTTTGTACAACATCTGTATCTAGTGTAAACAACTCATTGTTGTCTGATGAGTTTATTGACAGGTGTCTGACCTGGAATGTATTACTGTTCACTAGGAATCCTACCCATCTACACCGCCAATATGGTTTGTTGACTCCGATGATCCAAGCCTGGCTGAAGTGTTGGAGCGATTAGAAGACGTTCGAAAAGGAAGCACATTGGTAAGTTTCCCCCAAATCCAGAGATAGACCTGTTTGTGTCAGGCTGATAGTTTTAACTCTTCATTATATCACTGTCTGGGGAAGACCAGGAGACTAACAAAAGAAAACACATTATTATTTGTTTTTATCCTCTTCTGGTTACTGGTACTATAATCCTATTTAAAATGTAGTACTTTCACAAAGTTTCTCACAAGATTCCTGATGTGAAAAGTTTGACAAACATTGATTTAAAATACCAATGCTGCTGTATACCCTTAAATTATTTTTGAAATGGAAACTCAGGCTGATATTTTCACATGGATTCAGGAACCTCTCACAGAACAGGGAGAAACGGCAAGATTATGACGCACTATTCCACCAATGGAAATTTGTATTTTGTCTGGGTGCAACTTGACGGCAGCAGACGCAAAGCCATTTCTCACATGTTTAAATTGCACAAACAATTGCTGCATTCGGCTGCATTCACTTATTATTAGTGCTTACATGGACAATCGTAAACCCGACCACTCCTCAGAGAAACTGATGAGTCTCAGGCTACATATATAGCTGTGATATTTAGTTTGCTTAAAGAGCGACTAAACACCAAATCAACTTTTTCAAACTCATAAACTGCATAAGTATGTTTATTGTAGTGCTGTCTACATATCCTGGTCATTCTTTTGACATTTTAGTTCAAATTAGATAAAATATCACTTTTGAGCCAAAAAAACGTCTGTGTGGTGCCCTCTCCACCTTTTTGGTGGTACTACATTTGAATTTGGTTCTGGCCTCTCCATTGACTCTGAAGTTCTCTATGACATCAGTTGTTTTGTGTGACGTCAGTCTGTCAGAGCCAGTGATGTGAACCCATTCAACTCTCACACACGCCCCAGCTGCAGTTTGGAGTATTCTGGCGCCATCTAGTGGATTAAAATTAAATTACATGAGTCATTCTGAGATTATTGTGTGTGATTAGTAGAGTTTCTTTCGGGCCTGAAAAATGAAGCCCGACCCGGCCCGAGCCCGCTAATGTTAAGCCCGAGCCCGTATAAGCCCGACCAATGAACGCTGTATAACAGGCCCGAGCCCGACAGAACCCGACACATCTGATTTCCCGTTGTACGCACTCACCTTCCAATTGCAAGTTTAGTCTCCACTTTTGAATTTGTTTTGTCTCCACTTGATCCATTTCTACTATTGTTCCTGTTCGCTGTTGACCACAGCAGCAGGAGACACGGGGATGATGCGTTCACGGCTCGCTGCTGCTGTAGGACACGCTGGTTACGGTGTCATTAATATATTAACTTTATTTAATAACTTGTTGTCAATCAACGGACATTGTTATTAATATATATATATATATGCATATCATTATGTATAAAAATCATTTAAAAATAATAATAATAATAATAAAAAAGAAACATATATTTAAAAAAAGAAGCCCGAGCCCGGCACGAACCCGACAGCTGAGCGCCAAATGAGGCCCGAGCCCGGCCCGAACTCAGGTCGGGCCTCGGGCCTGCTCGGGCTCGGGCTGAAAAGCGAAACTCTAGTGATTAGGTTCAGGTGTGTAGCTTTACAATTATCTTAGTGTGTAAACAAGGGTGGAATGAGACTTTCTTGTCTGTAAACTATTGCTTTAAGCAGCAATGACAACTGTCTGTTTTTTTTTGTGTGACAAGTGAGCTGTCAATCACAGCCCAGACCACGCCCGACTCTAAGCCCCCCTTCTTGTCCCTTGGTCCTCCAGGCAACGCCCTTTTTAGAGAAAATTTTCAAATCTTCATGTGGGCGGAGTAAGGCTGGGCACAGGTGTTTAGTCGCTCTTTAAGCCAGGTTAATTTTAAATATCTATTACTTCAGATTGCATTGTTTCAAGTAGGATGTTGTTTGTCACTTCTTTAGGGCAATTAAATGATCTCTGGGCCATTGTGCACATTGCGTCCAAACCTCCCATCATGTTTTGAGATTTGTTGCTCAGAGACAAAACCCGGTCATAACTTTACCTCTTTGGAGGATTAAATAATTGGATACATTGATATGATACTAGTATTGAATATTGGAGCACAAATCTGGATTGAGTATTGGTTCTATGATATTGGTTAAGCCTGATTGGGCCTTGATATAATAAAGTCATAAAAAAATCATAGTTTTACTCATATAAGGTTGTTCTGTAGGTATTTTGCCATAAAATACCTCTTAAATAACAATTGTGAATATGTCGCTGTTGTCCTGTTTGTCTATAACTGCTATCAATAGATACTGAAAGCTAAAGTATCAACATTTATAACAGACATGAAAAAACTATAAAAAACTTAAAACTATTTATACAAAATGATATACAGTATATATTCAAACATGCTTTATTTTTGTGTTTGGTAATCCAATTATTGTGCTCTTAAACTGTGTTTTATTGCAGCTTCTCCAGCAGCTAAAGCGGCTAATATGTGATTTGTGTCGACTGTACAACCTGCCACAACATCCAGATGTGGAAATGCTGGATCAGCCGCTGCCGTCTGGTCCCATCACACAGGAGCGAAAGGTGCGCTCCGATCACACATTTCAGCCTGTAATCTTAGAACAATTTTCCAACAACGTGTCATTTATTCTTGAAGCATGGGCCACCCGACGAGGTGACGTCTGAGGAAGAGGAGGAGGAAGAAATGGGAGAGGTTTGAAGTCTTTGACCATTTGATTTGCACTTACTTTATGTTTCATAATCTCAACACACTGATCTCACACACACTTAATACTAGTTATATTTACACTGATGCGTCTGCTGCTGCGTGGAATTAATTCTCAGTTTCATATAGTGTGGTTTCCTGGTTACTGGTTTGGAATGAAAAACAATAAAAAATTCACAGTAAGGATTAGGGGTGTAGCGATACATTATGATACGATACACAATATTCAGCTCACAATACAATATCCATCCATCCATTTTCTTCCCCTTAATCCATTTCTGGGTCGGGGGGGGTGGCAGTCAGAGCTGCACCCAGTACACAGAGCACCAGCCCCTCACTGATCCTCCTGCAGGTGGTCAGTCCACAAGAGCTGAGATCTTTCAGCGGGGGCTTCGGGCAAAGTGGGGTTAAGTGTCTTGCCCAAGGACACAACGACAGCAGACATCAGCGGGAGTCATGAAGTGGGTCTTATGGTGGGCTCGAACCCTCGACCTTCAGGCCAATGCTCTTCCAACTGAGCCACTATCGCACAATACAATATACATCACAATATTCAGTTAGCATTTCTTGAAAGACTTGTAGTGATTGAATTAGTGAACTAAAAATTAAAACATCAATTACACAATCTATCTGACTGGACAGAGTGTCAACAGCTCACAAATTTTTGTACAAGATTAATCAAAGATGTGTGCGAACTGTTGCTTACAAGAGTGGCCTTTTCTGAACAGTTTGACCACTTTTTAGCAGTGTGGAAAAATATAAAAACAAAAACTGCTCTTAGCCCAGAAAGTCAAATACTGACTCCCCTAGTAACTATACATTTCTGGCACTAGAATATACAGTATTTTATTATATACTTAATTCTTAATATACTTAAAAAGAATTTTTTGGTAAGACGTTTGGACAGGAATCTTTACACGTACCATTTGTTGCAGCAGGACATAGACCTGGACCAAGACCTGGACCATTATGACATGAAAGAGGAGGAGCCCGTGGACGGGAAAAAGTCCGAAGACGACGGCATTGAAAAAGAAAACCTAGCCATTTTGGAAAAGATCCGCAAGAACCAGAGACAAGATCACTTAAATGTACGTATAACTATCCCGGCTCTATAGACTCGTTGGTAAAACAGTTCAAACTAGCTCACTCAAAGTCCAAGTGCAAATCTCATTGTTTGGAAATAGTTTCAAAACGCATTTTCTTTAGATATTTAGATAATTTTGTTTTTGTTTATCCAGGGCGCTGTGTCTGGTTCGGTGCAGGCGTCCGACCGCCTGATGAAGGAGCTCAGGGAGATTTACAGATCACAAAGTTATAAGACCGGTAACACACATAACACACAACTGAGACTTTTGCTTCGGTGCTGCTTTTGGAACTCTGATAATAATCTGAATTTTGTTTACTCGTTTGCAGGTATTTATTCAGTTGAACTAGTAAATGACAGCTTATACGACTGGCATGTCAAATTAAGAACGTAAGGAGTTTGGTTTGGCTGCATTTATGGTGATTGTTTGATTGTTTTGACCCATTCTTGCTGTTTTCAGGGTAGATCCAGATAGTCCTTTACATAGCGACTTGCAGGTCTTAAAGGAGAAGGAGGGAGTGGACTACATTCTGCTAAATTTTTCTTATAAAGTGAGTTGTTTGACAAAGTTTCATGCATTTAATTTGTGTTTCTGCAGCTCGTCGTTTATTATTCCTTTATTTCAGGATAATTTTCCCTTCGATCCACCTTTTGTACGGGTCGTCTCGCCTGTACTTTCTGGAGGGTGAGTTTTTGTTTTATGATTATGTATTTGTCCAGTCATCCAAGTTTTGAATCATTGATTAATCCTCTCTGTGTTATTTTACAAATCAAATTTTATTTTAAATGGGTTGCATTTGTTGGTGGGGGGTGGCAATGAGAGCTGCTCATAGCACCAGTCCCTCGCTGATCCTCTGCAGGTGGTGGGTCCACAGGAAGATGGTTGCTCCGTCAGTGGTGAAACAGCCTTGGTCTTTCAGCGGGGGCTTCAGGCAACGTGGGGTTAAGTGTCTTGCCCAAGGACACGACAGTAGACATTTGTGGGAGCAGTTGGAGTAGGTCTCGTGGTGGGCTCGAACCCACGACCTCCAGGCCCAAAGGCCAAGGCTCTACCAACCGAGCTACTGTTGCCCCAGGGTTGCATTCATGTGCTAGAATATTTTTAAGTTGGAGGTTTATTATTATTGAATATAAAAATACGTCCATGTTTTTCACAATCTTGCCATATTATTCTTTTAAAATCAGAATCAGAATCATTTTTATTGCCACGTAAGTAACAGGAGGTCACAGACTAGGAAATTGCTTTGGCTCAGTGCAACAGTCAAAAAGAGATAATAAAAATAAGAATAAAAAACACTTCTAAAGAATACATTTAAATTTAAAATAGAGTTACAGTTACTATTTACAATATACAAGTGCACATGGTGCACACAAAATGGCCACCATCATGCATATACTTCGGAAAATCCTCACCTCTAGACAAAGAACACATGACTTGGTGACAGTTTTGGTTTCTTGTGGATTTCCCCCGGAATTATAGAGAAATTGGCTCTAAACTAAGACAAGTTTGACTTTTGACAGTTACCATAGTTACCAGGATAGATCTTTCAGCTGCCCTCCACCACAACATGAAACTATAGGCTCTTTGGAATGGTGTGAGATCACATGAACGCTACCTATCGCTCAAGCAGCCGTCACCAAGCTCGTGCCTGAGGACCATTTTCTCGAGGGCCCCCAAGGACTTGCTCTAGAAATAGATCTGCTCATCCAAAGTGAGGCGCTTCATAAAAATCAGTGCTGTAAATCTGTTGAATGTACTGTATTAGTCGTGATGTTCAAGAAATTACAAGATGCATTCTAAGATTACAAAATGGTTAAATGCTCGCATGGATATCGCTGAATCGGCAGATGTTTGGTCACATCAGTCTGATCTGTCTCTTGAGTTTGCTGCTGGTGTGATTCAGAGCTAAAAAAATAATTAGCCATGTTTTAAAGATGAGAGAAATATAGAGACTGAAATATGGGAGGTTCATTTCATAGTAAGATTCCAAGATTAAAAAAAGATTAAAGGCTTTTTTCATTGATTTGATTATTTAAAATGCTCATATTTAAAGGTGCAGTAAGCGATGTTGTTAGCTTAGCCGTAGCACCAACTGGAAACCACTCCCCCCTCCCCTCGCCTCTCCACGAAACTAAAAATCCAGCATTTTCTTTTCTTTGTCACAACAGGGAGAGTGGATGGCAAACGTGAAATTGGCATTTTCTGTTCAGCCATTTTAGGTTTTAGAAAATCCGAAACAGGAAGAGGGTAAAGGGGGTAAACGCATCCCATTGGTTCGTTGGGGATGAACGAATCCCATTGGTTTAATTCTATCGGTCCGCTCCAAAATATTTTGCATTACTTTTTTGGAGACTATAGGCATCTGGTTAATTCCATTACTATTTGAAAACACATGATAACTTGACTATTTTTAGGGTTTAGGGACGTTTTCCCACAATATTTAAAAAAAATAGCATCTGGAAAAAAATCACTGACTGCATCTTTCAGGAGTTCCTAAATGCACAACTTTCATCCAAAATTAACCGTGATGATCTTGTAACGTCTGTTGTGTCCGTGCGTCTCCCGTGGTTGAAAATACAATATAATAAAGTTCATCATTAAGTTGACAAATGCATTTCTCAAATAAGATTCAAGAATTTATTTGCCATTTGCAGTAAAACCACATTGGAAAAACTGTGCAAGACTACCCAGTGTGCACAAGGATAGTACACACCAGAGCTCTTGCCACGGTGCCATTTTTCTGACGACATGCAGAAATAACTTGGATAATTGAGTCTTCAGGATGATTCCAGGCCTTGATTGAACTGGCAGCCATCTCTCTTATCTTAAGGCAGCCCTCTGGCCTTTGAGCAGACCACTCAGTTCTTCATCATTCTCGGCAAATCAACTAAGTCCAGGGTCTGCTTTCATTGGGGTTTTTTTGGTGCTGTTGCTGAAACAGATTTTGTTTTAGAGTAACGTGTCCGCATTGGTGCAGGTCAAAATGAGCTGCTGGCAGTCACTTCCAACGATTCAAAAAACTCGGTGAAATCTCAGCCGAGTACCGATGTCTTGCAAGACTTTATAATCATTTGTTTATAATCTCCATGCCAACAAGCGGTTAGCGTAGCCCCATCAGACAATAAGTGTGAATTGCTAAATTGTGTTCAAACAGATCCCAGCTATTTCCCCCTATTCTGCTGAAATAATTAGGTCTAAGCCAGGGGTCTCCAACCTGTTTCAATCTGAGAGCTACTTTTATACAGAAGAGGCAGAGAGCTACTACTTTTTGCAATCGTAATACAAATCTATGTAATGATTAAGACAAGAATTAAGAAATTAAGATTAAGAAATCTAGGAGTGATAATGGACTCAGACTTAAATTTCAAAAGCCACATAAAATCTGTAACATCAGCAGCTTATTACCACCTAAAAAACATTGCTAAAATTAAAAACATAGTGTCTAAGGCAGACTTGGAGACTCTTATACACGCTTTTGTCTCCAGTCGGTTAGACTATTGCAATGGCTTGTTCACAGGTCTCTCCAAACAGGCTGTAAAACAGCTGCAGTACATTCAACATGCAGCAGCTCGAGTCCTGACCAGAACTAGGAAGTGCGACCACATTAGTCCAGTTCTCAGGTCTCTGCACTGGCTTCCTGTTCCTCAGAGAATAGACTTCAAAGCAGCTTTACTTGTGTACAAGTCTCTCCATGGTCTCGCGCCAAGGTACATCCACGACATGTTTGTGCCATATGAACCGACCCGGACTCTGAGGAGCACAGGGACTGGACTCCTGTTAGTGCCCAGAGTCGGTACTAGACATGGGCAAACTGCATTTCAGATTCATGCGGCTAGAGTCTGGAACCGTCTTCCTGAGAATGTGAGACAGGCGTCTACTCTGGCATCCTTTAAATCTAGGCTCAAAACAATTCTGTTTAGCTGCGCATATACAACTGAATGATTTTATCTTTTCATCTTTGTTTTTATCCTTAATCTTTTTAATGCACTGTGACTATTTATGATTTTAGTCCCATCTGTGATTTTAATGTTTAAAGGTTTTTAATTTTTGTGATTTTATTTTTTATGTTTTTAATATATCTTGTGCTCTTAATGTGTTTGATTTATGCATGATGTGATAGGGGATGTGAAGCACTTTCCGTTGCCTTGTGTAGGAAAGGCGCTCTACAAATAAACGTTGATTGATTGATTGATTGACAAGAGAGAACACACATGCAAAACATACTATGATACTGTATTTATCGGAAATACAGTATTATAGTATCGGAACAGGGTCTTTCTGAGTGAATGTTCTCCCCGTGTGTGCGTAGGTTTCCTCCGGGTGCTCCAGTTTACCCTACCACTCAAAGCATGTACAATCAGTCTGGCATGCGCCTCCTGTACTGGCAACGCATCTCTGTGAGTGAGAGACAAGCGCCCCAAAACAACAGCTGAAAAGCTCTTTGTGACTCTGGTCTGTGAAAGGCGCTATATAGATAAAGATTACTTACTTACTAGATATGGAGTGACTCAAAATGTATTTATTCAAGATCATGTGTTGAATTCTAAATCCTTTTGGGAGCTACCTGAAACAGGGCTGGCGAGCTACTGAGACCCCTGATCTACACATTTATAAGGAGGCTACATGCTAGGGTACATGCTAGGTGTCATGGGGGGCCGTCTGCAATTGACCTGTATTTTCCTGCAGATATGTCCTCGGAGGCGGGGCCCTTTGTATGGAGCTTCTCACTAAACAGGTACAAACCGTTCTGCCTTTAGTTCATGTAGTGATTCAGAAAGTAAGGAGTAGTCAGGAGTAATGAGGCTGTGGGGTGTTTCAGGGCTGGAGCAGTGCCTATTCCATAGAATCTGTTATCATGCAAATAAATGCCACCCTGGTCAAAGGTAAAGCCCGGGTGCAGTTCGGAGCCAACAGGGTGAGTGTATGTGCTATTACTAAAGTGAGTTTTTCTTTCAAAGTAAAACAATAAGACGTTTAAAACAATTTTTCCCGTGTTGTGTTTTGTAGAACCAGTACAATCTTGCCAGAGCACAACAGTCGTACAAATCGCTGGTGCAGATTCATGAAAAGAACGGTAAGTGACTAAAGGCTGTATTTTAAGGAAAGTATTGCCATGATCCTGACAGACCTCTGAAGCTAAGCAAGGCAGGGCCGGGTTAGTACTTTGATGGGAGACCTCAGGGAACACCAGGTGCCACAGTGAGGCGGTTGCGGCTGTAAAGTGCTAAACTGCTGTTGTGTCCTTAGGCAAGATACTTCACCCACATTGCCTAGAATGAGTCTGGTGTGTGTGTGAATGGTTGGGGGTGGTTCAGAGGGGCTGATGGCACATACTGGTTTCCTCGCTTCTGTCAGTGTGTCCCAGGGCAGCTGTGGCTATAGTAGTAGTTTATCACCACTGTGTTTGAAGTGAAAGAATACTGACATGTGAAGCGTCTTTGAGTGTCCTGAAAAGCACAATATAACACAGATCTATTATTATTAATATTATATGTTCAATCAATAAAGTTATTTTTGCTTGTTCGCAGGCTGGTACACACCGCCCAAAGAGGACGGATAGGAAACTCCACCACTATGCACCAGGAAATGCATTTGGGTCAAAATCTTGGTCTTTTTCTTTTTCCTCTTGTTTTCCCTTTCAACTCACTGGGACTGTCACCTTTCGTCATGGAACCATCTCGTCGGCTCAAGTATGACTTTGTTTGCTTGGGGAAAGACTCAGTTCTTGTGTTTTTTTTGAAAGAGGCAGACGATGGGAGAAGATCATCTGTCCTGTTTTATTACCAACGTTCTGTCTGTTAAAAACACTTCTCTTCAAGCGGGAAATGCTTTTCTTCTGTTGCTGCTTGACAAACTGGGCTCGAGAAGCAGCAGACTCTCCCAATGTGAAAGAGGAATTTAAACAAACATTGATTCTGAAGCTCTTAAGTGACACCTCACACACCTGTGATATTTTTATTCTGTTTTTTTTTCCCTATCCTTTTTTTTCTTTCCCTGGGAACGTAATCAAGGTACACAAATATTGTTCGCGAAATACTCTTTGACTTTTTTTTTCATTGAGATGCCTAGACAAACATGACATGAGCCAATTTTATAATTTTTAAGGCTTACAGTAATTTTAATTTGACATGGACTTGCCACTCTGTATGTTTTAACAAGCTAACGGAACGAACTGTAGATTAATGTCATATCATTTATTAGCACAGAAAATAACAGGAGGAAGGATAGATGTGTCCAATGGGTAAAATATTCCCACTTCAACATGTTTAACTTTCTGTCAATCGGAATGGTTTAGGTCACGAAACAAAACAAATCAAAAACGGAATTTTTGGTGGATCTAATTTATGGTAACGTGCAGTTCTCATATATTTGGGCAGTGACTAAGAGCTGCTATTACGGTAAAAAGATAAGCAAAATATGTGCGTACACGTATTTACAAGGGTAATTGTGTACATTCATCCCCTGCTCATTTGGACAATGCAAAAAAAATCACATTGAAAGCTATCAATGTCTAAATGTCGACGGACCAAACTATAGAATGATGGCTATTGGATTGTCACTCGATGGGTTAGGGACAGATTATGGCTTTCTTTTGTCGATAAGAACCGCACTGAAAACAAATGTTAATCAAAACCGCTTTGATACTGCATACTACACATACTAGCGATTTTTAGCAGAAATCAAAATTCCTCTGCTGAAAGTATGTTTGAACCTGGCAACGCGGGTTAAGACATTTGAGGCTTCATGAACCAGTGCAAAGTCAAATTATACAAGGATCGGCATAAAACGGGAAAGCGTGGCTCGGGGTGGGGGGTGGGGGGCTCCTAAAGACGATACCCGCATTGTAACTTTGCCTTTTTTTGCTTGAGATTTGTAACAAAGTGTGATGGAATTATGTAAGAATTTGCACAGCTGGTTATGGATGTGCGCGCAGAGGTCAACGACAAAGAGGTTGTACAACAAATAATATATTCAAATGTCAACTGAACAATATTTATGTCTCGAGGGAGAACGCCAAAAGGTGTTTCAAGTGGAATAGTTTGATCATGAGTCGCGTCCTCTCCTTCAGTGCCACATAAGAAGGCGTGGTTAGACTGGGATACCGGACCGGACTGGACTGGACTGGACTGGGCGTTCTGTGTTGTGTACATTCATTTCTCATGCCAACAGACGGGGGGGTGACAGAAGGCAAACTCTGACATCGTTGTTGGTTAGTTTTTTTGTTTTGTAATTTTTTTTTTTTGTTTTTTTTTCCATTTGACATTTTGACCATGTGTACAGCAATTTGTAAACTTGCATCAAGTTTATGAATAAAGAATTTTAAGATTACTGCAAGTGTGCTGTGACTTTGATTAAAAGGCAGCTGACAGAAAGTGCGGGTGTTCAGGTCACATTGACTTTACTATTATTACTGTCGTTCAGAATGTTAGATTTCATCGTGTTGGTTGCAGAGGGAAATAAATAATGCTTAGTTATGTTGACTTAGAGTAGCTAATAGAATAAGTAACTCTTTGAAATGCGACATTTATTCATGAAAACACCCAGGAAACATATTCTGTATGATGTTTCTGTTCTGAAGATGTAAATTAATGTGTGAGCATCTCATCCCAATAAATATATATCAATGAGTATTTGTGATTTATAGTCAGACGAGCCCCGAGGGGCTTTGTATCTAATACATATTAGATAAATATTATATTATGTTGGATTTAGAGGTAAATGTTAAAATCCTCTCTTTAGCTCATATCTCAGAGAAAGACAAATCCAGGATTATTCCAGTTTAGACTCAGTGCCACCTGTTCCAGTTCTAGTGATGGAGACTTCTGCCAAGGCCATAGTTCTGCAACAGCAAACACTCTAGTCTTTGACAGATCCCACCAAAGCCTTTTATATCAATCAGGTTTTTTTTAGTCTGTATTGTTAAACTCGTGAGCTTAAACTACTTGTAAATCAATGTATTCCTTATTGGGAAAAAAGTTTATATTTTTTCATATTTGACCTTGTAGTGACCCAAAGGATGGCCTTAAGTTTTGATCCAGCATCAATGATTATGTAGATTTTCTGGTGAGGGTGTCCGTCAGCAGAGAAACAACTGATCCTACAGCCCCCCCCCCACCACTGTGAATGAAAGTCATGCTGACTTCGGTCAAATATGAAGAGTATAAACTTTTTTTTCTACATAAAAAGTTTTGTAATGCCCCTTTAATTAAATTAAAGGTCTACAAAGGAAGCAATGGACACAGGGATTTGAGTTGAATATGTATTTGACTTTCCATTGGTTTTCTTTTGAGATACATTGTGTTAGAGATAGACATATTCATATCTAAATATAACTAAAGTAAATAGGTCATTTCCTGTTGCATTCTGCAAAGATGTCTGCAGTTCCTCCTTGTGAGGATTCAGTTTGTTTGCCATTTGCAGTAAAACCACAGTGGAATAACTGTGTAAGACAGGTGTCTCCAACCTCTTTCACCCAGAGAGCTACTGTCCCAGAACAGTAAATGCAGAGAGCTCCTCCTTTAAGTGGCCCTGGGGAAAATGGTGATATATTGGTGTGAAGAGGCCTGATATTGGGTACAGTCATTATTTATCATTGCACTTTTGTTACCAGTGCATTTACAATAATAAATAATCCATCCATCCATTTTCTTCTGCTTCATCCGTTGCTGGGTCGCAGGGACAGCAGTCTAAGCAGAGACGCCCAGACTTCCCTATCCACACACACTTCCTCCAGCTCGTCTGGAGGGACCCCAAGGCGTTCCCAGGCCAGCTGTGAGACATACTCCTTCCAGCGTGTCCTGGGTCTTCCCCGGGGCCTCCTCCAGGTGGGACATGCCCGAGACACCTCAACTGGTTCCTCTCGACATGGAAGAGCAGTGGCTCTACTTCGAGCTCCTCCCGTGTGACCGAGCTGCTCACCCTATCTCTAAGGGAGCGCCCAGCCACTCTGCGGAGGAAGCTCATTTCGACCGCTTGTATCCGCGATCTTGTTCTTTCGTCATTACCCAAAGCTCATGACCATAGGTGAGGGAGGGAACGAAGATTGACCGGTAAATTGAGAGCTTTGCCTTTTGGCTCAGCTCCCTCTTCACCACAACGGTCCGATACAGCGACTGCATCACTGCGGACGCTGCACCGATCCGCCTGTCAATCTCTTGCTCCATCCTTCCCCCACTTGTGAACAATACCCCAAGATACTTGAACTCCTCCACTTGAGGAAGGACTTCTCCACCCACCAGGAGAGAGATTCTCTTCCAAGCCGCTTCACACTTTGCTGCAAACCTTACCAGGGCATGTTGCAGGTCCTGGTTTGTTGGAGCCAACAGGACAACATCGTCAGATGCAGAGATGGAATCCTGAGGTCTCCGAACCGAACCCCTTCCGGCCCCTGGCTGCACATGTGGACAGGTTGGGCGAACTCCCATGAACCCTTGAGTATCTGATGGAGAGTATAGAGCTGGTCCAGTGTTCCTTGACCGGGATGAAAACCACACTGCTCCTCCTGAATCCGAAATTCGACCCTCTGTCAAAGTCTCCACTCCAGTAACTTGGAGTAGACCTTACCGGGGAGGCTGAGGAGTGTGATCCCACGATAATTGGAACACACCCTCTGATCCCCCTTCTTGTAGAGAGGGACCACCACCCCGGTCTGCCACTCCATTTCTACCGCCCCCGATCGCCACACAAGACGTGGCCTTGCCACCAAGGAGGCTGCCAACCACCTTGGTGACATCTGCCAGGGAGATGGAAGTATCCGCCCCAACATCCTCAGCTTCTGCCTCCGGGACGAAGGACGTGACAGGAGGATTGAGGAGAACCTCAAAGTATTCCTTCCACCGCCTGACAATATCCCCAGTCAAGGTCAGCAGCTCTCCACCGGCAACGTAAACGGTGTTGGCAAAGCAATGCTTCCCCCTCTTGAGGCGCCGGACGGTTTACAAGACTCTCGTTGAGGCCGACCGATAGTCATGCTCCATGGACTCTCCGAACTCCTCCCATTCCCGGGTTTTTTCCTCTGCAACAGCCCGGACAGCGGCACGCTTATCTTGACGGTACTGGACAGCTGCCTCAGGAGTCCCCCGAGCCATCATGGCTCAATATGACTCCTTCTTCAGCCTGACGGCCTCCCTTACTGGCGGTGTCCACCACCGGGTTCGGGGGTTGCCGCCGGAACCAGCACCAGAGACCCTGCGACCACAGCTACGAGCCGCCGCATCGGCGATAGAGGAAGAGAACACGGTCCACTCAGACTCAATGTCCCCCTCCTCCCCCGGGACCTGGGAGAAGCTCTCCCGGAGGTGTGAGTTGAAGGTCCGTCTGACAGGGGATTCAGCAAGAAGTTCCCAGCAGACCCTCACTACACGCTTGGGTCTGCCAGGTCTGACCGGCTTTCTCCCCTGCCAGCGGATCCAACTCACAACCAGGTGGTGATCGGTTGACAGCTCCGCCCCTCTCTTCACCCGAGCGTCCGAGACACGCGGTCGAAGGTCAGATGATACGACAACAAAGTCGATCATCAACCTCCGGCCTAGGGTGTCCTGGTGCCACGTGCACTGGTGGACGCCCTTGTGCTCGAACATGGTGTTCGTGATGGACAAACTGTGACTGGCACAGAAGTCCAACAACTGAACACCGCTCGGGTTCAGATCAGGGGGGTCGTTCTTCCCAATCACCCCCCTCCAAGTGTCACTGGCGTTTCCCACATGGGTGTTGGAGTCCTCCAGGAGAATAACGGAGTCCCCGGTCGGTGTCCAGTACACCTCCCAAGGACTCCAAGAAGGCCGAGTACTCTGCACTGCTGTTAGGCCCGTAGGCCGTCACGGGTTTAATTTTTTTGCGATCCATGGTGGCTTTGGACTGCACTTCGTCTGACTCGTCACACAAGACCTGTTTGCCATGAGAGACCACATAGCTCCCAGGATCATCTGAGTACTCAAACTCCCCCACCCCGTTAAGGTGGCAGTCCATATAATAAATAATGATCATTAAAAATACAACCTGAAATAAGAAGTATATTATTTGATTTGTTCATTTCAAAATCATTTGACGAGCTACCTGGGAGGGGGTGGCGAGCTACTGGTGGCTCGTGAGCTACAGGTTGGAGACCCCTGGTGTAGGAGGACCTCAGTGTGCACCGGACAGAACACAATGGAGCTGTTGCCACGGCGTCCCAAGTGAAAACATGTGCAAACTCTTTCTTTTCTTCTCAAAAATAACAAATTTTCCTGGCGCCCTGGTTGTGGTCATGAATATACACCTATCTTCAAACATCCTTGTGTGCGTGTTGTCAGCCCATCTCGACATGTAATGTGAGGAAACCACGACAATGCAACAATAACAATTTAATATCTATTAGGATACGATCAAATAATACAAAAGTAATACACAAAAAGGTATTTCTCGTTGACTTCACTCGTGGAGACACAGCCTCCTCAGACATTATATTTGCATGTTTCTCAGACGTGTTTATCCATGGCATATATTTACGTCACTTCATGTCATTATATGGTTATACTACTCAAAAAATAATACATTATCAAACATTCAGTTAGGGGCTTTGATGAGGGATGTCAGAAAGCATTGATACAGCATGGAAAGGGAATTGTGGGAAAAATAACACAAATCTGGCAACACATTCAGATCAAAATTTGTATAGTGATCACGTTTCCTTTCGTTAAGTTAAGTTAAGTCGTTAAGTTTTCTGTTGTTTTTGACATCTGCGCCTGATTTAATTTAGCTTTTTTTGGTTGTTTTAACGCAATATTTATTGGCGGACTTAAAGGTGATATACCAGATTTTTGTGATGCCAAATTTGTGTCCAAAAAATGCTACATAAAGACTACAACAGTAACGACCGCCCCTTCAACAACCCTGTGTGTACAAAATATGGTCCCCAATCCTCCGACCACCTTGGATGTAATGCCTTGTGCATAATGATTGCTGAACCAAAACCCATCTGCATATATTTACTAAAGTGTACTCAAATGCACATGATGATATAACTGTATATCTTAAATACTATGTGCTGGTGAAGTGGTAAACGGTCATTATTATTCTAATTCTCTAACAATCTCAACACGATGAATGTAAAACGTCTACATTTGTTAGTATTGCTCCTCTAGGATTCACTTTGTCAAACCTGGCCATACAAATGAAATATTCAAACATATTTCAAAAGGATAGTTGAAAATTTTGTATAAAGTATTTGGATAATTGATCATTTCTTTACTAGTACTGTAACTGGAGAAGGCGACAGGAATTATAAACCCAGACAGTAGATGGAATTGGATACACTTTATAACTAAACGCATTGAAAATATGTCCCGTATGTGGTACAACATTAACAACAAGAGGCTCAAGGGCGACGTTTCCAACTCCCAGTATACAATATGAAGGCCCAATACTTTTCTATATATGGGCATCTGGCATATGTATGGAATAGGGAACAAATATAGTCCGTCTTTCATATCTATTGAAAAACATATGTAATTATTATGATAAATCACTGAATTGAGAAAAAAAGCTAAACTAAATGTCATTCCTGTCTTCTTTCTCAGACTAGATGTCTTGTAATTCTGTTAAAAGTTTTGCCAAAGTAAAAAAAAGACAGAAAAATAATTGTACAAAAAAAACCCTACCCCACAGTCATGGAGACACAGAGAACGTCTTTGAACTCATACACACGCCACCCATAAAATACATACAAAATAGATTTTTAAAACACAACAAACTGTTTATACATAGCACACTATCACAACCGGACAAGACAACTCACTGCTTTCAGATTAGAAGCATTCAGATACAATTCACTTGTTCGAGTCTAGTACAGAATTCTCGTTTTTACCGTCTAATTTTCGAAAGGTTTGAAATGAAAAAAATAACATCAAGCCACACGAGGGCTACAACACACACATCTCTTGTTTTAGAAGTGAATTAAAAGGACTTTTCTATATATACATATTTGAACAAAGTAACACCGACAGCCACGGAATGACAAGGCCTGCACTTCAGCCTGAGAGATGGTGACATTTAGTGGGAAAACATCCATCATACAACACTGCCACTGATCAACAACAATGATATAGTTACGTTCACATGATTCGGGTGTTCCATCTTTTGACCTGTACAAATTGGAATGTTTTATCTAAAAGAAACAAAAAACCCAATTGTATGTGTGCTTCTGGAGTTTGCTAATTATTTCCATTCCTAGCAGTCAAAAATCGGGGAAAAAGTGACGAAACATTGGGAGATCACGGGGGCGTTTCAATTCTCATTCCTGAGACGTGAAATACTTTTAAACACACAATGATGTAGAGAGAGATTTTTATATTTAAATGTCGCATCCTTTTTGTATAACTGTGTTGGTCGGCATGTATCTAAAAACGGAAGCTCACAGAATATGGCTATTTCTACCTTTCACATGGAATGCCGATCGGACAGGGATTTGCCGCATTTGATCGACCTCGGAATACTCGGTTAAAGCTCGCGGCCCTTGCCAACTGTAGCAGGTGGAATAAAACACAATACAATGCGCAATAAAAGATTGTTCTTATGCGTGACATTGGACGACTACATGTGTCAAAATACATTTAAGATTTTATACTACGCATGATTCTGTACTGGGACCCTTTCAATAGGCTGTTTTCATTATGTTATTATTAAGTCTATGTTTAGAGTTTCTTATACTATAAAGGTTCACAATAAATATAGATTTCTTTTTTTTAATTCAGTTGTATAGATATGATCTCTAGGTCTCCATCTGGACTGACCAAAAGCTGTCATTGACACAAAAACATGTCTTGCGTCTAAACTCCACACTACAGTTCAAATATATTCAGGTCTAACTAACTTGAAACGTTTACTTTCCTTCCAGTGGCTCTGGTCAGTTCAGTTTTGAGTCAGATGATATCAGATAATCTGTCATAAGTCTTATAATAAGCTAAACTAGATCCACTCTATGATAAAGAACGTATGAACATCCCATGAATACAACCTATTGTTCTCTCAGGATCGTGCTGAAATGAAGGGCACCTAAATTAGAATTCTTAATTGATCCCTTTTTCTGGTTCCCACTCGGCCGTGTCCTACATGGGCTCGTCGTAGTTGTAGGTGGGGGCTGCAGAGTACTGGTTCTGCTGCACGGCGCCTTGAGCAGCTCCCATCGCGGCCTGTTGTGCTGCAGCCTGGACGTGTGGGTTTTTCCAGGCCCCAGAGGTCCACTCCTCCTGGGCCTTCCCCATACTGCCCCCGCTGCCACGGTAGAAGTTGTGGACCTGTGTCACAAAGACGCTCATCAAAACGTGTAGTACAACAGTGTAGTACAAACATAAAAACATATCTGAAGCGTTTGGGATTTCTCACATTTCTTCATGAAATCACCATCAAATGTGATTTCAAAATCACAGATGAAAAAAAAGTGTCTGCTTCAACTTAAAAACACTCAGACATTTATGTGTTTTCATATTTTTAATGATGTTTAAAAACGAAAAGGGATGTCTGGCCTGAATCACTGTCACAGCATCGCAATGGGGTCAAGTCTGGACTTTGACTTTGGCCTCTCCAGAACGTGTATTCTATTCTTCTGAAACCATTTTGAAGTTCATTTAGTTTTGTGTTTTGGACTATTATCCTGCTGCAGCATCCATCCTCTTTTTAGCTTCAACTGTCTGACAGATCAACTCAAGTTTTACTGCAAAACATCCTGATAAACTTTTGAAATTTATTTTTACATGAATGATTGCAAGTCGACCAGGCTCAGAGGCCGCGACACAAAGCATTATGCTGCCCCCCCCCCATGCTTCACATGGGAATGAAGCTTTGAGGTTAGTGAGATGTTCCATTTTTCCTACGTAAATGACGTTGCAAATTCCTACCAAATATCTCCATTAACTTCCTCAGTCCACATTATATTTAGCCGATCTTTCTGTGGAGAGTCCAAGTGCCTGTTTTCAAACATTAAACATCCAACAGTCGTGGAGTGTTGGGGGTGTGTGTTTTACATGTAACACATGTGTACAGAGATATTGGACTGGGCCAGTGATTTCTGTAAGTCTTTAGCAGATACTCTGGGGTTCTTCGTTTCTGCACTGAACTCTTGGCATCATTGAAAACATTTCAGGTCACCTTTGTGAGGGCGATGCAGGAGAGCACAGTCAGAGCAGTAAACATGAGCGTGGGGATCAGCATCACCACAGCTGATCCGATGTTGGTGCTGAAGAAGGTAATGGTCGCCAGCCAGCCGCTAGGAGGAATACAAAATGTTGATTCAGTCAACAAAACCAGACAAAAAAGCCCATGAAAATCTGTCACTAAACAAATTCTTCTACAACAATGGGAATGGTTGGCATGATGTTTGGACCCTTATTGGCTCTTCACCGACAGGAAAGACAGAAACTTCCGACATGCCGGTGCACCCAGGAAAACCACGGAGAATGACATTATAATGAACTATACATAGAGTAATAATCATTTTCAAACATTTTTACTGGGACAACTTTATATGCTTGATAAGCTTTTATCAGTCAATTAAATTCAACTTATTCCCACTGATGACTGCTGTTGTTGTGTCCTTGGGCAAGACACTTAACCCCACTTCGCCTGAAGCCCACACTGAATAATCAAGGCTCCTGTGGACTCACCACCTACAGGAGGATCACTGAGGAGCTGGTGCTCTGTGTACTGGGTGCAGCTCTGACTGCCACCCCCCCCCGACCCAGAAATGGATTATGGGAAGAAAATGGATGGTTGGATGGATGGATGGATTATTTTTGTATTGTCCATCGGGAACGGGGTGACCAATGTTAATAAATGTTAATAAATGTGCATAAATGAATGTCCTGGATCATCAGTCCTTAGACCCTCCCACCCAAATTAAAAGGATTGTTTTAAGCCAACAGGGCGACAGTAGCTCAGTTGGTAGAGCATTGGCCTTAAGGCCAGAAGGTCGTGGGTTCAATTCCCACCTCTGCACCTTCTCCATCGACTCCCACTGATGTCTGCTGTCGTTGTGTCCTTGGGCAAGACACTTAACCCCACTTTGCCCAAAGCCCCCACTGAAAGATCAAGGCTATGCTCACACTCAGAGAGCAGCCGTCCTCCTGTGGACTCACCACCTGCAGAGGGTCAGTGAGGGGCTGGTGCTATGAGACTTGGGTGGCATCTCTGACTGCCACCCCCCTGACCCAGAAATGGATTAAAGGGTAGAAAATGGATGGATGGATGGATGTTTTAAGCCAGTTTTTGAATTGAATTGAATTGCGAGACTGTGATTGTTTCCTTGCCGTGGATGGGGAGCTGATTCCACAGTATCGTAGCTTTGTCTCTGCCTCCTACTGTAGTTTTTGACACCCCCGGGACCACCACAAGTTCTTGGTTTGGTTGATATGGTACTAGTGTTTGTTGGAGGTAGGCATCATTTACAGTCTTGAATGTGAAAAGAAGCATTTCTTCATTCTTTACGCAATGCGAAGCCATGCAGTGGACTGAGACTATTGTGCAAAGTATTCTCCCTCGGCTGACTTGTGTGCAGTTTTAGAACTTTCTCCACCTGTCCCACTATTTTAAAACAGTTTGGTGTTTTTTGGTCACTAGGTATGCGCCTATACTGTTGTTAAGCACATAAGATTCTTTAGATTGATGAACTGATCAAATGATAAATATTTCTAGCCGGGGGTTACAATCAGTGTTGGGTAGGATACTTGTGATGTATGTAATCCCTTCCAGAAATCTGGAATACATGACCTATAATGTATTTTGTTACTTTGGAAAAAATATTAAACTTTTTTTTTGCTTTAATTCAATATTTATATTCATTGTAAATCTATGTTTATTTACAAAACTTATATAAGGTACATTTCAAAATATTTAAAACCACAACCTCAATAAATGTTTAAATAAATAAAACAGCTGCCATTTAACAACCAGAAAAAATTGAACCGTCACTTTAAGAATACCCAATGTTTTCTTTTCTCAGTTTTAACCTTACAATGTAATGTGTGAAAGTATGTATTTGCATGTAACTATATTCTAAACACTAGACTTTAAAGTAGTAGACAGAGTATTCTGAATAAATAACAGCCTTACATGTGTCCCATTACTCCCCAACACTGACTCCCATGCTTTCGACCGCACACTCACCACACTCCCCAGCCTGGGATCCCGACTGTCTGAATGATCAGGATCACAACTTGAGCCATGAAAACAAAAAAAAAAGCCATGAAGTTGAAGGAGCTGTCAGTCCTGCAAAGAGAAACCGGCATTAGGAATAATCACGTAGAGAAAACAAAAAAGGCGAGTGTAGGTTTGTGTGTGACGGCAGCTCACTTGAAAGCCTTGTAAATGGGCCTAAACCAGCACACATAGGAACAAGGCGTGAAGAGAATGAGCCAGAGAATAGCCATGCCAAAGTTAGTGGCTCCACCGCCGCCGCACATCCACGCCAGACAACCAATCAGATTCACCGCAAGAGTGGCGCTGTTCACTGTCGACGACACAAAACATGTAAAGGACCTGGAAATAATGTTCATTTTCTAAATAATATCTACATTTACAAACCTACTTTTACACTGAGTTACACTATAGACCTCTTACTAAAAGACAGAGGTGGAAGTATCAGATTACAAATACACTTTTCTACTGAGTGCTCCCTGTTAAGACATAAATATGTACTTGCACTGTATAAAGGTAATTGATTTAATGCATCTAATCAATTATTGAAATAGTAATAATAGATTTTTAGCATTAGCTACAGTGGAATGAAAAACTTTAAGAACCCCTATCCCATTTTTTACAATTTTCCGACCTTTCTTTTTGTCTTTTTAAGTCATTGGTTGTTTATGATAAGATAAGATAAACTTTATTGGTCTCACAATGGAGACATTTACAGTTTTTATAAGTTATATTCAGTGAAATATATCATATTTTTTACACACTTTCTGTAGATGATATAAACTTTATTTCACTTCTCAAATATCACTGTTGGCACCTCCTATAGATTACATGTTTAACTGACATTTCTTTTATCCATATATGATTTGAATAAGAAAAATTACAAAAATTGTCAGGGATGCCCAAACTTTTTCATACAACTGTAAAATATGCTGGGATTAGCTTAGAAGGTTAATTCAATAAGATAAAAGAAATGTCTAAGCATTAAACAAAAGAAAACAAGATGGACGCTTTACATGTAAAATGCTGAGAGAAGGTTTTAAGACTGAGAGAAAGTTGTATACTGACTGTGGTTACAAAGTATTTTTACTCAAACAACCCAATGTGGAACAAGTCATCTCTATGAAGATGTTCTCCAGTGACACGTACGGTATGTTTCTTTATTTTTACAGATACAGTGCACACGAGACACTAGCCAAGAGGAGAGATGCAGTGTAGCAGGTTGTGGTAAAACAGTAAAATAAAAGTAATCGGATACATGACCAAGCAGAAATTACAATTTAATTTACCGTACAAGTTACAATAGAATCACCCAGCCCCTCACACACACACACGCATACTTGTCTTTATCATCTCGTGGGACCACCAGACCAGGACATGCATTGTGGGACCCAGCCTTTCTGTAGGGTTTACAGCAGCAAAAAAAAAATCAGGCATGGCCCCCTGGAGGCCCTGAACGGTAATATCACGTCAAAATCCAAGATTTCACAAACAATGTCCCACACCAGACTGTTACTATACTTCTGGGGACTTAACAGGTATTGCTATACTTGTGATGCCCAAACTTACACACTGTCAGGTTTTTAGCTACTTTTAGTCCCACACACACACACACACACACACACACACACACACACACACACACACACACACACACACACACACACACACACACACACACACACACACACACACACACACACACACACACACACACACACACACACACACACACACACACGCACACACACTACCCAAACGTATATCTTTTTATAACATTGCTATAACCTCATTTTGAGATTGTACAAAAACATATAAGATTTACCTACTTACTACCTACTTACTTACTACCAATGTTAATGTTTTGATAATTCAGTTGTGTCGGTCGAAGGGAGACTTAGGTCGATGCATCTATAATGTCTGCACTTTTTCCACCTCTGCAAAAAGGATTCTACAAACTACTGATAAAACAGAAATCTACTTGTGAACAAACCTTACAGATTCATGTCGGCGATAACCTACACAAAAATGAAACATGGGAAACTTGTGACTACAGTACAGTACATCAATGTGTTAAACCTGAAAACATAAAGAGTTCACATTTATTTAGAGTAGATTTACTTTTGAGAAAAAAAACGGTCTCAAAGTGAACAGAGGCCACTCACAAAACTAAGGGAATAATGAGCAGATCATAGATATAGAACTTAACATTTGTTTTCTGGTCTCTTTCTGGTCTCTTTCTGGTCTCTCTCTGGTCTCGCTCTGGTCTCGCTCTGGTCTCTCTATGGTCTCACTCTGATCTCTATAATCTCTCTCTGGTCTCATGGTCTTGCTCTGGTCTCTCTGGTCTCTCTCTGGTCTCTCTATGGTCTCTCTATGGTCTCACTCTGGTCTCACTCTGATCTCTCTATAATCTCTCTCTGGTCTCATGGTCTTGCTCTGGTCTCTCTGGTCTCTCTCGGGTCTCTCTCTAGTCTCTCTCTGGTCTCTCTGGTCTCTCTCTGGTCTCGCACTGGTCTCTCTGGTCTCTCTCTCTCTGGTCTCTCTCTGGTCTCTCTCTAGTCTCTCTCTGGTCTCTCTCTGGTCTCGCACTGGTCTCGCACTGGTCTCTCTGGTCTCTCTGGTCTCTCTCTCTCTGGTCTCTCTCTGGTCTCTCTGGTCTCTCTGGTCTCTCTGGTCTCTCTCTAGTCTCTCTCTGTTCTCTCTCTGGTCTCGCACTGGTCTCTCTGGTCTCTCTGGTCTCTCTCTCTCTGGTCTCTCTCTCTCTAGTCTCTCTCTGGCCTTTGTGTCCTTGTTCTGTACTATTTTTTATTGTAATTGAGTTTTGGGGTGGGGGTGTTCACCTAATATTGTTCAAATAAATAAATATATACAGTAAATAAAACACATTGATAAAGTTATTGTTATTATTATCACCTCAGACCATACACACCCATCACACACATCATCTGTTCCCACCCCTGCCCTTTGGGAGGCGCTACAGGTCCTTTCAAATCCGTTTGTCTCAAAAACGGCGTCTTTACCGCTGCCATTTGGTAACAATCATTCCTGCTGAACCAAATCCCACCAACTTGTGCATAAATGATTCTTAAAGTATAACTAACATAAAATGGAGGTAAATGTGTGGTTTTTTAGTGATGGATAAAACTCACATATCCATATATAGTAGAGGCGTTTGCACATGGTACGGCTCTGGTCTGGGATCTCGTTGAAGTCCTGGTAAAAGCAGGGCTTCAGGGGGATGAATCGAGGCAGCGGGGGGAAGTTGTTTTCTAAAATCAAAGACAGAAAACGCCACGAGTAGCTTCAGCTCGCTCTTCACATGTGGAATCTGATCTAAGGAGGATCTAGTCTGAGCTCCTCTTGGTTGACAAAACTATTCAACCGCTCTGAAAACATAAAGCATTATAATAGGTTGCATTCATGTTCCAGGATTCTATTTCAGTTGGAGGGCAGGTACAAATACGTGTCAATGGAAAAGAATACTTAAGAAATGTTAAAAAATAAAAAGTCCAAATGTTTTTCCCCAGATCATTATTTAATAAGTGATTGAATTCACAAACCCACCATATTATTCTTCTGTCAGAAAGTCTTTGTCACTGTTTATATTTCATGTGGATAGGCCCCGGGATTCCAGAAAAATTAGTTACCCGAGTGGGTAACTCATCCGCCACAATATCAAACTATAGGCTCATTGGAATCTTGTGATGTCACATGAATGCAACATATTTCATACCCTTGCATCTGTACAATCATACATGTGTACAGTTCAGTTAATCTCCAAAGCTCATGAGTCATAACCAGATAGAGAGTATGAAAGAAGATTGAGGGCTAATATATAGTAATAGATTATTATTACAATAGAGATGAACATTGACTGCTGTTAATGTTATGCATTGTAATGCTCCTGACGTAATCAGGATGGGTCAAATGCAGAGGATTGAATTGCTCTACGGGGATTAATAAAGTGCACCTTTACCTTTACCTTTGGATATATGGTATACAGATGAAATGAAACACCTACCAGCCATTATGATCCTTCAAAGTGTTGGTAAAACTGCACACAAGTTTGCCTCTTTCCTTCCAAAAGATACAACTGCAAGACAAAAAAAGAGAAATGAGATGGCCTGAATCACAGGGTCCCACCCAGATAGGGTCTCAGTTTGAGGTAAAACAGAGTTATATATAGCGTTTAGTGGGAATATCCTAAACCTTTTATCCTCCATGGAGGCATTGCTGTTCTGTTTTTTTTTTTTGCATATTTTTATTAATTAAACAATAAAGTAGAAAAAGGATGATGAGATGAGCAGGTGATGGGAGGTGTATGTAACATACACTGTAAAACGTAAAATGGTGAGTAGGAGTTTAAGACTGTGGCTACTCCTCCCTGAGCTAGGAGCGTTCTGCCTGATCTGTAAAACATGAAAAGTATCTTCATAATAATTATAACAATTGTAAATTACAATCATTGGCTCATAGAGAGTAAAATAATAGAGCATTAGTGTGTGTTCGGGCGGAGATGCTAACACCAGGACACAGTGAGAGCATCGTGAGGAGAGCGTCCTTCAGCCCTGCTCCTCCATCCGGACACGGAGCAGGTCAAACGCCTCTTTCCACCCAAACTGCTCTGATAAATGCCACATTCTGGCCTCCTGTATCGTGCTGACTGCATTTAAGCAATACTAACAATCGAACAGCTCCTGGTGGGAGGGATTCTTACCTTTCGTTTACAGCGTAGCTAAAGAGCCTCCTCCTCTTAGCATCCTATGGATTCCTCTGCATTGAGGACAATGGGATAAACACATCTGTTACGTTCAGATGGAGCTGACAAATGTTTCCTCGTGTGGTGGAGTTATGTGTAAAATCAATCACTTGAGGTTTAATCTTGATTTTTCCACACAATCCTCCGCTGTGGTTAATATGAGTGTACTCACCGACAGCCCGGGCAGCACACGGCCTACAGTCAGATGGAGAGAACAGGATTTGTTCTGGCCTCAAACAGACCAATCACAGCGAGGCGATGTTGATTCATTTCCGCCGCTGCCTGAGCTGTCCAGAGTCCTGAAATCACAGCATTTACCATGAACACAGGGAATCGTTTTTATTATTATAATTCATTCACCTTCTGTAAAAAAAAAAAACGTAAATAATCCTCAATATAAATCATTTCATATAGTTACTTTTCATAATGGTGTTGGTGATTTTTCCTGTGTTTTCTTTGCCAAATCAAATGTAAAGTCTTGTATGACAGCATGTTAGATCCTGACTGCGATAATGTGGATCATTATAATATCCAAAGGGTTACACAGTGTCTTTTCTGTTCTTGGGAATTTAATGATAAAGTAGAACGTGCGCACTCGCAGTGCGCATACCCCGCCAACTCCACGTATCCTCTCGAACTGTTAATGGAGCCTTCGTACCATCACGTTTAACTCCAAATTTAAATCAAGTCATTTTCTAATCCGGTCTACAGGAAACAGACACACTGTCGTGCGTTTAAGACAGTTTCAAAAAACATTTCTACCTCATGTGTCGGAAGAAATGCTACCATCACAATGCTCCATGGAAGAATTTCTTCACAATTTTAATACATTAATGGGTAACACATTTAAAAAAAAAAAAAAGTTCGTCTGCATTAAAAAAATCACTGTCAGTGTGTACCACCCATAGACTGTATATTGTACCACCATACAGTCTGTGGTACCACCCTCAAGCTCCCACACAATTCTAGTCTTCTGTGTTAAGTCTCAATAGAAGCATTGCAAATTATAAAATAAGTTAAAAGCATTACACTCATAGTGTTTTTGTTGTTGTTGTTGTTGTTACTATTATTATTATTATTAATAATAATAATATAGGTGTTGATAATGTTTTTTCCGAAGCCCCGTAAATGCCCCGGGGCTAATGCTAGCACTTCCTGTTCGCCGAATGTTATGAGTTGACCATAGAGTTGATAAGCGAAGGTAAAATACAATATAAATGATTTACTTTACATTTACCGAATACGCCATGAAAAGCGTATGCAACTTTTGCACACAAGGTGGCTGCATACGTCTTTTTATTTTCACAAATGACCATATCATTTGCTTGCTACGAGTTAGCAATTGCTAAGTCAGTCCAGCAGCTGGAATGTTTTGGTTGATGTTTGCTGATGAAGAGTATTCATACAATGTATTAAAACTGCATGAGCCATGTATTAGAATGTTAGTTAATTTTAAATGACCGATTTCATTAAAATTTTAATTCATTTAAATCATTCAAAACAAAAATGTAAAATATTCTGTATCCAGTGGCTTGCAAGAATACTACTCAATTAAAAGGAGCTTGACGTCTTTTGATAACCTCAAAGAACCATAGACCTCCACCTGTCTAAATTATAAATATGCGATGTTTTCCATTCCATCCCTGCAGAGTGGGATGCAGCCGCCTCTCCCAGTCGATGTGGTGCGAGAGCTGGTGTGTTCCTGTTTGCACAGGGACCCTGTGGCCGCTGATCTCCGGTGCAGCCTGTTCGTTGCAGCAGCTCAAACCTACAAGAGAGACTCTCTCCTCAGACCCTTTCCCCCACGATACATCAGTGGAGACAACAAGGACTTTGAGGAACTGGTCAGAATGTGCTTAATTATAATGTTTTATTGGTGTCATTGCTGTATTGATGACATTACAATGTTATTGACTGTTGGACGACCACTATAAGTATCATAGTATCATAAAACAAATCTTTTGCAGTTGGCTGATGTGAAGTCACTCCCTGGTGTGAGGGACTTGGTGAGGCTGCGACCTGGAGAAGGAGATCATCATTTAGCTCTTACGCACTGGATCCTCTCTTCAAAGAGTTTGGCTATAAAAACACTGGAGAAAGATGAGGTAAATGGTTCTTAATAGTTAAATTATGACTATACAAAAAGCTATGTTTCACGGTTTCCTTCTTAGTATGCTCATCTGTGCAACCTGACACAAAATGAGGGCTTCTCAGGGCCACCTCCAGACTTCCTGTTTGAGATTGAATACAACGACCAGCTAAATGCCCGGTTTGAGAAAACAAGGGCTGGGCGAGACACTTTCTATGCATTCCATGGAAGCCGCCTAGAAAACTTTCACTCTATCATTCACAACGGGCTCCACTGTCACCTCAACAAGGTTTGACTGTTGTTCTTCTAGAACTTTTAACACATGATGTTTTTTTAAAACAAATGGGAACACAATAATGAATAATACATTAATGTCTGTGATTTTGTTTGCAGAACTCTGTGTTTGGAGAGGGCACCTACCTGACCAGTGACCTCAGCATGGCGGTGCTGTACAGCCCACACGGCAGCGGCTGGAGGGAGAGTCTGTTGGGTTCACTGCTCAGCTGCGTTGCTTTGTGTGAAGTCATTGACCATCCTGATGTCAAGTGTCAAGTCAAGAAAAAAGGTCATTCAATGTTTGTGTGTGTTTTATTATGATTTAACAAAAGGTCATAAAGTAACAAATATGGACGCACTTTCAGACTCTGAAGTTATTGACCGACAGAGATCCAGAGCAAAGAACAGTGAAGGTGGAGATGTGCCACAGAAATACTTTGTTGTCACAAACAATCAACTGTTGCGGGTCAAGTATCTGCTGGTGTACTCTCAGAAAAGGCATCTGTCACGGTAAACTCTAGTTTTTAGTATTATAGATAACCAGTGATTCATTAAATTAATGTGTGTACTTCTGTACTAATATTGTAAGCCTGCAGTTGAGGTTGATAAAGTGCATTATAATGTTGTTTTTTGTAGAAACTCCCGGGGCTCGTCGTGGCTCCTCAGACACCACTTTGCCGTCATGATGAGTCTGTACCTTCTGCTGCTGCTCCTGATCGGTGCCTTCAACTCCAGCGCGTTCATTTCTTTTTGGAAAAGACTGTTCAGGTGACGAGACCTCGTGACACATGTCGTATCCAGTGCCTTTCTCACGCTGAAGCCCTGAGAGGTTTTATGCTTTCATAATGTTCAAATATATTTTATACATAAGATATGACTGCTATTTTTTACTTTTGAAATCATTTATAAAAGAGTTATAACATTTAGGCAAACCTAAAAGTAAAAGTATGTATTTAACAAGAAAGATTTGACTCTTTTAAGTCTTTGTCTTTTGTTGCTCTCATTGTTTATGTGTTCACTTATTCTGTTTACGTTATAAATATTCATCGGTCACATCAGTAAAAAGTCTTATCTATATTTAAATACCAGTCCTCCATGTTGTTTTTAAAGTCTTTATTTAACTTTCTCTTTGTCTGGGTCACTTTAAAACATCAACAACCTAAAAGCAGATTTATTGCTGCTGGTAAGAAGCTCGTATCTCATTGTTTTATCAGCAGAAGTGAGAAGGAGCTCTGGAAGTCCTGATAACAGATGCGGTCTGCTTTGAAGACCGATACCACATGCACAAATGTCATTTAAGAGATGGTCAATTATGAAATGATATGCAATGTTTATCCTTCTCAAAAATATGATTTAGACCAATATTTGTAATAATGGGACATTATTGGTTTGTTGGTTCTATGATACAACTATACAAACATTGTATACACCTTTTAAAATATACATTTTGATTTGAATATAATAAACATCGAAAACTTTACCATACATGAACAGAACTCTTTAAGAGGATTGTGACATATTTGATAAATGCCATATTTGAAGGACACGACACAGATGGCCCATTGTTGGTCTTGTTCAGCTCATTATTGCAGCTGCCTCATAAACTGTTATTGAATAACTCCTGGTCACAGGGGGCCGCCTGCCGAGGGGACTCGCTCGGCTCGGCTCTATATAGTACTCTCAGAGCGTATTTGAAATGCAGTGCATGTATAGTTTAACACATTAGTCAGTACAAATAGCTGCCTTTGTGCTGGTGCTACAGTTTAAAAAAAATAAATGGTTTGTCACTTTGATGCATGAGGACAGTCCGGGACCAAACACACCAGGAGTCCTTCAGTGTTACTCTGTGAAGAAGAGGAGTAGCCTTTATTCACTGTTTCTGAAGCACAATGTCTAGTCAGGAGTGAGTAAACACAACAGAATGTACCGGTATATTGTGGTGGCAAACAGGCTGGTTGGGAAGCTGGAGGTGGTTGTGAACACATTTGCCAAAGTGCTGCAGACAGGACTGGTCTGAGGCGGGACAGGGCTGAGGACAGGGCGGGGGCGTGACCAAGACACAGGCAGAGCACGACGTGTGTTGACAAGAGCCCTGGCACGCTCTTCTCTCCAGAGACACAAGTCTAAAGGCATAATATAATAATAAATCAACCATTATGGCTCACTCCACACTAAACTGTACAATACGTCAAATCTTACTTCAAGCGGCAATAAAATAATTGTATGAACCAATAATGTTTGTACCTAATAATTCTTTAATACTGTAGTAGTTTATAAATACATAGTATAATCTCAGATGGGCAGCTCACAACCGTTTAAAGAAAAATGGTGCCTTTCAAAAAAAATTATTGAACTTTGGGGACACAATTGTTACATTTAGGACGTGTCATGTTGGAGGCTTTGTGAATGGAATAATTAATAGGACAGAAGAATTTAATGGTTGGGGATATAACTATAATCAATCTGTAATTATAGATTTTACATCATGCAAAAAAGTACTCGATAACTGCGGACAAACTGGACGTAACACTTTGGGGAACAAAACAAGAGAGGGTGCGGTGACATTCGGCAGAAACGGCCACGGACATTTCAGGACTTTTTCATGTCATTGGCCCAAATGTATCGCATTCGTGCAGTTTAGTGTGGAGTTAGCCTTACATTAACCTTTATGGACATTTATCAACACTTATGGACCACTACCAACGTGTTTTCTATTTTATTTCTTGTGTTTGAACTGTTTGATTCTCTGATTCTCTGTTGGCAAATTAAACTGTAGTGAAAAGTTTTCCAAGATAACTACTGCTGTGATTTAGGGCTATACAAAAATATCTTTAATTGAATTGAATTGAATTATACAACTTCAATTAAACTTCATAACAATACACTTTTGTATAAAGGGCGATGCTGAATACCTTGCAGAGCAGATTTTAGTCGGGTTGTCACGGCAGAATTCCTTTGTGCACTCCGGGTGGCAGCTCTCTGACTCCAATGGCTCGATGACTAAAAGAAAGAAATGTCAACATGATTCATTTGAGTTTTGGGAGTGTGTGTCCGTCAGATGCTGAACGAGTCGAGGTTACTGCGTTCAGATCAAAGGAAGCCTTGACCACACTATCAGTCTGAGCGGCTCATAAAAGTGTTTACTACTTTGGCTTTGTTCCAATAATAAAGAAGTGAAAACGTATGATTCAGACGGCTTTGAATACATAAGGTAACCACGTTGTATAGAAATGACGGTTGTAACAGTATTTGTGGATGTAATCTTGTTAATTGCACTTATCTCACTCCCTGTATCAAATCTGCAGACATTGCATTCATAGGGCAAATATGTATAAAGCTGAGGTCTTGCCTGCTTTACAAACTCCAGTCCTTTCGGTCTTGTCCTGTCCCGACTCTTCGAAGACACAGACCAGCCCCTGGTCACATTTCCCCAGATAGTCCCAGGCCCCGCCACAGCTCTCGGCCTCAGCTTTGGCACAGACCGGACAGCAGCCGCACACACCGGTCGTCACCCCTCCCTTACACCTGAGCCTCAGCGCTGTCCGAGGGGAGCAGTGCACCCGCTCACAGGGGGGGCAGTGGAGGGCCTTCAGGTGCTGGTGTGCGGGGTCCTGTGCTGGAGAATTCCCTTTTGTAATTTGGAAAGGAGAAAATAAGTTGGTTAAATAGAAATATTTTGAATCCTGATGCATTTTTGAAAGGAATAGATCTACTTGCGGACTCAAATGTTTCTCAATTCTCACGGTTTAAACTTTTATATATATATTATGTTACATGTTTGCTCATACGCAACAAAAAAGATGTGAAAATAAAGTATATTTGTAAAATCTACCATTTAGTCGCGTTGAACCAATTGGGTTTTTCATATTAGGTTCCATCACTGGTCAAGTTAGTAAAAATCATCAAACTTCAGCACAAATAATTTTTTCAATCATTAAGTTTGACCCGAGGATAGCACAAAGGTTCAATTATGTTTAAATGTGATCTGAATTACCCGCTTTTAGTTTGTATTGAACAAATCCTCCACGTCCTAAAAACTATTACTTGGAGCGAGACCAAGAAATGTAACTCAAATGAATGCTTAGTACAAGAGTAGAATGTATCACTGACCTGTTGTTTCCAGCGCCCCCAACAGAAAAGTTCCTACAAATACTATCAGCATCATTGCTACATTGTTTTTTCAATTTGAGCAAATGTAATTTATATACACATGCACAAGAGGACTTTATGGGCCCTCATCTCCACCCCCCACAGCAGCCAATAGATGGGGGTTTCACTGATGGGATGTCTTATCTGTGCACTATCAAATGTGTCCCTCAAATCAGATAAACAAAGTGATGGAAAAAACACTAGACCCCTTTGTGTGTGAAGTCACGTGACTAAAGAGGGGGCAGATCAGAGCACACTTAACAACCAGGTATGACCTATTTCTACAAGAACAAAAGCTCTGATGGTTTTGTGTGGATAAGATGGATATTTTCTCACAGGCTCACTGTGGGGAACTGACGCGAAATGCTGTAGCTTGCAAAATAACTTGATTTGTATAAAATGTTTATTTACCAGGAAACCACAAGTAACACTGAATACAACTGGAGCTCATTCATTAGTCAATAAAAGTCCTACATCATAAAGTCGCCTTGAAAAAGACGCAAACACGTTGGTAGTTTGCTGGTGCTACAATAAGTTTTGTTTTAAACCTCTTAACTGTTAAGGTGCCGCTCACCAGTATAGAAAATGACTTTACATACATTTACAAAGGGCTGGATGTCAAAGTGCAATATGTCAGATCCCCCCCCACCCCTAAACCCATCCCCAAACTGTCGTGTGTGTACTCCTTTAGAAACTCGCCCGTACAAATAGTGAACAAAGTCATTTGGGGCCAGTATGGCTTGGTATTCAGTTGAGACCTAATCTATTTCTGTTACAACTTTGAAAAATGTAATTTTAAAAACATTTTCAAAAGACATTAGTTTTAAACTGCACCTGGTCGTGAACTGCATGTAATGGAAACATTATCACAGGAAAAACCATTGCATACAATCCAAACAAGCAACTTCAACAAAATGCACACGTCATTTTAAAAAAGCACAGCTACTAAAATGTTAAACTAAACAGACTTAGAAACCTTGAAAACATTTACACATATTTACAAAAGTGAATATTTTACAAGTTTGACTGGCCGCTCCATGTCAGGCTGAAGCCTACAAGGTCCATAAAACCCAACACGCCACATTCAGTTTCGTCATTCTTCGTTGTTGAACATAAATATGAGCCAAGAGAAAGTCCTGTTCTGATGAGGAACATCTACAGCTTTTGGCTTCAAACATTTTGCTGTTTTTACAAAAACATGATACTACTTTTTGTTAATTATGTTAATAATGCACCAAAAAAGTGAAAGTCTTCAGTCTGGAGGCAGGAGGTCGTGCAAACGATAGCGCTCACGGATGTGTGGTCTGACGTCTTCATTCTAGAACAGCGACACTTCATTAAACCAACAACATACAGCAGAAGAAATAACTTTGTTTTAAAGCAACAAATGTTTTACCAGTTCCACCAGTTTCTCAAGAAAAGGTACTAACTTCAAAAGTTCATTATCATTTCTATCCACAAACCAACTCTCGATGGGAATGCCATTGGCGAGCTAAAAGCAGAGAAATAGAGTTATGAACTGAGACACTAGAATAATATTGCTCTTTGTGATGTTCACCTGGTAGGCAAAGGCCTGGGGAGAGTTGTCAATGATTACCGTCTTTGAGAGATCTCGTCCAAGGATGTTCAGGTCTTTGATGTAGTTTCCTTGGACACAAACACAATGTTCCCGAAATAATCTGTGCCTGGTGGGAAAAAAAAGGTTTCATAAAACTTAGAGAAGTTGCAGAAAACTTTTGAACTTCCTGAAGTTTCCCCTTTTCAAGAATGAATATTGGCACAAACCTGACAAGCTGTTTTTTAGGATCCAGGATATTTAGAAGCTTATCTGCATAGACTTTCTTTGAAGCAGTGAAGAGAATTATCTAGTAATTCAAATAGGCAAAACGAATCAATTTATAATTTCTTTGAGCACTTCTAATGTTATAATGAAAAACCATCTCACCTCAAACAACTGAGACATACGTTCAAGAAACTCTCGGAAAAAGGGCCTTAATCGAACATAAACCTGTTTTGTCAAAAACAAAGTTACAAAAACGACTGGACAGACTTTGAAACGTATTAATGTCCATGGATTTTCTTCCGTTGACAAATGGACGTTACACCATGAAATGAGCCAAGTGGAACACTGTACCTGGTATATGACGTCCTGAAAGAGCACAGGGAAAGTCAAAGCTGCATCTTCGAGCTCGTTCAAACTGCAGTGCACCAGTGTTTCATCCTGTTTGTGCAAACAACACGTTATACATATTATATTATACCTATTTGAAACATGATCAAATGTTCTTGTTCTTACCAAATCTAAAACAAGGGAAAACTCCGGAGTGCTGCGTGTTTTCAAGGGTAGTGCTGGTTTTCTCGTCAGCTGCTCTTCATTTAACGGAGGCACGTGCTTGATAAAAAAGTAGCTAAAAGATTTAAACATAAAAAGGATTAAAAAGACAAACCAATGATAAGTAATATATAATAAAACATACTGCAATCACATCGCCTTGTTTAATCTACATTGACATAGTGATAACATGGTTTTGCTGCCATCTAGTGGCAGGACTGTTCAGTAACATCTCCAAGAGCAATGTCACCTTGAACAGTGCAGTCGAAAAATCCACATAAAAATTGGGATCAACCCAGAAAATAAATCTGGACAAGACCAACTTTTATTAGAGTAGGGCCTAGGAAGCGATAAACAAGACTCAAACCAAGAAATCATATTGACAACGATGGACAACCAACAAGATCAAGAGAAAGAAGTAACTTACGGATCAAATACTTCCCACTCGTCCTCATATGAGGTTTCTACAGGAACTGGAGGTAAAGTGTGATGATACCCTCCACCTGGGATACAGCCTTGAGCTGAAATGAGATTGTATGTTACTCTGCTAATTTAATAAGGCCCCAAGTTGCAACAGATGCAAGTACAAGTTGAGGCTATGTTTAATGGAATTACCAAGTAAGCATACATTTCTTTTAAACTGAGAATATCTAAAAAAGTCCCACAGTATATTTGAGAGCTCTGTACCTGTTAGTGGCGGCATATCGGTTTCTGTCACTATCTCGTCTTCTTCAATGGAGTCAGTGCTAATATGGAGCCTTGGGGGTAACTCATTGTCGCCATGACAGAGAGTGATGCTTTCAGTGGATGTGAGAGTGCTACTCGGCATCTCCTCTGCCGGCTCTATGTCTAGCTGCTTCATTATCTCCTCTGCCTCCACTGCTTGGCCCGGAGAGTCTGATCCAGGAGTGGCTGGAGTAACAAATAAATGCATTGTTTATCATTATACAATGTATTTAGTAATGCATACAGTGTATATTTAAGAGGAATGCTAATATTTCACCTAATTTTGTTGCTGGTGCAAAAAAGTTGAAGACAGGAGAAAAGATGGTCCCGAGCAAAGTAGTACGAGGAGGGCTGTTCTCTTCTTCAACGGGGGCCTCTAGTTTTCCATTTGGCTTCAAAGGTTTACTATTGAGGGTTAGCATATCTAAAAGACAAACGTAATAATGTAATCATATTCATAAAACAGCGACATAATAGAATATTGTACCTTTATTGAGACTTTTTCTACAAACTCTATTCCCTGCTTTATTGGCAAGGCCTCGAGTTTGTGGTTTTGAAGTAATAAAACTACCATCAGATTTACAATCAATACAACTTTTCTTGGCAGGAATTTCCTGCTCCACCTGAAAGAGATTGAAACACACCTGTTAAATACAAACTATTTAAAGTTGTTTAGCACAAGCACAGAGATTTCCTACCTTAACAGCATTGCCACGTATGATTTTTTTAATTGTGGAGAGGAGGCCGGGTGGATTCTTCTGCATCTTCCCTCGGTTCCTCACAAGGGACGGCTCCACAACACAGTGTTTCCTCTTTCCCTGGGGTAGACGGGAACGACGACCCAAGTTTGATTGCTGAGGAGCTTTGCGCACTCTCAGCTTCATTTTGCCAAGTCGTCACATGAAAACTCTGAAATAGCACAAAACACACATTCTGTAAGAAGCATGTCATTTGCATATATGGGCAATATACAATTTCGTATTGTATGGATATAGTGTATCTGTAGAATCAAACTGAGTTTACACTAAACTGCACGACTATACTGTATTTGAGCCTACACACATTTGTTTGTATTGTGCCACTATTGTAGAACTAAAATAGATCTATGCTCACTATTCATTCATGTCATGTGACAAAACAAGGTTGAACAGTCAGTGGGCAGATGAGATCATATGATGCTCCATGATATATAACATGAACAAATATACATGACCACTAATTTGAGGCTTACTACTGCTGTGTTTAAATATTTTATTATCATAACAGTGTTTTCTTTTTGTAGCATCGCGATCGTTCGACGTCAGCCTTGGCTAACCCTAGCCTTTAGCTAAACAGAAAACTACATTTCTCAGGCATTGCGCTTTTAGGGCTGCTAGTTTTCCTGCTTAATTCATTGGGTAACACCATATTTTTAAACCGAGCCAGTCTTCTTTAGACTGTAAGTAATCATGTATAAGACATGTTTTGATACAAGGCCAACTAAAACCAAGAAATCATCAAAGCAAGGCGATGTCATTCGTCGCTCTCCATTCTGTAAAACATCCCGATGTGTTTTCGCTATGTTTATTTGATCAACTCTTATAAGTCAATACCGAAAGTGTGACCTACAGGTTATTGTCATATTGTCCACGGCTAAGCTAACTACATGTATATTCTGCCATTAGACTACGCCCCCTCCGCTAGCATTAGCATTAGCCTCCGCTAGCAGCAGCAGGACAAACATGTTTGTTTACATGTTGACGTAGCTCGTTTCTTACCGAGAATCTGTGGCGCTTCAGTCTCGCTGCGATGTCAGCGTTTGGCCGCAGCGCAGGCGGCCCCAGAGGCGCTCAGGCCGGGGCTGTCGCTGTCTCTGCTGCGGGGGGAGCTCCGGAGAGTCACGGTTCAAACCCGAGAGCAGACGCCATTTCCCGCCTCGTCACAGTCTACGGCTGGAGCTGCGCATACGGACCAGACTGGAGCAGACTGGAGCAGATGCGACACTGCGCGGAGAGAATCCTCAGCAGCAGGACGACATGCTGAGACCACTGAAGTCATATTATTATACTTGATACATATGTGACAACCGGGCCTGTTTACTTCAAACAAACCCATTATGCTCATCCTACTGCTTTACCAAATGTGCCCATTCCTTTACTGAAATCTGACTTCAGAAGCTTGGATTTGAGGTAAACCATTATACATTTGGGGATATCAAGTTATTAACCACTAATGTTTTAATTCAATTACCAATATAGGCAGCGGCCATTTATTCCTGTCGAAATATAATCTTTGTGTGATGATGAGACCCCTGAATCCAGCTTCTTTCATCTGCACCTGTGGACTTCTGGTCCCCTGTGGACTACTGGTCCCCTGTGGACTGGTCTCCTCTGGCCTGGACCCGTGGGCTGGAGCCGGCACCACACAGCCTCGTTCTACAGCCTGAGTCCTGTGTCTAGAGCCAGTCTGTCCATAGCAGCGAATCCATAACCTCTCATTATGGGCCTCCAAGGTTTCTCACTTTTTTCCCACTGTATATTTGAGTTCTAAGGACAGTGACAATCTGGGACATTAAACAAAATGCACAGACATTGTTCATCTCTCGCTCCCTATGGACCAATGACTTTAGTGTTTGTAATTGCATTTCCTGTGTTTGATTGATGAATTGACTGCTCTGTGGAGTCCTCCAGATGAATATTGTTGTGATTCAGGGCTATACTAAATTGAATTGAATTGAATTGAATGAATATCTTTAAGTGAAATGCATACAAGCTCAAAAACATGGAACAAAGTACACAAATGTATCCTTTTGTCACCCATTTATAATAGTTGAATGTAGAGAGAAAATCAATTCTAAACACGGCAATAACATCAAAACACTACATCAGACATTACAACGTGTTAAATGATTGTCAAGTAAGAAAAAACACACATGGTTTGGAGTCCTGTTGTAAAATGAAAATTTATTTCATTCCAAGGTGCATCAGTTTCCGATATGGAGCCGGCCCTCCCCACAGTCCCCTAAAATATAGATATAAAGAATAAATGAAAATGACATAAGTGACCCAGTGGTGCAGTTGACGTATTTACCTGAGCATCCCGTGCCAGTAGAGATGGGGCATCACGTCTGCTTTCATGTGGTACATAATCCGCCGCTCTTTGGCCTGGTTTATGGGAAATGTTTCCAGTGGTTGCCCGTTATAGTCGAACTCTGCTAAAATAACTGATTTATATCCTGTGACCAATGGGCAAGACGTGTAGCCATCGTACTACAAAACAAAAGCCAAGTTTAAAAAAATACTTTGACAAAGTTGACATTTTAGAAATAACACTGATCCCAAGTGGACAACTTACAATTTTATCAGGTTTCTGATTTTTAAGTATTCTGCTGATGGTTCGATGTAAGACTCCAGATTGAGCAGCTACAACAGAAAATGTGTTGTTTATCATTGATGGTTTATTACTTCTTGTTCAATCAGTTCAGTAAGTGTCTTGTTTTTTCAGTAGAGTAAAACATTTCATTGAATCATTCAGTGATTTTGGCTTTTCTAGTTTCTTTCAATTGATATTTTTGAAGATTTAAGACACCATGTGATTTGAAACTATAGACTACAAATGTGGGTGTTCATGGACTTTTCTAATCAGAGTTGGATTGGTTGGAATGTTTTTTGTGTCTTCAATTAAACAAGGCAAGAGAGAGAGAGTTTATGGAACACTTTAAACTTGGGCGGCACGGTGGCTGAGTGGATAGCACTCTCGCCTCTCAGCAAGAAGGTCGAATCCCGGTCGGACCAGGGCCTTTCTGAGTGGAGTTTGCATGTTCTCCCTGTGTCTGCGTAGGTTTCCTCCGGGTACTCCGGTTTCCCCTACCACTAAAAATATGTCCAATAGTTCTGGCATGCGCCTCCTGTACTGGCGACCCCGCTCCCATCTCTGTGTGGAGTGAGAGACAAATGCCCAAAATTAACAATTGTAAACCGCTTTGAGACTCAGATCTGCAGTGAAAAGGCGGTATATAAATAAAAACTTACTTACTTACTAAACAATATATAGTAGATAAATACTATTAATGAGTAAAATATGGCGGGTTACTTATTTTAAGTAACTAAAGTACACAGTTAGCGCCATATGAACCAACTGGTACTCTGGGAGCACAGGGACTGGCCTCCTACTGGGATTATGAGGAGCACAGGGACTGGCCTCCTGCTGGGATTATGAGGAGCACAGGGACTGGCCTCCTGCTGGGATTATGAGGAGCACAGGGACTGGCCTCCTGCTGGGATTATGAGGAGCACAGGGACTGGCCTCCTGCTGGGATTATGGGGAGCACAGGGACTGGCCTCCTGCTGGGATTATGAGGAGCACAGGGACTGGCCTCCTGCTGGGATTATGAGGAGCACAGGGACTGGCCTTCTGCTGATGCCCAGAGTCAGGACTCAACATGGGAAGTCAACATTTCAGATTCATGCAGCTAAACCAGGAACAGTCTTCCTGAAAATATGAGGCAATATTCAAGTCCAGGTTAAAAACTATTCTTTTTAGCGGTGCAAACAAATGAAAGATTTTATCTGCACTCCTTTGTAATGTACTATACTTATATTTGTTTAGTCCATCAGTCTATGATCAAATATGCATCTATGGTGTGCTATAAAAATGAAATGTTCCCTTCACAAATAAGTGTGAAAAAGATGATTATTTAGTATTTTTTGTTGGCAGTTTAAGATTATAACACTGTTGATACAAGACACAAGGATTAACTGATGGAGTGTGGACTCACCCACGGCAGCTCCGGTCTTAGCCGTTGGCAAGTTGGTGCAGTCTCCGATGCCAAACACATTTGGATATTTATTGTGCTGGAGATTATCTTTGTTGAGATCTAACCAGCCGGCTCCATCGCTCAAAGGACTGTTTTGAACAACTGGATTGGGGCCCATTGGGGGTGTGACATGGAGCATCTCATACTAGAAGCACACAGAATTATTGTATCATGCTGTAATAAGCTATTCTTATTATGAATACAGCAACTTGAAGGTTAAATTTTGAAAACATCCCAATTACCCCAAAACATTCATTTTACATGAACATGAAGTTTGCACTCATACTGCCGCCTGGTCATCTTTATTAAAGCCTGAATCTTACTGCTTTCATACATGATGCAAACCACCTGCTGGGGTTTATGTAGAAGCAGCACACTACATAACTACTTAACTGTACCTGCTTTCATTCAAGTAAATGTGTGTAGTGTTGTTAATTTTTATTTTATTTTAGAGATACAAGGAATGGAATTTAACTGAAAATGTTTTACTTTGGGCCTTGTTTTCCATAGTTGTCCATGCATATACAATACTGCCAATTCTTCATATTATTCAAATGATTTTTGTATAGCCCTAAATCACAACAGTAGTTATCTCAGAGGACTTTACAAAACTGCTGAATTTACCAAAATAGATCCGAGAATCAAGCAGTTCAAACACAAAGAATGCAATGATGAAAGACAAACAGGCATTGGTCCATAAGAGGCAGCCCATAAATGTTGATAAATGTGGAGTGTCCTGAGATCCTCCTGCATCAGCATACACATAATCCTATACTTTTATTGTATCAAGAGTAAAGTCAAACGTTTACCTCAATCACTGTGGTCTCTCCGGGATAGTCCAGATTTTCAAACACGGCCTCTTGTCTGTCCGCTCGCACCTCGATCAGGTTTCTCCTCAGGTTGATTTGTAGCTCACGTTCTCTCACGATGTCCCACAAAGCGTCTGCATATTTCTTGATTCCAAACAGCACCGGGAGAGAAGTGTTGTATATAACTGTGGCCTTGTTCCGTTTCCCAGTCTGAAATGACCAAAACAAAACCCACATGTTTGGTTCGTGCTCCTAGATGTGTTTCCTATAGCATTGAAGTAAGTAAGTAAGTAATGTTTATTTATATAGCGCATTTTACAGACCAAGGTCACCCAAAGCGCTTTACAATGTTCAGAGTCAAATATTGTCCCAATCATTAAACACACGGTGATGACAGAAGCGAGTCGACGAACAAACTGGACCATCAGCCCCCAATCCACACCATTCATTCACTCTCTCATTTACATTCATACCTATTGTGCATGTTTTTAGTGGTAGGGGAAACCGGAGCACCCGGAGGAAACCTACGCAGACACGGGGAGAACATGCAAACTCTATCCAGAAAGACCCTGTTCCGACCGGGATTCGAACCCAGGACCTTCTTGCTGAGAAGCGAGAGTGCTATCGACACAGCCACCGTGCCCAATGAAGGGTCAAACAACACGCCTAACTTTCCCATTGTTGTCCTAGGTCGCCGCATACGGTACCTTTCTGAGATATGCATCGGACAGATACATGATCTTCTGTGGGGCCCCCGCACACTTCACTGGAGTGTTTGGAAAAGTAAACACAGCATTTCCTTCTTTGAAATCTTGAAGTGCCTTCCATGTTTTCTCCACTGTCTGGATGGAGTAATTTGAGCCGATCTTTGGATGTTCAAATCCTTCTGGCAAGCCTTTAATCTGACGACAAACAAAAGTATCGGTTTCAACAAAGTTATATTGGCTTCAGAATAAATAACTTTTATCTTTTTGTAAATCTACTCTGTACTCCGTCATCTGTACTCCCCCATCCCTCTGATCTGTTTAAAGTGGCAATATGTAAAATTTTCATGTCAAGTCCTCATTAAATGGCCCTTACATGTCAAAAGGCATTGATAAACCATGGTCTTTTCGAATGCTTCTTTAACTGATATTAGCCCAACCAAGATATTTGAATTTCAAAATTTGTTTTAGAGCACCTGAATATTGTTAATGTTTTCATTTCGATGTCCCGCCCTCCACCGTTTTACCAATCAGAAAGTCCATGATATGAATTCCCGTGTCAAGCTAAATTCACTGGTCAAGTAACATGTGGCCACAGTACTAAAAAGGTCTCATTATGATTCTCAAATCATTAATGACAAAACAAGGAGTAAAAAAAAGTATTTCTATCGGGCCTTTGTGAAAAAAGGTGTTGGTTTATAGATTTGACAAAACTATTTTTGTCTATTCAGATATTATGTTCCCAGCTTGATTCTTCTGCATATCTGGCAACCTGAGTCAGGGAGAGTGGGAGAGGTTGCAGTACCACTTTTGGCCAGATTATTTACATACTGCTCTTTTAAGCCGCTGTGTGTCTCTAAGGTCTAAGTGAAATTCAGACAGAGACTGGAATATTTGCAAAGGTCACTGTTCCTAATTTCTATAGTTAAATCCTCCCTGTACAACACACCTGCACCTGAACTGAAGTAGTGAGTCAGTGTATCCGCATTGAGCTGCTGTTCATGCAGCAACCCGCCTCCTCCCCCCCACCACTTCATCAGTGGAGGAACTGCATAATCACTCTCTTCTCTTTTCCCTTCTCTAAATGCCTAGCAATGTTTCTGCTGCTTCAAAATGAAATATTTTCATGCTATAACAATATACTTCTTGCAACATAATTCAATAAACCACCATCTAATACATCTTTTGTCTCTGTTCCAGATTGAAATATATCATAAATTACATCCACCATGAGTCACATGTCACATGAACATACTTTTTCAAAGTGTAACTCCAGACCAAGAGCCACAATCAGGTACTCATAGGTTATCTGTGAAGACCAAAGGAGAATAGATTTATGAGCAGTCACACCAACGTTTTAAATGATTAAATGTTGCCTACCTCTGTTCCATCGTCAGTCTTCACTGTGTTTGTGTTTGGATTTATTTCCTGAACTTTAGATTTGACCCACTTGACTCCAGAGGGCATGAGACTCTCTGTGGAGCGACCCGAGGAAGCCAAGGTTTTTGCACCTGCACCGACCAGGGTCCAAATGGGCTGATAGTAGTGCATCTGAAGAGAAAAGGAAAGTGTTCATTATTATTTTTTTTATCAATGATTCAGTTCCAAGTTCACAGATGACTCCTGGATTGCTTTGGGTTAGATTCTGACAGTTGCATATGTAAATAAATAATGACGTTGGCTCAAAGGGGAATTGTAAAAGTCGTGTATTTTGAGGGTATGGTTTATTTAAGTCTTTATTTTGTTGTCTCTGTCTGAGGACAAAGGGTGAAATTTAGCTATTGTGCAAATCCAGAATATACATGTTGCTTTGTTGTTGATCACTAAACATTCATAGACGCAAAAAGATCATACAAACCTCACATCATTTAAAGGGAATTTGTGACAGCAGTAAAGATCACAAAAAACAAACTAAGTGTGTTTAGAAATCCACTTACTAATTCTCCTCATTCCTTCTGTAACTGGTGATACAACACTGGAATTTCTCCACTGTGGGACAAGTAAGAATCTCTTAATCTTAAATGCGTGCTTTAACATTGTACACCAACAAGTGGATAGTAGATTGTGTATCTCTATCCTATCGACTGAATCTCTTATACTGCTAAAAGAAGAAGCTGTTTTGTCTCACATGAGTATCTCTCTGGGAATTTAAAGTTTGAAAACATCAGGACTTCTGGACAACATGGGGAGGCAGCATTTCAGATTTATGCAGCTAAAATCTGTAATAGTCTTCTGGGAAATGTGAGACAGGCTTCTTCTCTGATAATGTTTAAATCCAGGTTAAAACAGTTCTGTTACGCTGAACTGTTTTAACCTGGAGGAATGCATCTTCACTGTTTTCAATTCACTGTGATCTTTTCTTGTTTGATTAAGCACTTGTGTATGAACTGCGCTATACCAATAAACTTACCTCACTGGGCTCCACTACAGCCACATTTTCTGCTCCGAACAGTCTCTTCATGCGGGCGCCCATTGTAATGCCACCACTTCCTCCTCCCAGCACCAGCATTTTGTAGTGCATGTGGGCAGAAACCTGGGCGCTCGTGTGGATGTGCGACATCACAATGGACGGTATCTTCTGTAAGCGATGCATGGCGGCCGTACGGGTTCCACTGGGACCAGGCATAAAAGAGAACCCAGTAGATCAGGTTATGGCAGCTATATCATTAGGAGCAAAACAAAACAAATCGTCGAGTAGGGTCATGTCGTCTCCACATTTAATAAGACATTTATTACCTCTTTGAATAAAATACATCACCTGCCTACTAAAAAAAAGCTATAAACATGTGTTATATAAGAGACTTTAGTTACGTAGCCCAGCTTTAAACATGAATGTGTCTGGTGGTGGTCAGAGAGGCCGATGGCACATACTGGTTGCCTCGCTTCTGTCAGTGTGTCCCAGGGCAGCTGTGTCCATGAAAAGGACTTTTTAAAACCATTGCATAATGATTATTAAACTAGCTTTAAACATGTGTTATATATGAGACTAAAGTTACCTACCCCTGCTTCAAACATACAACACATATAAAATTATACTATTTATTAAACATGTTAGTAATAAAGTGGGAGATTACAAAGTGGTGATTGTAAATGTAATAAGTCCAAGAATAAAACACATAAATGACCATCATATCCAATGTAATGCGCCCAACAGTGTTTTTGTTTTTATGGTGTTTCATTTTTTTTGATTGGGCAATAATCTGTAGTGGGCTCGATTTCCGTATTAAACCAATGTCAAAGTGGTAACGAATCTTCGAAAGGTCTACTGTCTTCTTCAAGCTTTTTGACCCTGTTGCCCCTCCATACAAACATAATGCAAATACTCTTAGTTAAAAACACGTTCGATTATCACCAGTGTCATAATCGGAGACGTAGACTGTAATAATAATAGTCCACATACCCGATCTCTCCCTGTCCAATCCCTGCAAACACAGTTGTTGTTGTTCCTGGGGTGCACTGTGATCGACTGTAACCACAGACTGTATCTAAACCTGAATCTGCGAGTGCGGAACTGCAGACGCCTCGCGGGGAGTTTCGACCAATCAGCAGCCACTTTACTCAATAGCTCTCCTAAGTTCACTTCAGGGAACTATTTTCTTTCTTGAGCACTTTTGCAAGGCCCATTGTCGTAGAAATAGGAGATACAGAGGTTGTTTAAAAATACTTTATACTTTTACAATAATTGTACATTTTTTGAAAATCTGGGCATTTGTAAAATTAGCGCCTAAAGATAAAATAAATGCAATTTGAAATAATTATCAACTATTATCCATCTGCTGAGACTCTGAGGCATCAATTTAGTTTTTTGAAGTTGACAAATATTCTGTCTAAAGCAGCCATTCCCAAACTCAGTAACACCGAGGCCCCCTTAAAAATCTGACGGGTCTGCGTGGCCCCCCAAAATAATAACCAAGAAGACAACATTAAGAATAGGCTCTTCTGGTTATTTTATTTTAGGGAAATAGCCTCTGCTACAAACATTGTAATACAAAAATGATTACAGTGGATTATTCAAGTCAAATAATGAACACAAATATTTTAATATTACAAACAAAACATTATAAATTTAACATTAAATGATGATATTTTTTTTTTTTATGACCTCCCGCGGCCCCCCTGCAGTACCCTCGCGGCCCCCCAGGGGGCCGCGGACCCCACTTTGGGAGACACTGGTCTAAAGGATCCAGGAACTAATCCAAACAAGTGTGGGACGGTGTTCACAATTGGTTTTATATAAAAATAAAATAATAAAACACGTTTCACAAAGGAAGATATACTTGTATTCAAAAGTAATTTTGAATTATTTTGATGTTTTTGTTTTGTTTAATAATTAAAAAAAACTTGTAAACAAATTTACAAGTTCTAATTGTCCTCTGCAGAGAAAATCTGCTGCGGATCTGTTACAACTTTGCCCTGTGTCGCTGTAAGAGTTTGTATTGATCTATCTATCTATCTATCTATCTATCTATCTATCTATCTATCTATCTATCTATCTATCTATCTATCTATCTATCTATCTATCTATCTATCTATCTATCTATCTATCTATCTATACAGTACAGACCAAAAGTTTGGATACACTTTCACATTCAATGAGTGTCCTTTCTTTTCATGACTAATTGACTGTAGATTCACAGGCTGTGTGGGCTATATGACCAATAAGTAGAGTGGTGGGCGCTGGGCCAAATGACCCGGCCTCCAGTCACCGGACCTGGACCCAATCCAGATGGTTTTGGAGTGAGCTGGACCACAGAGTGAAGGCGAAAGGGCCAACAAGTGCAAAGCATCTCTGGGAACTCCTTCAAGACTGTTGGAAAACCATTTCAGGTTGAAGCTCATCAAGAGAATGCCAAGAGTGTGCGAAGCAGTAATCCGAGTAAAAGGTGCTACTTTGAAGAACCCAGAATATAAGACATATTTTCAGTTGTTTCATACTTTTTTTTAAAGTATACTTAATTCCACATGAGTTAATTTATAGTTTTGATGCCTCCAGTGTGAATCTACTATTTTCATAACCATGAAAATAAAAAACTTTTTGAATGCAAAGGTGTGTCCAAACTTTTGGTCTGTACTGTATATACATATATAAAACATAACCTTCGCACCAGTTACATACATAATATGAAAATAATGTTTGTTTGCAACTAAAAATCACAAGGGGGCGACAGAAGCTTAACAATGAATCTCTAAAGGCCACAGGGGCAGGGCCAGGAAAAGCTCCACTTCCATCTGTGTAGTGTTCTAAAGTTTGAGTAAATCTGTAGAAGACATTGATCTCCAACTGCAGCAGGACTTTCTCTGATTGTTCTCCTGAAACTAGAGTCTTGAGTGAGGTAAGACTTTATTATAACTGCAGCTATCAATCCATCACAGGCACAGGCACATTTCCCTGTAGTGAGGGAGAATGTCATGTTTTGCAGATTATGTTTTACTTAGATTTTTGTCTTGGACTTGTGTGTATTTGTGGGCGTTGTACGTTTGTGTTTGTGTGTGTTTTTTTTTTTAAACAAACGTAAAACAATATATAGAAATTATCATTATCTATTAGTGAAGAAGAACAAAGAACAAAGTTGTGCAGTATCATAAAGCCAAAGCAGAGGCTACAGATATATCAATGTTTCTTTTTTAGATCTCTATAAAACATGTGTCATCACTGAGAATGAACTTGTACAGTAACTTCAAAAGGAAAATATGTGGCTATTGACATTTCAGGGATAGGGAACAATTCAACTACTAATTCTAGTCAAAGAGTAATCCAAAGAAGAACAACAGTTGTGATACTAGTGCACCTCTGTAACCTCAGCCTCACATGGTGCCCTCTGTAACCTCAGCCTCACATGGTGCCCTCTGTAACCTCAGCCTCACATGGTGCCCTCTGTAACCTCAGCCTCACATGGTGCTCTCTGTAACCACAGCCTCACATGGTGCCCTCTGTAACCTCAGCCTCACATGGTGCCCTCTGTGACCACAGCCTCACATGGTGCCCTCTGTAACCTCAGCCTCACATGGTGCTCTCTGTAACCACAGCCTCACATGGTGCCCTCTGTAACCTCAGCCTCACATGGTGCCCTCTGTGACCACAGCCTCACATGGTGCCCTCTGTAACCTCAGCCTCACATGGTGCCCTCTGTAACCTCAGCCTCACATGGTGCCCTCTGTAACCACAGCCTCACATGGTGCCCTCTGTAACCACAGCCTCACATGGTGCCCTCTGTAACCTCAGCCTCACATGGTGCCCTCTGTAACCACAGCCTCACATGGTGCCCTCTGTAACCACAGCCTCACATGGTGCCCTCTGTAACCTCAGCCTCACATGGTGCCCTCTGTAACCACAGCCTCACATGGTGCCCTCTGTAACCACAGCCTCACATGGTGCCCTCTGTAACCACAGCCTCACATGGTGCCCTCTGTAACCTCAGCCTCACATGGTGCCCTCTGTAACCATGTCAGTCTGTGCGTGGGTCAGATAAGACAGGTCCAATATTCAGGACCTTACAACTCTACTCATACAATTGCAGCGTTTGGACATGTTGTATTTATGACCACAAACATACAGGCCACAGGAAAGTTATACACAACTTTACTGAAAGTTTTAAGCAGTGTCAAGTTATACAAAGATTTCCCAAGCTTTGAACATTATCGAATTATGGAACACTGGTCAATCCGTTATTAAGAAATGTAAAAAGTCCGGCCACAATTCACAGCCGTCGAACCTAAACTAAGAAGCAGACCAAAGAGAGCGCTGAACCATAATGTAACCTTTCCCCAAGAGGACTCTGGAGTAGCCATGAGCTGGGTTAACTATTACTCTACTCGACACTGTCCTTTATGGACAAGTGACAAGACGAAAGAAAGAAATCCAAATTACTATAACTCTTTACCTTGCAACACCTGACATGGGGGTATCTAACCAGATCTATAAATTGTCCGTGTCACACAGCAGTATCAGGGCAAACCACACAACACAACTGTAACTCACCAACTATTTAAGAAAGTATGTGGGAAAAGACTGGAAGATGTCATTCAGTCGATCGTCCAGAGACTTAAGAATCAAATGGATTTAAGACTACAATATGGCAGAATGTTCAAAAACTCACTGAACTGTTGGCAATGTCAGTGTTCAGACAACTCTCTATAGAATGCATTTGTGGCGAGGTGCCTTAGACCAACACACATCACCACTATTCAGAGATCACAGGTGACATTTTGGAGTTTCCTCCAGACTCTGCTCAGGGATCCAGCCGCTGGAGAACACTGAGCACAGGTCGTCAGACTGCAGTAATGATTAGCTGACAGCACAAAGACAATGGAACTATTCTAGAACTCTTATGAACAGCTTTTCTGTCAGAAAAATGATAGAATGGATGATTACCATGTGAAATGGGGAAACTAATCTGTATTATAACACACAGTAAGTAAGTAAGTAAGTACGTTTTTATTTATATACCGCCTTTTCACTGCAGATCTGAGTCTCAAAGCGGTTTACAATTGTTAATTTTTGGGCATTTGTCTCTCACTCCACACAGAGATGGTACAAGAAGCGCATGCCAGAACTATTGGACATATTTTTAGTGGTAGGGGAAACCGGAGTACCCGGAGGAAACCTACGCAGACACGGGGAGAACATGCAAACTCCACTCAGAAAGGCCCTGGTCCAACCGGGATTCGAACCCAGGACCTTCTTGCTGAGAGGCGAGAGTGCTATCCACTCAGCCACCGTGCCGCCGTAGAATTTACAAAAAATCTTAAGAATTTTTACCATAGAATGAATTCCCACAGTTCTTCCAAAAGCATTGCCGGTTGTAATAGAGCTTTAGAACTGTGACATTTTTATCTTCATTTTTTATTTTTTATTCATTATTATTGTTCCGTCTCCCTTGGATACTGGTGGTACTTAACTTTTATTTTTATTCTATATACATGATGTCTCCAAGTTCATACATATGGATGTATGAATATGTGTGTATGTGCCTAAATGTCAAATATATGGGCAAAGGTTCTACAAAGAATGACCTCTACTGTATGAATACATTTTTATCAAAAAGACAATAAAGAGTAATGTTTATTTCGTTTTATTGTGGTCTTTCAACATAATGAATACAAAGAAATACACAATCTCCTTGGCAACAATGACCAATTTGCATCGCTGGCCACTCTGACCGTTGAAAACACAACCCTTTATAGATGGTTTGTTTTATCCAAAAGATCAGTTAAAACATAACGACCAACTATTGGTTGAATATCATCCGTTTTGCTGAACGTCGCTGTCACTGTAACATGGCTAAAGTCTGAGTCAAACAGTTGAGGATTGATAAACACAAGATACAAGAATTTATTTGCCATTTGCAGTAAAACCCCATTGGAAAAACTGTGCAAGACTACCCCAGTGTTAGCCTGGCCTTAGCCTGGCCTTAGCCATCCGTACACTCCGCTCAATCATCATTTCCCTGCATGTAACGTTTGGGTCTGGTCCCTGGGTTAGCGATTACAATTGCTTGATTTTCGACCAACCAATTGTGGGTGACGTCAAGAGTTTGCGTCGAACGGGAAGGTTGTAGTTTGGCAATGGTGAAAAATGCTATAGTAAAGTATTCCGGTCTGGTTCTATCAAGAAATTGAAGCCGGAGCAATCGGAATGTTCAGCAAATGTAAAGGCTAGAAAAAATGGTGGCGCTACTCCCCACGGGCTCCGTTAGCAGCAAAAGAGATGGCTAAATGCTAAATGCTAACGACTCACTCGGGCGCATTACACACGTCACGGTAAACTCAAATCCAATCGTTTCAATCTGCAAAAGGAGTTAACCCCTCCCACCTGTAAACGGAGCTCAATGGAGCAAATCCAGACCTTAGTACGAAATGTAATTTGTACCATGGTGTAGTACGACCAGGCTATCCCAGTGTGCACCAGACAGAGAAGACGGCACACACCAGAGCTCTTGCCACGGCACCATCTTTACGGCGCCAGGCGACAAATAGTAGAATAAACAGCAGAGGGAAGTAAAATTCATTTCAGATGAACAGTTTGGATAGACACGATATGTCTCGAACAAGACATGGACATTTTCATTCAGAAATGAATAAAGTTGTGACGAAGATGTCATGGTCTCTTTCATTCCTATTGTGAGAAATGCCACAATATGTAGATTTGTCAATTTTATGGAACAATTTCTCTTCTGCTAGTAACAGAATGCACATTCTGTTTGTGCCATTGTTCGGACATGTCTTCATACTTTTGATCAGTGTCCTTAAATACTCAAAATGAATAGTAATGAAATTGTATAGTAATATAGTGTTGTCTTTTCCGAAGGCCATTGGGGACATGACCAACATGAAGATTCTATTGATACCGTTTTCCTTGCTGCTTCTGCACCTCTCGCAGTCCTGGGGCGGTAAGATCTTGGTGTTCCCGGTGGAAGGCAGCCACTGGATCAACATGCTGAAAATCCTGGAAGTCCTACACGCCAGGGGCCACCACATCGTAGTGCTGCGGATGTCGCCGAGCTGGTACATCCAAGAGAAGTCTCCGTACTACACCTGCATCAACGTTCCCACCACCAGCTTCGAGGAGAGCTTTGAGGTATTCGTGGCTCAGCAGTTGGAGATCCGCCTTCAGACAGATCCAAAGTCTTTCTGGTCTCGTATGTGGGCTCATCTCCAGATGCGGTCCTTGATGGTGGAACAGTTCTCTATCTTCCATCAGCAGGTGGGAGATCTCACCATGAGGATACTTGAAGACAAAGACTTGATCCAGGAACTCCGTGATGCGCAATATGACTTATTTCTGACGGACCCTGGCCATGCAGGAGGAACAATCTTTGGCAAATACTTAAAAGTTCCTCTGGTTTATAACGCCAGGTGGACTGTCCAAGGGGAAGCTCACTTTGACATTGCCCCATCCCCTCTTTCCTATGTCCCTTTCACAGCGACGGAGTTGACCGACAAAATGACCTTTTTTCAAAGAGTGAAAAACTGCTTACATTCAGTCCTAGGAACATATACAATGTCAATTATCTCTGAGCCTGTGTACGCTCCTATACTGAAGAAGTATTTTGGCCCGGATGTAGATTATTCTGCTTTCTTCTCCGATCCTGACATCTGGCTGATGAGAAATGACTTTATTTTTGAATACCCTCGTCCGACAATGCCCAATGTGGTGTATATGAGTGGGTTTCAGTGCAAGCCTCCTAAAGCCCTCCCCACCGACCTGGAGCAGTTTGTGCAGAGTTCAGGTGAGCATGGGGTCATACTGATGAGTCTGGGGACATTAGTATCCAAACTCCCTCCAAGAATTACTGATGAGATCGCTGCAGCCTTTGCCCAGCTTCCCCAGAAGGTCATATGGAGGTATTTAGGCCCAAAACCAAAACATCTGGGCAACAACACTCTTCTGGTCAAATGGTTCCCACAGAATGACCTGCTGGGACATCCCAAAACCAGACTATTTGTGACTCACGGGGGCACAAATGGACTTCAGGAGGCGATTTACCACGGAATCCCTATTGTGGGCATGCCTATATTCTTTGACCAACCTGAAAACCTGTCCCGGATCAAATCTAAGGGCGGGGCAGTGACGGTGGACATTGCAGAGCTGGACAGGCAGGTGCTGGGGGAGGCCCTCGAAACAGTCCTGAGTGAAGCGTCCTACACAGAGAACATGAAGAGGCTGTCGCGGCTGCACCGGGACCAGCCCCTGAGTCCCATGGACCTGGCGGTGTTTTGGATTGAGTTCGTGATCAGACACAAAGGGGCGTCGCACCTCAAGTCGCACTCACACGCTCTGCACTGGGCCGTGTACCACTCTCTGGACGTTATTGCCGCCCTGCTGGCCGCCGCTCTGCTGTTCACGGCCGCATGTGTCTACGCGGGGAAGGCCGTGTTGAGAAGAGTTTTTAGGAGGAACAAAGTCAAAAATGCATGATTTTGTTAGATAAGATTATCCTTTATTAGTCCCACAGTGGGGAAATTTAAATGTTATCGTTCACTGTAAACCCTGACAAGTAAAGTTTACTTGAAAAAACCTTGGAAATAAATTGCATATTAACTTCACTTGAATTCCTCGAGTATATCGTTTACTTGATGTAACCAAGTAAACTCAGGTGATTGCAATACATTTTAACTTACTTACTGAGAACTTTGTAGTTGAGAGGCAACGGTGCTAGCCACTCAGCCACCAGACCTTTAAGAGTCTATATGTCAAAATGTCAAAAGTGAGGCTTACTTGAACAGAAACAGTTCAATTTAAAGAAAACCCTGAGTGATATAGCCAAGCTTTAAATAAACTAACAATAAATGAGTAATATTTACTTACTGGGAAAAATCTATTTAAAATAACTTTGATATCTGAAGTATGATTGAAGTTAGGGTTTACAGTGTTACGCACGTCACAGCCGAATAAAGGGAGGGAATAAGAACAATTATAAGCTTCTCAGATAATAAATAAAATCATAAAATCGTAAAATAATAACTCTGGAGCTATAAATGCACTTGGTTCAAGTACAGTGGAGTGTACACTGTATCAGCAGGAGGTATTTACAGATTTATATAGTACTTTAGCAGCAGGGAATGACCGGAGTAAACAATAGTAATAATAATAACAGGTAAAGTGACTGGAAAATGACAGAAGTATCAAATGAGTTGCACATTTGATATTAACAATATTTATTCCAGACTCAAGGTCCATAATGTAGTAATAATAATAATAATAATAATAATAATAACAGGTAAAGTGACTAGTGACTATAGCGACTAAAGTATATAATGTATTACAAAGCTTAATCTCTGGGTTAGGGTTAAACTGAGTGTACTCATGATGCATCTGTGACATGTCTGCAGTTCTGTGTGAGGAGAAGGAGGAGGAGGAGGAGGAGGAGGAGGAGGAGGAGGAGGTGTTGTCTGTAGCTGCAGCATTAGGTCTGTTCTCAAATGGACCACAACATGGCAGCATTGTGTCCCTTTTTATTTCAGCATTGCACGTCTATTGTAGTTGTAAGTTACAAACCTGAGCAAATGATAATGAATGCGAAGTAAAGTTAAAAGTCAGCAATTTCAAATTTTGGTTTCAAGTTTATTATTTTTTTGTATCTAAATGTATTGTTATAATATCCTTCTGATTATCTCTAGGGTTCTCTTTTCATGTTACCCTATACGCTAATGGATTAATTGCAAAATACTGACTATTCATATTGACTATTCAAGTGTCTAAGGTATTTTTTTGATATTATTTTTGTATCATCTCAATAGGATTCATATTCTCTACATTAGATAATTCACTTTTACAATTTCAATGTCTTTTATAAAGTCTCTTCATGTTTAAACATACATCCATTGGCTTTGTGCAAGAATATATATACCGTCACCGATCATCTTGACAAATACGTTGTGAGAGAAATAGGATTAGGCTGCAGTGTGCGGCAGAGTTAAGTACAAAGGTCTTGACCCACAACAGCTCATGTCCAACAGAATTATGCAGAAGTGGGGGAAGTTCAGTTCAACAATTAGCTCGTCCTTTATGCAATATTTTCTGTTTGAATATTAACTGCAATGATTCATTTTTAAGTTGATTATTTAAAAATATATCACTCTTCATATGTGGGGGTGGGGGGGGGGGGGGGGGTGTATGCAAACAAATAGATTCATTTATTATAGGTGTATTTCAACCTTAAAATACACACATGCACACACACACATAAACACACAAACACACACACACACACACACACACACACATATATATACTTCAGTTTACATTAAGGTCAAGTCACCCACCAGCAGGCAGGTTCAGTGTCTTGGCAGACACATTCATATGAACTATGAGAAATTAGAATTACTGCCATAGCAACATTTTAAATCATTTTTTTTAAAATCAACAATCGAACTAATAGCCTTTAATAGAAGAAATATTTGAACAAACGGAGTAAGAAACAAACCCCCAATGTCATAAAATGCGGTCAAGTTAGAGACGCTTGTTCAGTGGATCAGGATGGGGACATGGGCTAACTACAGACACACACACACGCGCGCACACACACACACACGCGCGCGCACACGCACACACACACACACACACACACACACACACATTTACACAAATACATTTAAATGTATTTCTGATTGTTATAATCCCTGACTGGATTATTTTTTTAATGGAGGATTATAAATAAAAATGTACCTACATAAAAGAGACACGCACAGGTGTACTCACACAGACGCACACTCCCACGCACGCAGCCAAGCACACGCACACACGCACAGGGAGCGCAGGTACCAGCAGCTGCAGTACCGCGCGCTCCCGCTAGTCCTCTCTCTCGTCTCTCTCCGCGACACTTCCCCCATCCCTGCGTCCTGCGTCTCGGAGCTGAGAGCCTGTGCCTGCTCGACCCCCTTCACATCCTCCAACAGCTCTAGGTCACCTTAGCCCGGCATTTTACAGTCACTGCTCCCGCCGCCGCTCCGGAGATGGCACCTGGCAAGCGAAGAGCTACAGTCATGTCCCTCTCGCTGGCGATCGTAGGCTCCCTCCTGCTGCAGTATGTTTCTTCTCAGAACGGTAAGAAATCCACCACTGATCACACACACATCGCGTGATACCGCTTTGACGCTGCCTCCACGGCCGTGCCAATGCGTAATGCGGTCTTCTTCAGCGGAATGTCGCCGGTTTCTCAGACACTCGTGAATGATTATGCAGCTTCTAACGGAGGCACATCGCTGCTCTGAAACACGATTCTTATTTTTGGCGCATTGATAAACGCGTTTCAATAATTATTAATCAGCTCCATCATGATTGTGTGTGAACTGGGCCACGAACGAACAGGCCCCGTGCAATGTCCCTAAAACGTCCTTTGGATCTTTGGAGTATGAGCGCTGCATACTGAGCCCAGACCTGATGAGTGCAATCAGCAACTTCTCATCTATACAGGCTTGGTGCGACATGGTTGAAACTGCCAAGTGTTTTGCTTTAAAATATATATATATATATATAAATAAATAAATGCTCCCCATCTCTAAAGTGGCACCCATGATGCACTCTGAGACGCTGCCACGCGTGTCTTTGCTTTTATCTTTTGCCCCAGGAAGGAAGGAAGTGGTCTCTATATGCGTTTGATATATACCCATGGAATGCCCCACTGATGGAGACCATACAGAGCAGCCCTGTCCTTCTCCTTCTCTCTCTCTCTCTCTTTTTGCATTTACAGCTCCTGGAACAAAGCATGTATGGCATTAGACCGAGGACTTAATGAGAAAGAAGCTCTGCAAATAGCACTGATCCATTTTGCGGTGTATGCTGCTATTTTTAGTGCCCAGAGGAGAGGAGATGCTGCACGGTGGGATCCCTGGTCATTGTAATATCCTCCTGGCTCGCTGTACAGTAAATGGGTTAACTCTCCAGGCGTCACATGCAGGCGCTTGAGGAGTGACATTGATTCCTGTGTCCAGTTCTACTCGTCCAATTGACCCCTCTGATCGTAAATCTTACCCACGGCATCGCATCAGAGAGACAGTACTGTGTATAGCCACCCCCCCGTCCCAGCAGTGCATCCGAGCATACACTGTAGCTAAAGGACTGTATCGTTTTCTTTGCATTCTGCTCATTTCTCTGTATTTGCTGTGAAAATAAAACAAAAACACCACATTTTATGCAGATTCGACCTTCCCCGGAGTTAACTATGTGGAGGAATGCATCACACGTACTGTCATATAATGTACACCCACTCAAATACATCTCGCTTTCAATCAGATCTTGACAGCAGATAGGCCCACAGCTTCAAATGCAACACAAATGCAACACAAATGCAACACAAATGCAACACAAATGCAACACAAATGAAGGCTTCGATTTAAGACCCGGGCAGCGTCATCATGTTGGGAGAATGAGATGCTATAATGGGCTTTAAGGTTTCGTGAAATTAAGGTTTGACCTATGTTTAGTTTTCTACTAATTGAAAACCAGCTGCACAAATGTGGTACTATATATGTATTAGGGGGATAGAAATAGGCAAATAGTGATGCAATAACCAGTATGTTGGACCAGCAGTGTTTTTCATGAAAGAACACCTTTATTAGACATAAGAAGTATTGATATTGTACCCCTTTGCGATATCAATACTGAACATGTCATTTTCGCGAAGGATTTTTATATGTATTGTGCGGCTCTTGTATGTAAATAGTTTATGTGACTTTACAAAGAGGAATGATCTAAAGAGTAAATGATAAATAAATACATTTCCCGAAAGCAGAAAGCTTGGAGGCAAACATGAACACTAGTCTGACAAATGTGCGGATATACTGTGGGGACTTTGGAGAATTTGCTTTCATTTGTGGCCTCTCAAAGCTTTTACATCACTGAATATAAAAGATTCTCGAGGATAAATTTAGTTCTGAATGGTAGACAACTTCTATTTTTATTTAGTAGGAAGAGCTTTGGCAGGAGCTGTTTTTAGCTTCGCCCGTTTGCATTCTCAATATTTCTGGTATGAAGTTTTTAGAGCAAACACACTGGGGACAGAAACCACATATCTCAACATTTAATCTATATATTTACATTTTATTTTCTTGGACTCAAGTCAATTACCAGAAATCTGCATTTAAAGTAGCAATATATAAGCCTTTATCTGTCAAAATGCATGAATAAACCGTGCTCTTTTGGAATACTTAGGTCAGCCGAGATTAGATTTGAAGCCAAATTGAATCTTGCTTTGGTTTTCATTTCAATGTTTCCCTCCACCATTTTACCAATCAGAAAGTCCATGATCCGGGTTGCCAGAACTCACCGCGTTGAGCTAATCTCACTGGTACCATGTAAAAAATAATTGTTATAATTCTCAAATGACAATACTAGGAATGAAACCGGGATCTTTGTCAAAAGGTGTTGATTTGTTGTTAACAAAACCCTTTATTCAGATATTATGTTCCCAGCTGGATTCGTCTGCATATCTGGCAACCTGAGTCAGGGAGAGTGGGAGAGATTGCAGTCCCACTTTAGGCCAGATTTTTACAAACTGCTCCTTTAAAGTAAGACATATTTTAGCCATTTACAATAAAAGCAGTTGTGTCTCGTATATATAAAAATCTCAAATATTACATTTAGCATGATATAAATATCTTTGGCCAGTCTCAAAAGTATTATGTGTATATATTCATTCGCAGCAGTATGTACTGTAAGCGCAGTAGGCAACACAACAATGTCCAAAAGTATCTCCATAAACAAAGGAATGTAAATATAGTAAATATTATGATTTTTTTTTTTTCGCTCAAATGCATAAAAACAATCAATCTTTATTTTTCTAGGGCCTGCACATTATAAAACAATGACAACATTAATAACCCCAGCGATAAAACAGTTTAAATCATGTATTTTCACTCATGTTTATAGAATTCAAAAATCAAATCATGAAATGTGGCTCCAGAGTGTTGAATGTGTGGAAGTTTTAAACCTTTAAAACCCTTCTTTAGTTCTTCCTGATCAGTCTTTAAAGCATAATGGTCCTGACATCGACTGTGTGACATCACCATAGTGTTAGCTGAATGCAGAGGAAGCTGATTAGAACAAAAGCTAGCAGTTGCTAATTTCCTTATATGGGCATTTGTTCCTACAGGGTTTGCTTTGCGCCGGGGCAGACATGTTGCTAACATGGTTGCTAAGGGAAGCTAGAGTTTAGAGAATGAGGGCTCCTGATTGGTCGATAAATACTGATATCTAGATTTACAAAACAATACGAAAAAAGAAAGGATGAAATTGAATCATAGAAGGTGCTAAAGTGCTGATCAAACAGTTACTGAGCTAGTGGGATAGAAGCCAGAGCAAGGTGCAGCAAAACTTTGTCTATGATCACTTCTTTTTGTGGCTTGATTGAACGCGAGGGTTAGCATTCTCCATATATACAGTCCATATTGAGCTCGTTTATCTGATTTGTTCCAACTTTCTTTACAGTAGACTTGTTAATGTGTCTTCACTTCCAAAATATTTGACCGTTATGTATCACAATGTCTTTCCTGAAATGTGCTTTACAAATACATCGTCTTAGGTCAGAGGGATAGTGGGTGTGCGAGACCGGATCTAAAAGCAAAAAGCTAAATTGTGAAGCTAAAAGAAGGTCCGAGGCACAACTGACTTTAAAGTAAAAATCCTTTCTCATCACGTGACAGCAACGTGTTTTGTTCCCGTCAAAATACATCGTCTTGTATTTAGCATTAGCCAATAATGCTTCTCGTCAGTTGTTGGTGCTTTGTCTAATGAAGCCTCTAAAACCATCTGAAGTGAAAGCCCCCATTTGGCTTCGCTCTCTGTGTCATTTACCCATTTAGCTGAAATTCAGACGGCTATTTTTAGTGTAACAGTCGTAACAACCCGATGAGATGTGGCAGAGCTGGAAGTAGTTTCATTCCTCTTTTTGCGGTGAAATCACAACTGTATAATAATATTTAGATGTTCACATTTGGCTTTCTGGTTTTGTCAGAGAATCAAGTACATGTGGAATTATTTTGATAACTGTCGGGATAATATTGTGGGAATCATTGTGCTGCTAACTCTATTGTTTTGGTTGACGATAGACAACAACGATAATTCAATCAATGACAGAAGTACATAGTTTAAAATAAAAATACGAAAGAAAAAAACTAAATTATAGTTTGGTTATATAACCCACCGCATTCAGTAAATCACATAACAATTACATAACAAAATACAACACAAAGCACAATCAATTGATCTATTTATTGTTTATTTGGTTGGGACAGTACATGTTCATGAACACATCACTCCGGATTGTTGCCATGGGATAATTTGTGTCCGTTGTCCCACATTTGCACTCAAAACACAATCTTTCACCCTGAACTATTGCACATGTATTTAGTGGTAGGAGAATCAACACACACACAGACACACACACAGACACACACACACACACACACACACACACACACACACACACACAGACACAGACACACACACACACACACACACACACACACACACACACACACACTCACACACACACACACACACACACACACACACACACACACACACACACACACAGACACACACACACACACAGACACACACACACACACACACACACACACAGACACACACAGACACAGACACACACACACACACACACAGACACACATGCACTAAGCCAAACCCTCTCTGACCCTACACCTCTCTCTCATTGCTGAGGGCTTCACTCTTTCCTCCGTCATATAAATTAAATCATATTTTAACTGGTTTTTAATTAATCTGTTAATCCGTTCAAAAAGAATTACTCTTGGCACCGATGATATATTGATACAGAGATTACTACAACTATTTTGCGTAAGACCCCAACAGGAGAAAAGCTGTGATTATGTGTTTAAACGTATCTTTAATTAAAAGTCTTAAACAAAAAAACTCACAATTTAAACGATTTTTCAGGCATAGAAGAGACTACAGCATCACAAAGACATTACACAAATATCTTCTCATTATTGCAAAGAAAATACGTACAATAAATACCAAAAGTTCTTCCATTTATTTGTTTTTGCTATAATTAATTATACTGTAATTGTAATTAAAGTAGCGTTCTTAAAGTAAAACTACTCACAAAATGCAGAAACCTACACCTGCATGTGTCGTTAGGAATCATTTGTTCCAGTCTTTTCTCCCAAACATTTTCTCCCATCTATAAATGTATTTTTCCTACGTACACAGGAACCAATCACTAAACTCGGCTTTATATTTTCTAAGGTGTCAACCGTGGAATCGTTTGTTTTCCTATTTTGAAACAATATTTAGATCAACCTGTTCATTGAGTTCTATCCAAACCTGCGTCTGAATGTGCTGAGAATCCGTTGTAGCGTCGTGTTATGGTGACGTGGAGTAGATTTGGCAGATTGTGTGTTTGCAGTTCAGTATTTTACCGCTCAGCGTCAAACCAGGCTGAACATGAGGCTGCTTCTAGTTTGGATGATCTAATGTGACGACTAAACTGCTCCGTCTCCTGTGGCTCTGAGTCTGCACCGGTCTCACTCATGAGCACCTACACTCTGACATACACAGAACCTGCCAAACATGAGCCACATGTGTCACCCATAGACTGGCAACTCGGCCATACTGGCGTTGTGTCCTTAGGCAAGACCCACAATGCCTAGAATGAGTCTGGTGTGTACGTGAATGGCTGATGGTGGTCAGAGCGGCCGATGGCACAGACTGATTGCCTTGCTTCTGCATGTGCAGTGGGGGGCCCCAGGGCAGCTGTGGCTACAGCAGTAGTTTATCACCACCGCGTATGAAGTGAATGAATAATGAGTGAAGCGTCTTTAAGTGTCCTGAAAAGCGCTATATTAATCTGATTATTATTAATCTTAATTGCGCTTTGTCCCTGATCAAACTAATATGTTCAAATACTGCCAAGATGCCTGCATTGTGGTTCTGACTGATAATAATAATAATAATAATCATGCATTTGTTTTATAGCACACTCAAAGTTGTTTAACAGGCATTATTCATCCACTGCATGCACTGGGGGGTAAACCACAACTGTAGCCACAGCTGCCCTCACTGACAGAAGGCAACCAGTGTGTGCCATCGGCCCCTCTGACCACCACTTTGTACCAATCTGACATTCCGATGTGCAGTGTTGGGGGTAATACGTCTGTTATATCTGCTTTTATATTAATTTTGTAAATGATTTTGTCCTGGTCCAAGGAGACTTATATTCTCAATTCACAGAATACGTTTCTGTTCAATATTATAGTGGAAAACTGTAGAGATGGATGATAACAACTTTGTTTTTTAGATCTACATAACAGGTCAGACTGAAAGAGCTCCAATTCAACGCTCTTCAGATTCAGATTATTTTTTACGTTTTTGCAGTAAAACCACATTGGAATGCATGTGCAAAAGTACCCCAGTGTGCACCTGACAAAAATATAAAATAAAACAAGCTAAAAAGTACAAGAGTACACAAGAGTGTCACAAGTGCAAGATCCTCACAGTGCTTTGATTAAACTGAAAACCGCGTACTGACAGACCAATGTAATGCTCATATTTAGGCTGTGAACTATTCTGTTTGGAAGTCTGCTTTCCTCTTCACATTATACTGAGACTGAGATTCACAGCAGCACAAGACATGTGACAATGGTACGGTGTATGTTTGTGTGGTTCATTAAATGTAGCTGCGCCTCAAGAGAAATGTGTCCATTTGGATTTAAGAACACTTCAAGATGTAGAACCTGTACCTATATACTGTATGTTATAGTGTTAGTAAGGTAATATAATGGAGATATATTGTTAGGTCAACATTACTGCCTGGAGGAAGGATGTATTCCTAGGCAAAGCTCCATGCAAAAGACGTGTTGATGAAAAATCTAAAAACAAATTGCTAAAATCCAAGATGCACCATTGTAGCTTGTGATGTCATATCCGAAAGATTGGCTCGAAGATTGGGTTGAAGAATCTGAGGCTATAATTTCCATCTGCCCTAAAACAAATGTCAAAGTCGCATTCAATTTTACGACTAACTAAAACAGTGCCATAAAGGCGGACATCTTTATAGAATTTGTCTTACCACCTTAAGACCATCGACCACAGTGGTTATCTGTTGTTGGACCACAGTGGTTTGTTGCTTCTATGGAAACGGTGGGGGTCTATCCACATGTGCCCACACGTTCCCAAGAGACCTGCTATAAATCTCTCCATTTCACGCACACAAACTACACACCGCCTATAGATTGCCAGAACTCGTTATTATTTCTTCATCTGAATGGCCAATAATTTCTGCGTTCCTACTTGACATTTCTGATCAATTTCTAAATCATCTCCATTTGGATAATGTTGTTTTAAGACTTAAAGAATTGGACAAGGTCGCTCCTAGGACCATCTCAAACCAAACACACACCAAATCAATATTTCATTAATTGAACAAAAGCAAGCAAGAGCAGAGCGGAGCTGGGCGTGTCGTTGAATTGAATCAAATTGAATCAAATCTTCCAGGAATGGCTGCAGATCTCAACATGGCCCCTGCTCGGGTTACAACAATTACCTCTTTAAACGACATGAAGTATTTTGTATTTATGTTTGAAATAGTGTTTCTGTTCGCTCTGTGTCTAAAAGGCTGTTAGTGCGATACATTATGTTTGAACTGTATATTATTCTATATTGTTTATATAGAATAATATTATTATATATTATTGTGTATATATTTAGTTTTAGGGCATTACAATGAAAACATCTGTTAGAGTAAATACTCTAAACATAATAATATTTAGAGTAGTTAAATATGAATAATTGTTTCTGTCTTGTTTTAATGTGGATTGAAGTGTAAGGGGTGGAGCCCCTGGTCGCATTTGAAAATTACAGGCTGCAAACACAGCCATATAATTTTAAAGAATGTGATTTATCTTGAAAAATTATCAAAATTAATTGATGGGAAAAAGGCAGAAAACGGCTCTTGGTGTGATGATGTCACAATGACATTACAGGACTGAGTCAGGGGCTTTTGGACAGAAGGGGCGGAGTTACAGGTGTCAGAAGGTCCTGATTTTAGATCCATCCATTGTGTGGATGGATCTAAAAACAACCCCAGGTCTGTTTTTGATGAGGATGTTGTAATATTGTTATAAGTCTTTAAACTCCACATCTTTTCTTACACTTCATATTTATTCTTTTATTTCCTCTTCTTCTTGCATGCCTTCACTTATTTCTGTTTGCATCTCTTGTGTTTTGCTGCCTGTTGCTCATCAGCTGGTTTTGTCAAGTCTCCTCTGTCTGAAACCAAACTCACGGGCGACGCCTTTGAGCTGTACTGTGACGTGATCGGAAACCCCACTCCTGAAATCCAGTGGTGGTACTCTGAGATAAACCGCCTGGACTCCTTCAGGCAGCTGTGGGACGGGGCCCGTAAGAGGCGGGTCAGCATCGGCACCGCCTACGGGGTCAATGCGGTCAGTGTGCTGGGCGTGTCCCGCCTCACACTGGACGATGCAGGGATTTATGAATGTAGAGCCAGCAACGATCCACAACGGAACAACCTGCACCAAAACCCGGTCAGCACCTGGGTCCGGGCCCAGGCCACGGTCACGGTGCTGCAGAGTGAGTCTGGGGTAGAACATAGTCCCAGTAGACTGTAGTGGTCCCTGTGTGATCCCGATGGCGCCCAATTCCTCACTTATGTACAACTAGTTATGCGTATTTCAATTTACCAGAAACAAAACCATGCGGTTAAATAGTTTTGACAATAATTCAATTCAGATTCCGATTCAGAGTTTTTGTTTGAGCAGCACAGGGCATTAAAAAACATTTTTTAAAAACACAGATAAAACACAGAACATTTTAGACAGTGACATAAGAGATATAGTATGTAGTGGAGCCCATACAAACATATGACCATAATACAACAATATAAGTACATTTGGCTGTTTTGAACTAATAATGGGTTTTACCATGACTTGATGTTTTAATACAGTCTCGTTTGCATTTATAGAAACAACATCTATTACGCTGCAAAAAAGAAAACATTAAATCCCTGATTAAAGCGAGTTATATCAATGTGTCCAACTTATATCAATTATGTCCCAAATGTGTCCATGATGCAAGTTTCTGATATATTTTTCATCGTATTTATTAATTTTGAGCTCATGCCAGTATTTTTCACCATTTACATTTACTTTCATCCACCTCTTCTTATTTACAGGCACATATATATATGCATTTTGTTTAAACACGCATTAAGAAAAAAAAATCTAATAGAAATAGAATGACTTAAAAAATATTGCCCCATTTGCAGATGACTTGAAATTAGTTACTTGACTCAAAATACCAATTCAATACTTCAAGAATCGTTTGTGAAAATGTTGTTTTTATACTAAACTCTTATTTGAACTTTAAATGTGATTATTGTAAAAAAAACAATTTTTTGTTATGCAGCTTTCTAATTCTCCCCTGTCACTGTGCCCCTGAGTCTGCCCTGTGGTTGTAATCTTCTTTTAAAAAGTATCTTTATCCTTTTTTCTCCCAAATCCTGGCTTTTCTCAGTCTCAGCCTGTTCACCTCCCAGTGTTTTGTGTTAATACTTACTCTGTGTCTTAATCTGCTCTTAAATATAAGAAGTGTATGAACAAAGAGCTGCATAAAATGGATAAGAAGTTTAACGTTTGTCCAATCTTTCATCAGTGTTTTCTTAAGATGTTACATTTTTACTTAAATTCAGCTGCTAACAAACGAGAAAAACAGTTTTTTTCTCATAACATTTCAAAAATAACAATTCAGTTTTTCATGATGCAGTGTTCATGTTAGACACTTAGACTCTGACATATCTGTTGTACGGTCTTATTAGATACCCTTAGCTTTAAAGTTTCCCTCCTGAATATGAAGCCAGTCCCTTCTCTGATGGGGCTGTTTTGTGATCGCAGAGCCGTCCATCGTGGCCTCGGAACACGTGGTTCTTCCCACGGACAGCCACAGCCCGCCCTTCTCGCTGCAGTGCAACCTGACCAGCGCTCACAGTCCCCACAGCGAGAGCTTCTGGACCAAGAACGGAGAGGAGATCCCCGAGACGCGCAGCACCAGCAAAAACTCAGAGTACAAGTAAGAAATGGCCAAGGATTTCACAGCAACGAGAGCCAAAACATTTCCATGATTTCTTAAATGATTGTTTTTGTAGGACAAATGGAAACAATAACAGCCCTAATTTAGACCTTAGACAAGTTTATTTGCACCTGGTAGAATAAAGACGTTTGCGCTGGTGTGTAATCTGTTCTGTTTTTGCTCAGACCAACTTATTAGTTTTTGGTTATTCAAACTCTGATTATACTCGGAAACAAGCTACCCCAATGTTGGAAATATTTAAAAACCCAATTTTTGTTTTATTTTATATGAATAGGCCGTTTTTACCAGGGTGACATAGTTATTCCAATGTGGTTTTACTGCAATTGGCAAATAAACTGAATCTGAGACGGTAAAAAATAAAGCTTTGATTTGCTACAGACAGGAATAATGATCCATTCACTTTGTGGCTACATTGTTGCAAAGCTGCCAGATTAACCAAAATGGCGATATTTAAATGCTGTATTCAGTTTACACTCTATCGACCTCAGCAACTCAGGACTCATATCATTGTTGAATAAAATATACATTATTCTTAATTTTCTTCTTAAAATACAATGCCAGAAAAAAAGTACAGCTTGATTTTTGTTTTTCTCTACATTTATGCATTTTGTTAGTAAACACTCCCCCAAAGCAAATGAACCACATCGGTGTTAAAACAGTGTTGGGAGGAATATTGACAATTTGTGCCTTAGTAAGAGTAACAGTAACAGCTTTTGAGTAATTAAAACGAGTCAGATTAAGTTTGCCTCAGCTCTTGTCAGACACTTCGGACTTTACTCAAAAATCATTGAAGAATTTTACACATTATTTTACTAAAGCTTGTTTGTAGGCCTAGATATACAGTATATAAGCTGTAATAGTAGATTCCAGTACACATTTTATCTTTGTAATTGCATTTGCCGATCCAGACAATGGTATAATAACATAATAATGTTAGAAAGGTACCTAGGGCTAAAATGTGTATTAATATATATATATGTATATTTTTATGTTTATTTATAAGTAATAACTGTTATTTATTCTACAATAGGCAATGATACAATTATATAAAAACCTACATTGCCACGGCCCATATACAGTAGACAGATGGTCATAATTTCACGCATCACCAACTGTACGGAAGAATGCTCATAAATTCCTCATCAGATGACTTCATGCTTTTCAGACTGGTCAAGCCGCGATCGGACGACGCCGGGCTCTACATGTGCGTCTTCACCTTCGAGAGCGCTCCTCCTGCCAACGCCAGCATCGAAATCAAATGTAGGCCACGACACGCACACGCTTTGCTGTCACTCTAAAAGGTGCCATCAGATCAGAACTGGCGCCCTTGAGCACTTGCACTTTGTCATGTGAGGACCAGCCCGCGCCCTTGACACCTCCGTCTGTGCGCTGCGTCTCTCTGGCGGCAGATGGTGTCTTGTTTGTTTGATGGCGAGGGATTATGTCTCAACTGTAAAATCTGGTCACAGCCTTTTCAGCGTGCTCACACACACAAACACACACACACACACACACACACAGCTTTGCAAGTAAATTAGGTTTGCTTACTGTTCGAGGTTTGGAAGGGCAGACTGCTTCGTTCGGAATAATTGATCAACGGAACTGCAAAATGCATGCAGTTGACGAATCGAGAATAATGATTTTTGTTGTAATGGTTTATAAATCACATCCAAACCGATACATTGAGACGTACAGTGTGTATATAGATTCTTCTGCTCTAGTTGTTCTGTATTCTTCATGCATTCATTAACTTCTTACTTACTCACCGATGGATTTAGATTAACGCTGTTTTGCATCTTCTCTGCAGCAAAGAAAATGCACCTTTCTCCTGTTTGAAGTGTGTTTTTACCGAGACGTGACGTTGAATCTTGTGTATGTTCTTGTAGCGGCTCCTGAAATCCACGGCCACAAACGCAGCGAGAACCGGAACGAGGGCCAGCGTGCCGTTCTGTACTGTAAATCTGTGGGGTATCCTCATCCCGCCTGGACCTGGCGCAAGTTTGACAACGGCTTTTTCAGGGTACAGTACTTTAAGTTTGAATAATAGTTTTTGTCCTAACAATGGAAACATGTCCAGATACATGACAGTTACGTACCCAATGTTCTGTAAATGACACCATCTAAATGCCCTTTTATTAAACATAATAGTCAATAGTAGTAATGAGTTCAAATGTGTGTCAAAAATAAAACATTTGAAGAATTTTGCATAGTTTTTTAGTTACATACATACATAATACACAGCTATCACAGCTTCACAGCTGTGTGAAGAAAATGGTTTGAGTTCTCTGCTGCAATGACCTCACCACTTCCCCGCCCGTACATTTGTGTATGTGCAGTAGACGAGAACAAACGTAAACAATGGCGGCGGGTGAACTAATGTCTAACGTGTGCTTCGAGCGTTACACTCCTTCGTCCAAACAAAACCACGCAACGCTTGAGTTTCAGTTTCCATTTTTGCTGCTGCCGTTAAATGCAGAACGATGATTCTTTCATGTCTTCGCGGAGCCTGAGGAGGATGTTTTTATTTAAAGGGAAAGTTAGGTCCCCGAGCTTTAAAGGAGCTATACCTGTTTCTGCAAGGTTTTTTTGTTTCAGTTTGAATGTTTAGCACCACCCCCAACTCGCTCACAGGCTTCTCATTTCCCCTACGCTCTCATCTCACGGAGCCATCTAGTTTTATTTGCGATCGGATACGTATGCTGACATAAGCATTAGCGCAACTTCTTGTAAGCTGTGCAACAATCAATGATGAAATGGTACAAAAGCAACGCACTGCTAACAAAAAATATAACTGAAAGATTATCGCTAGTTTTGCGTCCAAATGTAGTCTGAGCATATATAGTCCGAGGCTGTCTCCCACCCGCAAGTCTCTCCAGAGGACACGATGTAAGCTAACGCTACGTATATTCACCAGGGCTTGATTTCTTCTTTGATCATTTTTTCGCTTTAGTTCCCTCTTCTCTTCCTCACTGTTGCGTTGATTGGGCTGTTTTGTTGTGTCTGCAGTTACAGCAAGAGGAGTTATATAGGCACTTTCTGCCTCCATGCTGCTCTTGTTTACCTGCGCTGTAGGGAGGATGCAGCCTCGTTCTGTGATTGGAGGAGAACTAGTGTCACGCTAAGTTTCTACTCAGCACTTTTTATTGCCTGAATTCATACACAAGCTGAATCAATGAGCTCAAGTTTTCAATTAAATTACGGAATTGAGTACAACCTGTATGTAGTAATAAGCATTTTTATGAGCTCATAAAAACAAATTGGGTATAGCTTCTTTAATATATGTTGTCTAATGATCACTATTTACATGTGTTTCTCTGGCGTAGGAACTTGACAACTCGAGCGGCCGTTTCTTCGTCAACAGCCGTGATAACTACACTGAGCTGCTGATCGAGAACTTGGACATAAGCGCAGACCCCGGAGAGTACCAGTGCAACGCCACCAACATCATCGGCACCCACGAGGAGAAGTCCATCCTGAGGGTCCGCAGCCACCTCGCCCCCTTGTGGCCGCTGCTGGGAGTGATCTTCGAGGTCATCATTCTGATCATCATCATCGTGGTGTACGAGAAACGCAAGAAGCCCGAAGATATACAAGACGGTAAGACGCTATGATTAAGAAATTAGTGCAAATGTTTTTGTATGTGCCCAAATACAGTCTCATCAATTAATTTGCGCATATAATTTATTTATACCATATACAGCAGCAGCATACTGAGAAAACTGAGCTCTGATCCAATGGCAAGGGCAACACTTTTCCTTGTCTCTGTCTGGTCTTGCTCAGGAAGTCACCTGACACTGCGCTGGTCATTCAATAATTCAGCCCAGAGCGATTGGCCAATCACAGGCGCCGTGGCAACAGGTCACACCTGGTCAGGACGTCCTGTTTAAAATGCATGAGGAATGTGATACTGCAGTGTTGTTCAAGAAGACAATCCATTATTTATGTATTTCTAGAGACTTGGGAACGTCCCTGAGCTCCCATAAGCTTAACCACCGCTGCTCGTCATTAGGATCTCAGAAATGTATTCTCGGGAGGCTAGTTTTTATTCTTTCAGCTTTTGTGACTGATTGGCAACATCATTAAAAGAAAAAATATTTGTTTTACAATTCCCAATGCACAATTTTAAGTAAGCCGCAGAAAAGTTTATTTATTATATACTGGTTTTCTCTGAGGCTTCTTCTGTAGCTGCAGCTGCTGTGAGAAAGGTCAACACCAGTCGCACACACAATAATAATATGAGAAAGTACACAACAGTTTTTACTACAGTATACAGCTCGTTTGTTGCTCAATTTTAGAAAAAAAAAGGAAATCAATTATTTTAGTAATAATTGAAATCTCGAGTATTAAAACAATTATTCATCAACTACATTTCTTTCTCTTCCAAACAATACATTCTAGTCTCCTATACCCATGCTTTTAGATACTAAAATAAATCATGTTGCTATTTCACAATAAAAAAATCATTTCTAAATCTGAAAGTGAAAGTAAATACTGCTTATAAAGTGTTGGCTTAAAACTATCACAAAAATGCTAAAACTAAATATTTAAAACATGGTAAAATATACGTTATTCTTATATTTGTCTGTTGTTGATTATGCCATCTTTGTAATCATGGATTGTAATAATTAAAGTTTTTATTGAATTCATCTGGTAAACCATTCAGTCTGTCAGGATCAATATCCACTTCAATATTTGACGACTGCAACAATATATTTGGAGCTGAATATTTTCTTAACAACAGTGGGATTGAGCAGTTTTCTTCATAATAACATTTGAGCTGTAGAGTAATGTGCAGTCTCTGTTATGGCAAAGTATTAAGTATCAATGGATTAAGTATTGATTATTCTGTTTTGTTCTTTCCTTTAGATGTTAAAGATAATTTCAAAGGTTATGTGAATGGTATAAAGTTCTTTCAATATTATCGTTTATTGCATAAAAAACCCCAAAAATTAAGAGGACATCTGAACATTGGGTGCCATAGTTAATATAGTAACAATTGAAATCTCCAGAATTAAAACAATTATTTATATTGTCGTCCATCTAAATGTGTTATTGTTACAAGCCTACAGTACCAGGCTCTGATTCTCTTCATCTATTAAAGCTGGGGTACCTGACTTTTTCATTTGATAATCATTTCATTTGATTCGGTGCATTTCTCAGACTTAAAGTTCTCAAATGTATTAGTTCAACCTCCACAACATTGAGTCATGTGTGACATCATCGCAACAGTTTCTCCTTTGAACACATTACAAATGCTTTTGGACATTTATCAGTTACTTTCATACAATTCTCTGCTGTTTCATAACATTATCATTTGCTTCTGTCCTGTCAGTCAAAATGAAACATACATACATACATACATACATACATACATACATACATACATACAGTACATACATACATACATACATACATACATACATACATACATACAGTACATACATACATACATACATACATACACACATACATACATACATACATACATACATACAGTACATACATACTTACATGCACTGTTGTGCAAATATGAAGAGAGATGTGAGAAATGCACCAGAGCGACAGAGAAAAACTGTACATACTGAGAGATAATTGGCTCGTCCTGTCTTTTTGTACTTTTCTGTCTGATCTAAAAAAAAGCCGGAGGCCGAAAACACACGAGAGAAGCAACTGTTTTGAGAGTGAGAAACTATTTAGATTTTCTTGCGTATTTGTGTTGTCAAAGTCAGACACTCCAGCTTTAATTACTCGAGATGTGAGAGATATGAGATATGAGAGAATGAATCTCAGCAGCTGTGCTTCTATATATAAAATGACACATACATACATACATACAGTACATACATACTTACATGCACTGTTGTGCAAATATGAAGAGAGATGTGAGAAATGCACCAGAGCAACAGAGAAAAACTGTACATACTGAGAGATAATTGGCTCGTCCTGTCTTTTTGTACTTTTCTGTCTGATCTAAAAAAAAGCCGGAGGCCGAAAACACACGAGAGAAGCAACTGTTTTGAGAGTGAGAAACTATTTAGATTTTCTTGCGTATTTGTGTTGTCAAAGTCAGACACTCCAGCTTTAATTACTCGAGATGTGAGAGATATGAGATATGAGAGAATGAATCTCAGCAGCTGTGCTTCTATATATAAAATGACACATTAGCCTTCAGGTTGATTACATGCTCACTATGATTACAATATGGTGGAATAAACAACATCCAACTGCAACAAAAGACACGCGAGAGAAGAAGGCTACAAACCCCTTGCTCAATATGTTAATTATTAATCTTTGTTGCCATTGTCGCATCTTTGGATACTACTGAATATTTCAAAAATGTTGGAATGCCTTTCACTGTCCCCCTTTTTCCAAATTGCATAACCAAAACTGTGTCTCTGGTAAGTGTGAGAATGTGCATGTTTTATGAATTTGGATAGGCGTTCTCTCCCTCCAGTCCTCGGCACTCGCCTCTGTGCTTAAAGCAGCGGCGCGCTTTGTCAAAACCTCTTCTATTCTGCTTTGAGGTTTTTCCATTTCAACTTGCATATTATACATTCAAATGAAGTTCGAGTGATTCAGCATGCACATGGCTGTACAGACTCAAGAGCATTGTGTGTACTGATCTCCATCTTTCGACGGTTTGGGACTTTTTCATGTGTGAAACTCATTTTGTGGTTGTGAGATTTTTGTGTGCATGGTCTTTATAGTTTGTGATGAGAGGAAAGCGTTTATCTCAGAGCTGCATGAAACATGGAGGTTTCCAAAGTGACTTTTCACTCATTCGTTTGTCTCCATGGAGTTTTAGTTTCGGTGAATGGCAGTGGAGGTTCAGGTCGGGTCTGAGCAGGAGGTACAAGCGATTATTTTAGGAATGCTCTTGGAAAAAACTTAAATCCCCATGGTGACAAGCGGTGACGGACCTCCCATCAGAAAATTACTACTTATTTGTGTATAAGTATGTCTGTATTTTTAACTGTTTGACCTGAATTTGACGGTAAAACACAAGATATTAAGTATCATTCAGTCAAACAGTACACTACACTCTTTGTAACCATTTTTATGTTACAATTTTAAAAAAGAACCCATTTTGTTTTTATTTCCTTCATTTTCAGACACATTTACAATGCTTAAATATATGTTTATATTTTTCTCATGGGATGTCTCTATTTTCCCTTAATGCGTCAGATGACGACTTAGCCGGACCAATGTAAGTAAAACTGTCTTATCTTCCATTGGTGTGTGAATGTTTCTTAGTGTATTGTCTTTCTGTTCGCGTCTGTGAACTCACAGTCGAGGCCATAAATATCCCTCATGACCTACTTAAAGTGACGATCAAAGTATCACTATAATCAAAGACTTTTTGTTTTTCATTTCTTTTGTAATGCTGTGTCGTCTATGATAACAAGAAAAACATATTTGCTTATCATAAACCAGATTAACAGAACAAGAAAATATTTTTTAAACATGACCAATATTCTGCACTGATCCCTAATAACAGATGCATGTTGTGTTTTGTGATAATATTGTTGTATTGTTGCTTTGTGCCTCTGTCTGTGAAAGGTGCTACAGTGCATCCGGAAAGTATTCACAGCGCTTCAATTTTGTTATGGTACAGCCTTATTCCAAAATGGATTCAATTATTTTTTTTGCTCACAATTCTACACACAACACCCCATAATGACAACATGGAAAACGTTTTTTTGAGATTCTTGCAAATTTACTAAAAATAAAAAAACTAAGAAACCACATGTACATAAGTATTCACAGCCTTTGCTGCGAAGCTCAAAATTGAGCTCAGGTGCATTCTGTTTCCACGGATCATCCTTGAGATGCTTCTGCTTTGAAGTCCACCTGTGGTAAATTCAGTTGATTTGACTTGATTTGGAAAGGCACACACCTGTATGTATAAGGTCCCACAGTTGACAGTGCATGTCAGAGCACAAAGTAAGTAAGTAAGTAAGTAAGCTTTATTCATATACCACCAAACCAAGCATGAAGTCAAAGGAACTGTCTGTAGACCTCCGAAACAGGATTGTCTCGAGGCACAAGTCTGGGGAAGGCTACAGAAAAATGTCTGCTGCTTTGAAGGTCCCAATGAGGCCTCCATCATCCGTAAATAGAAGAAGTTTGGAACCACCAGGACTCTAAACTGAGCGATCGGGGGAGACGGGCCTTAGTCAGGGAGGTGACTAAGAACCCAATGGTCACTTTGTCAGAGCTCCAGCGTTCCTCTGTGGAGAGAGGAGAACCTTCCAGAAGGACAACCATCTCTGCAGCAATCCACAAATCAGGCCTGTTTGGTAGAGTGGCCAGGCGGAAGCTGCTCCTTAGTTTGGAGTTTACCAAAAGGCACCTGAAGGACTCTCAGACCATGAGTAAAAAAAATATCTGGTCTGATGAGACAAAGATTGAACTCTTTGGAGTGAATGCCAGGCGTCATGTTTGGAGGAAACCAGGCACTGCTCATCACCAAGCCAATACCATCCCTACAGTGAAGCATGGTGGTGGTAGTATCATGCTGTGGGGATGTTTTTCAGCGGCAGAAACTGGGAGACTAGTCAAGATAGAGGGAAAGATGAAAGCAGCAATGTACAGAGACATCCTGGATGAAAACCTGCTCCAGAGCGCTCTTGACCTCAGACTGGGGCGACGTTTCATCTTTCGGCAGTACAACAATCCTAAGCACACAGCCAACATAACAAAGAAGTGGCTTCAGGACAACTCTGTGAATGTCCTTGAGTGGCCCAGACTTGAATCCAATTGAACATCTCTGGAGAGATCTGAAAATGGCTGTGTTATATACTGTACAGTTTTTTTACTCCCCATCCAACTTGATGGAGCTTGAGAGGTGCTTCACCCTCGCTGTGTGAAGAAGAGGTTCCGTAGGTCTTTCCTTCCTGCTGGTGTCAGACTGTACAATAAGAACTGCTGAGCCTGTAAATTTCATTCATCTGTAAATAAGTAAATTCATAAATCATGTACAATACTCCAACTTCAGAATGTCACTGAACAATGTCCCTTTACCTTTATCTACTTATTATCCTGCACTATATAACTGTCCACTATATAACTACTACATATATATATTTATATTTATATATATATATATATATATATATATATATATATTTTATATTATTTTTTTTTTTTTTTTTTGACTGGTATTGAAGCATTTTCAGCATCTACAGCTAGTTATGTTAGCTAAGAAACATATTTGTATATATTGTGTGCTCCCTGCGTGCTCTTACTATAAGTGCGCTGCAACATTGAAATGTCCCCACTGTGGGATGAATAAAGGAATTCTTATCTTATCTTATCTTATCTTAAAGAGGAATGGGCAAAACTGCCCAAAAACAGGTGTGCCAAGAATGTGGCATCATAGTCAAAAAGACTTGAGGCTGCAATTGCTGCCAAAGGTGCATCAACAAAGTATTAATCAAAGGCTGTGAATACTTATGTACATGTGGTTTCTTAGGTTTTTTTTTATTTTTAATAAATTTGCAAGAATCTCAAAAAAACTTTTTCCATGTTGTCATTATGGGGTGAATTGTGAGGAAAAAAATTATTGAATCAATTTTGGAATAAGGCTGAAACATAACATAATGTGGAAAAAGTTAAGCGCTGTGAATACTTTCCAGATGCACTGTATGTAAATAAATGTGACTGCGGTTCTTAAAGCACCAGTCTCTCGTTCAGGGGTCACCACTCGGGCTGAAAGATATTGTATATTATCGTCATATCAATAATGAGATTTGGACATTAGTAATATTGAAAAGTAAACTAAATATAGGATTTAGATTTGCCCCATGCTCGCCCCACATGTACAGAAGCCTCCTTTCGGGGGGAACTCCCGCTTGCCTTAGCAACCATGTTAGCAACACGTTAGATTGCATCTGCTCCTGTTAAAGCGCAAAGCTAACCCAGTCGGAAAAAATGCCCATTAAAAAAATGGCTCCAGCTAGCTCAGGTTGAAACCGGCTTCGTCCGCATTAGGCGCACACTTTGGGTGACGTCGGCACTCGGTTAGTCCGCTCCTAATACTCAGTTTATGGCAGGACAAGGCAAGGTTATTTTAATAGCACAGTTCATACAAAAGGCCACACATAGTGTTGATAAAAAAAAACTATCTGCTGGTCTAAGGTACTGTCTTTGTAGTAAGAAGACTTTTGTAGTGATTTATCAACCGTCTTATTTTTAGGATTCATGTGTTTTGCTTCTTGTTCAAAGGAAAACCAACTCTACCAACAACCACAAAGACAAGAACCTGCGTCAGAGGAATACAAACTAGGCAGCCTCTCTGCTGAGTAAGTATTCAATTATTCAGCGCTGAAGAACTGCAAGGCTAATGATAAATACTGAATGGATTACAAGCCCATGGCCACATACTACAGTACTACAGGATCAACATGCATAAATGAGGGAAGAAACTCGCTTTTTCACAGTGTGTGAGTATCTGTGGTCCTTTTAGAGGCAATGAACATAGTATGGACATTAAACACTAAACCACTGCTGAACTTTGTCCAGGCCTCGACAAAGTGAATCAACTGTTTTCTCCATGAAACTCCATTAATCAGTGACAAAAATCTATTCGCTCTAAAAAACAGAAACAAATTAACCATAACAGACAAATTGATAAACAAACAAAAACAAGTATTTTATGTTTAACTTCAATGTAAAAGATGTGCCAACATACTGTATATGGTGCCAAAGTCTGCAGGAAGGAATGTGGCTCAAATGAAACTTACCACCAGAAGTATCCATCAAAAGTTTAAAAAAATGTTCTCAACACAAACACCACAAAAGGCTGTATTTGTCCACAGCTCCATCACAAAGTAACTTCACACTTTTAAAGTTGACATGAAAAGTACATTTTGTGTTTCCAAGTTTGTTTGGACATGCATTTTACTGATTTTAAAGAACTAGCGGCAGGTTTCCAGCATTACTGTTATTTGTACAGGATCCAAATATAAAATACATAAACAGTAGTGTAACGTAAACTGGGAATAAAAAACAGTATATTCCTGTAAGTCTAATGCCAGCTGTACTGTTTTGTGTTTTTAATGGTATAATTACTTGGTTTTATGTAAACTACAAGGAACACGTTTCACGGAGCAAGTAGAACAAAGGATTATTTGGGTATCACAAAGAACTCATGTTTTCTAAAAAGATGCAGAGGCTGTTGTCGTCTGATCTGTTCAAACAATAGTACTTTTCCAAGACTTTCTTTTGGGACAAACATGATTCAAGAAATCAAAGGTTAGGTACCCCAGCTTTAATGAGATCCAGCCGGATCCTCTTGTTCTCTGTGCAGTGGCGTTCTTGTGTTCCTTTTCCAAAAGAGACCATTAGCTTACACTGCGAGCTGTGAGCTAGCTTCTTTCCATCATAAAACCGTTCAATAATTGATAGAAAAACATTTTAAACAATTGAATGTTAAACAAACACTTACCTCAAAGTCAAATTCACCAAGTCAGTTTGTGCTAACTTAACCGTTAGATTAGAGGCTAACATGTCCGTACAGTTGTATTTTCTCTTTCCTCATCATAGCTACACAAACACACAAACACACACACAAACACGCCCACACAAACACATAAACACAAACACACGCACACACACAAACACACAAACACACACGCACACAAACACACGCACACACACAAACACACAAACACACACACACACAAACACACACACACACAAACACACACACTAACAGGTCTTATACTCCTCTTGGGCATTAAAATACAGTGCTGTACTGAAATGTGTTACAATGTACTTTCACAGTCTAAAGTCTCTTTGTGATAGGAGCATAGGAAAGAATTAAGACTTTTCAACCTATATTGGCTCAGAATTTGGATTGATATTTGTTTCATTTAACAGGATTTGTTAGGACTTTTCGTTTGCTGTTTCACCTCAAAACTCTATTTGTTGTGGGCCTACATTGTTGTACATTGGCTATTGCTGTCTTGATTCTTAAACTGATTATTATTATTACTGTACTCTTGCATTGTTTGAACTCATTGACTTTCTTCTGTGTTGCAGGCTGCATACCGTATGTACTGACCACGTGAAGGTAACCCAGGAGAGACCGTATCCGATGTGAATAGGATTTTTCTGCCATTAAACTGTATGCGTGTGGAGGAGTTTCAATGAGGCATGCCTTATGAGTTATTGTGTGATGGGTATGAGCTCAAAACATTCTGAAAGGGTTCCAACATTATAATCATTGTTGCTGCATGCAGGTGTCGACATTTATACATTTATTTATTTATTCACTTAATTTTCATTTTTACTCAGATAATGCATGCAAGGTGTTGAGCTTCTGTTTGATACAGAAATTGCTATATTTTTGGATTTTCTTGTCGGAGAGTGGCTTCATATAGATACAATGTAGTGTGTGTTTAGAGGAAAAACTAAAACCATGTAAAAGATATATCGCCATAATTTGGTATGACAGCTATGTACAGTTTTATCATCACTGCATACCATTTTAATACATTATAAGGGCTTTGCAATGTCCCTCTAACTTTATTTAAGGTTTACACCACTCTATGTATGTACTGTTTGTGTATCAAGATCACTATAACTAAGATCAATTAATATAAGAGATTATAAGATGCACTTAAATGTCGAGGATTGAAACTGTATAAACATCTATAGAGAAATGTACTATTCATTCACATTCTTTTCTAAGTATGTGTATTGTACAGCATGGCTTTATCCTATGCAATTATTATTCAAACTACTATATTTAAATGAAGATTGTTACATCTTTTACTTTCTGTGTGACAAAGCTTTAAAACAGTAGGATCACCATAGATGGGATTGTACACAGGCTGCATGAATAATCGGTTCAGCGGTGCAAGAAGGAAAGAAATGTAGTCCCTTGTTTAGAACGACACATTTAAAAGCAATTTTACGATCCCGCATCATTTTTAAGAATAAACATCTCAAAAAGTAACTGAGTGTGGTTATTCTTTTTTATGCAAACGAGATACAGGAGCACAAACTAACAGGCAATAGCGCCCTCTGGTGGCGTCCTTCAAGAGCTACACTGGAACTACTGTGGCGACATCCAAATTCAGCAAAGAAAAAACTTCATTCTTGTCCTTCCTCAACATTTTGAATTCACATTTTATGAGACGGCAACTCCAGATTTGTCCAAGTGAAATGAAAAACCTTTATGAATTTGAATTGATCCAAGAATTGATTCTTTTACAGTGAGTAGAGACTGATGACTTTATTCCAACTTCTATGTTTGTTGTTAATTAAGGGATACCATCACTATTATCAGGGGTGCACATAAGTGGTACGCAGGTACGCATGCGCGGCAAATATCAGAAATGCGTACCATCACTTGAGTTAGTAAACAGTCTTGTTTTTTTATTTTACTTACTTAAGAAAGAGCGATGTGAGTCATTATTTGACTTTTTGGGCAGAGAGTGGATTTTTAACATATTTTTTTCCACATCGTTAGTGCCACTTTATTGCCAAACTCTTTTTGACTTATTGTATTGAGAAACATGTGTTAGTCTCACATTATTATCTTTTTTTTTATTGCCTTTCCTGTGTGGAAATTGTATATTCTTTTTATTGTTCTACTGAAGGATTATAATAATACACTGCATTTTTATTGACAAGTGTCATCTCTCAAATTCTTTTGAAATTATATCTGCTCCAGAGGCCGAGATATCAATCATTCTGTAGACGTTGAATTTAAGGAAAACCTCAGGTTTTGGAGGTGGTTCTGAAGTCGGCCATAGGTTTTACAGGTCTGTTTTACCTGTGTCAGGCCTTAATGGGTTATTTGACTTGGATTGAGTGGATTATCTGAGCTGATCTAAACTTTAGCATTAAAAAGAAGCAAGTATAATATCTTGATTAAGAACCGCGCGACAAATGAAATGAGTACCAAACACCATGTCCTGGTACTCATCTGAGTACCTCACTGAAAAAATTATGTGCACCCCTGACTATTATCCCATTTACCTTTCAATCAATATAACCCAATATAAAAGTATGTAATATAGTTCTTGTAGCTTGTTCCTGGTTTAGCAGTTTGGTTCTCACACATGTATTTTTCACCTCTAGCCCCCACTCAGCAAATTAGCCATAAGCCATTATGGTGTGGTCTGATTTGTTCATTAACTATACATAAAACAAGACTTGTCTGTTAGGAAAAACATGTATTTATGAAACAATCTTTGAGAGGACAGATATATTCATTTATCAACCGTTCAGTCAAATATCCCAGAAGAAGGCTGCTCCCTGGCTCCTGGCTCTGGGTCTCTCTCTCGGTCTGAGGGGGTTTCTTCTGAACATCATGAGCAAAACCCACCAGTTCATATGTGTCTAAGGTCTTCTTCAGTTGTCACAGGGGAATGGGTCAAAGGTAGACGACAATTTACCTTTTGGGACAATAAAGTATGAAACAATTAAAGTACATCATTTTAGCAAATTGAACTATTGATGAAATAAGTTAGATGTCCATGTTTCGTCCACATGTTTGGGCCGCAGAGGGACAGAGGTGGATAATGGCTCGCAGCTCTGCACAAACAACTCACTGGCAGTGTCACAAGGAGAAATGAAAAAAGAAACCCAAAATGAAGGACTGAATCAAAATGAATTTAAGGTAAAGACAAAACTGAAATCCCAGAACTGAAAACATCCCAGGAACAAACGTAGAGAGACAGTGGCTGTTATTCATTGGTTTGATTTTTGTGCCTGATGACATGCACGAATGTGGGCACATGGTCTGCGACGGTTTCGGTGAAAAATGTCATAAAATTGAATTTGAATTTTTTTATTATATTCTACATATTAAAATGCTGCAGAAGATGACAAAGTCTGGGATCGCGTCTTTAATTCAGACAGAAGACATGTTTTATTGTCGATGGTAGAGACAGCACGAACACGAACACAGATACAATAGAATGCAAGTGTATTATACAGAGCGGAGGCATGGAGACCTCCAATCAGCAGCTTCCACGGTGCCATGTAGCTTGGCCTTCAGATAGACAAAACAAGGGAAAAGTACTGGCTTCTGCACATTGATAGAATGATGAGTTTAACTTTAACAAAAGTTGCTTAAAAGTGTTATGAAATCTCACACCGCACACACACACACACACACACACACACACACACTCGTACACACAAACATTATCTGTTCTATCCCTTAAAATACTGTATGTATCTCTCCACATATTTTTGTTTGTTGTAGGTATGTTTTTTTGATAAATCAAACAAAATAAAAAACATACAAAATAAAGTGGGGGCTTCGGGCAACGTGGGGTTAGTGTTTTGCCTAAACACACAATGACGAGCAGTTGGAGTAGGTCTTGTGGGGGGATCAAAACCCACGACTTTCCGGCTCAAAGGCCAATGCTCTACCAACTGAGCCGCTGTCGCCCCCCAGAGTAATACTAATGAATTGAATTTATTTGGTGCTTTTTGTTGGACACTCAAAGACACTGCACATGTCATTATTCATTTACTCTACGATGGTGATAAACTACCACTGTAGCCACAGCTGCCCTGGGGCACACTGACAGAAGTTAGGCAACCAGTTGTATGTACCATCGGCTGCTCCAACCACCAACAACCATTCACACTAACACCAGACGCCTTTTAGGCCATTAGGGTGAAGTGTCTTGCCTTAGGGCACAACGACAGGACTTTACAGCCGCAGCCGCCCCACAGTGGCACCTGGGGTTCCCAGAGGTTTCCCATCACAGTACTAACCAGACCCTGCCTGCACAGCTTCAGAGGTCTGACTGGATCAGGGCTTTTGCATACAAGTATGGCCACAAATAGGTAAAGTGGGGTTAAGTGTCTTGCCCAAGGACACAACGACAGCAGACAGAGGGATTAGGTGGAAAGTTTCGCGGTGGACTCAAACCCCCGACCTTCAGGCTCAAAGGTCAATGCTCTACCAATTTAGCCACTTTTCATCTTTGGATTCGTTCTAATCCTTGGTTTTCCATCACACAGACTTCTACCACGTCATTCTGGACAGATTTAAGTTGTATAATCCCTTCACCTTGTAAAAAAATTCAAAAATTCTTCACCATTTTTGTCCCTCGCCATGTCAATTAAGGCCTTCCTTTTGGGTGTTTTCTCTGAGCCCTGAAGGCCACAGGCTCAGACCTACAGAGCTGAGACTCACATCAGTAATATTAGGCTATGGCCTGAACGCAATGACACTAAAATCACTCGCCCAATATGCGCTCTTTAGCGCCACCTGTCACAAAGTAATAGGGCAGTAGTGCTCGGATCGGCCCGAAAATCATTGAGTGTAATTGAAGAAGATGACATAGTCTGGGATCGCGTCTTTAATTCAGACAGAAGACATGTTTTATTGTCGATGGTAGAGACAGCACGATCAACAGATACAACAGAATGCAAGTGTATTATACAGAGCGGAGGCATGGAGACCTCCAATCAGCAGCTTCCACGGTGTGCTTGTAGCTTGGCCTTCAGATAGACAAAACAAGGGAAAAGTACTGGCTTCTGCACATTGATAGATTGATGAGTTTAACTTTAACAAAAGTTGCTTAAAAGTGTTATGAAATCTCACATTCCCCCCTCTGGTCATACATTCACGTGTGACCATCAGGATCGATAAACAGCAACATAACATCATAACTCAATACTTAAACTCGGTACTTCACTCGGTACTTCAAAAAACTCAGAACTCGGAATACTTCAAAAACTCATAAAACTCATAAAACATGTTCAGATCTTTCATAAAACTTGTCAACAATCTTCAGTAAAATACCAAACTTCATCAGTCGATGGTGGTTCCAGATATTGCTTTGAAAACAGTCTCTCCCACTTCTCCGTGTTGGTTTCTTCAGGCTGCATTTGTGTCGAGCCATGAATTCTTCTGTGACGTGTCTTTCAATCACACGTTTCAGCTTCAGTGTCCAGATTCAGCAATTCAATTCAGTCCAAATTATGTCCAAATTCAGAAATCCAGATTGTTCCAAATGATGTCCAAATTGTGTAATCCAATTTTTCCAAATGGTGTCCATGCAAAAGAGGATGATGGTATTGTCCATGTCTCAGCAGCTCACAGCCTGACTGGAATCAGGGGCTGTGCAGATTGTCCAAGTGTGCTGATCCAGATGCATTCTCTTAAGGTTTCTCAGTTTTGGCTTAAAAAAAAACACTTTTTGTGTAAAAAAAAAGTCTTCTGTTCTCTAGATGTTACAGACAAGGCCCGCATCCTCCACCACCTGAAGAAGATGACATAGTCTGGTATCGCGTCTTTAATTCAGACAGAAGACATGTTTTATTGTCAATGGTAGAGACAGCACGAACAAAACACACGAACACAGATACAACAGAATGCAAGTGTATTATACAGAGCGGAGGCATGGAGACCTCCAATCAGCAGCTGCCACGGTGCTTGTAGCTTGGCCTTCAGATAGACAAAACAAGGGAAAAGTACTGGCTTCTGCACATTGATAGATTGATGAGTTTAACTTTAACAAAAGTTGCTTAAAAGTGTTCAAAAAATCAAACATTTGATTACGCCAAATGTGTTAGTCCCACACCTGACCACTGGGGGCGCCTGAATTCTTTGAATGAGATTATTGGGGCAAAATGTTTGTCCGATGAGGCTAGAAATTAACTCAAGGTGTTGTGTTTTTGAGTTCCATCTGGTCATTTCTCCATCTGGTTGTATTGGAGATATACAGTTTTCAAGAAAAAGTTAGAAATTCTTCACCGTTTTCATGCGAGGCTGTGGGGACTTTCTCCATGTTCGATGCTCTCTTGGCCACAGACTCCGACGTACAGAACTGAAACTCACATCTCTAACAGTTGGTAATGGCCTGAGCGTAATGGCGTGAAAACACTCCTAATATGACTCTAGAGCGCCACCTATGGGATGCTTCCGACATAATCTTTTCCGATCCTCACCAAAGCTCCACATCTGCGAGCAAAATACTACATTACGCAGAGGGTGCATGTCCCAAAGGTGACCACTAGGGGCGCACTGAATCCTATTAATACACTTTTCCGTACGTAATTCTGGTCCTATCAGGCTGTGAATTCATCGGCATGAACACTGCATGCCGCTTATGGGACTGGCGCCTGGGAGGTGGATGCAAGAGTAGCGAGGGCTTTCATCACTGCTGGCGCCTTTAATTATTATTATTTTTATTTATTTTTTAGTTTTTGGTCAAGTTGGAAACCAGCCTCCCTGTTCCATACAGTAACATACCGGGAGTAACAACACTGCAGCAGGAGGTCTAGACAAGCCCATATGACTCAAAATATCAGAACTATGCACTTATTTTGCATATTTTGACACATTGTTATTGTTTTTTTCAGCGGCGATGGTTGCGACCAAAAAGAGAACCCCTGCATCCGATTTTGTGAATTGGACAGAAAGCAAAAGCATTTGCTGTTTTGACACCAGTGGACTGAACATGAATGATAACGATATACATGAGGCCTATGCATGTACGTTTGGCAGCAAGGATAATCCCAGGCAATATGGCTTTCAAATTATTTATCTGGAACGAGGCCACTTCATTCACTATAGTGATCTTGTAAAATTGTAGGTCAGTGGGATGACATTGTACAAGGCTGTAGTCCAGCAACATCTGCGGCTTTGAGTGATGACAAATCAAACCTGAAAAGAGAAATAAATGTAATTCTATGGATTTATGTCTGAGATCAACAAACACTTTCATAACAAGAATAGGATTATTCATTCCTATATTAAAGCCCACTATTTAAGTAATTATATACATGAATAAAAAGTTGTGTTTTTATGTTTTTTTTAATAAATCAGTTATATGCATAAAGATAACATGAGCTGGCTCGCATCTCCTGGGATTTTTACCCAAACAAGTGATTTTTCACCCTGAAGAGGGAAAAACTTGATTTGTTTAGATTGAGTCAACATCACCTCTGATTTGCGAGAACAGCCTAAAACATGTGTTTGATCTGAACCCCTTTACTCTATGGTTGGGGGCTTTTTTTTCGCCACTTGCGGCTTCAATTTCTGTTGTTCCAGGGACTGCAAAGGACTTTATACAAATGACACAAATGACATACATTAAAACAACAAAGGTCATTTTCGTCGACTTGTCATTTCTCAGCCTGTTTCATAAAGAGTCCATCATGTTTCAGTCCAATAGCTGCAGCTGACACAGACATAGTGTTGTTTACATTTTGAACGCATGGTTATTCTGCCACTTCTATAAAACAAAGGTGTTGTTGATCGTTTAGCATAAATCTTCAGGTTATATGGTTTTTCCTTTTGCAATCACATGTCTGCATACTTTATAGGCTTATTTGCCAGGATCTGAGCAAAGGAAATGAATTATAGTAATGGTAGGTTGATAAAATCCTAAGAGGGAACATGGTCTGCAAAGTGAATACTCTTCACTACAGTACAGAGACAGGCATCTCAGTCCACTGCGTTGGAGTTAAACCTGATCCTCAAGTGAACGCGGTGCGTTAGTGCCATTGTGATGCATGCACATGTTCCACATCAGGACCTGTCCTGTCTCCTGACAGCGCCTGACCTCTGGACCCGCGGGCTGCTTCTCTCTTGATGCTGGTGTGAGCTGTGCGCGTGCACGTGCACGTGTCCACGGGATTGGCCCCTGGGCTGGACGGCTGTGATGTCAGCGCCGCGCGTGCGGGAGCCGAGTGTCATCACCGTCCGTGTTTTTGGGAGGCGCAGATGATGCTTTGTCATTGAGGTGCGAGCGCACGTCCAACGCGCAGCATGATCCTGATGCGCGCTTCTGCACGCGGGACACCGGGCTTTACGTGCGTTCATAGAGGCGACGGCACGGTCCATTGACGCATCTAAATGTTTGAAGTGGGATAGTGCCCATTGACAAAGCTGCTGCAGATGCGCCGTCACTGCCTCTGCTCCACCAGCGCCGCTGCTCCATGAATCATTGGCGTGCTTCCCCTCGCGACCCTCACCGCGTACCCCTCTTCTAAAATGGAGAGATTTCAGTCTTCCATGCGCAAGCGTCTCTACAGCTTGCCGCCAAACATCGGCCAGAAGACGTTTGTGCTTGACGATGGGGACACCGGGGACAAGGATTGGAGGAAAAGTATTGGGCTCAAACAGTTGTCCTCTCCATCTCCTGCGAGCAGCGCGCGGAGCATCGAGGAGGCCAGGACCGAGGACTTGGACAGTGACGTGACCAACGTCAAGACCAACTTGAACGGAGACTACCGCCTGTTCCGGGGCAGTTTGAGCTCTCTGGCGGGCCGTCATGCTCCGGTGGACCCCGCAGAGCAGCGCTGTTTGCTGCCGGAGGCGGAGGCAGAGCGCTGCCCAGGGGCCCAGAACAGGGGTCTCTCTGCGCACAGCGGGGCCATGGGACAGGGCTCTGTGTTTGACCCGTCTGCATTCATCAAACTGGAGGTGTCAGAGCAGATCATCCCCGAGGATGACCGCCTGTACCAAGCCGGCTTCATGCACCGCCAGTTCGGGGCCATGCTCCAACCCGGAGTCAACAAGTTCTCCCTGCGGATGTTGGGCAGCGAGCGGGCCGTGGAGCACGAGAGAGAGCGGGTCAAGTCCGCTGGCTTCTGGATCATCCATCCATACAGTGACTTCAGGTAAAGCTCGTGTTTTATTGGCCTTTCAAACAGAAGTGCCGCAGTGTCCCGTCACAGAGTTGGTGTGAAGGGAACTACTTGTTTTGTTTTGATGCAGCGCAGCCTCAGCAGCACAATCACATTTATGAATGAAAAAATCTCCCAAAATATTCACCAAACATCTACAACCAGCTCAAAAGAGAGATAATCCAACCTAATTGTAAATTATCTCTTGAATGTTCCAGCTTTGTCCATTTAAGCTCAGACCCACATGCCTTGTTTTTTGGACAGATGCAGGTCCAGCAACTTTAAAACAATGAATTACAAACAGCAGACATAGTTCTACTTCATGCTCAGATATTGGTTCTTTGAACTAATAGATTATCTGTGTCTGATCCCAGGATCACATCCATAGAAGTCTCTCTGTCATTAAATAATTTCCTAAAAATGTCTAAAATAGCCTGTAGTTTGTCGGAAACATTGAAGACATATTGTCCACCAGATCCTCATAAATATCTTTTATTATTTTCTCTGTCATGGAAGTTAAACACTATTCATTTGCCTTCATTGTAAACCATTGATGTATTCAAATGCATTTGTGGAGATTCAGCAGCATTATGTACCATCAAGGAATTTTCCTGACATTTAACCTTGAAGATCAGTGTCATCATGTTTTCTGCTCAGTTGTAGAGACGTATTCAACAGTCCTCTGAATTAGACTTTTATTGTTTATTGAGGCCTGTGGATTAGGGAAAGCCAGCAGCGGAGGCTTTGAAATGGGGTAATCAAAATAGGGTAACATGACCATCGAAGATATTAGAGGCACACATCAGGGTGGGATTATCATGGCACAATTAGTCTAATGGAGCAGCAACGTGTAGAGGACTCACGGCAGGCAGAGGTCCAGAGAGATCCACACAAATGAAATGATCGTGTGAGGATTCAGGATTCCAGATGTTGACTGCGCTGTTTAATGTGTCAGCAATGTCGGTCACGTTTTACAATGTTGCCAAAAGGAGAAACCAAATGGGATCAAAACGGAAAGTCTACTGGGAGTAAATAAATAGACATTAATAAGATCCTTTGCAGCTGTATCATACTTAAAATATTCCTCCTCATGCATTTTGATAATGTGTTATTGACCTGAACAAGTTTACAGTAAAAGCCTCTTCTTTTCTCCAGTCACACAACAGTTTCTCTTTTTGGTTCCATATCGTAAAACCATTTTATAATTTGGCTTTGGGCACATTGTGTTCTACAATGTAGCTGATCTGCCATCATTTTATTACATTTATTATATGTAACATGTCATGTTGTTATTTGTTTATAGGCTTAGGCGAAATAAGTGTTGAACTTCAGCCCAACCCTTTCGGTGAATGTCACATGTTTTCTTACTTTCTGATGATGGCCGAAGAATTAAAAAAAAAAATCTAAAAGTATTTATGCTAATTTGAGCAAGTTTTGATACTAAAAACAACTATAGAAACAAAACAATTTTGAGTTTACAAGTTTGTCAACGTTGTATAAAACCTTATAGTCCCTCACTTTGATTCTTTTAACCACTACCTCTCTGGAACTCAGATGACTGTGAACCGAGAATTGTTAAATCTAATAGTAAGATTTTCACCCAATATGGCAGAAAAAGTGTACATCAATGCAAAATGATGATTATCGGTTCATCTCCAATCCTCTAAGATGACATTAACTCCATTACACGATAAAACAGTCAACATGAACATTGCTCACTTTATATGTTTAGGTTAAAATAGCAGTGCTGTTTCTTTGCTGATAATCTCATTAAAATATGTGCAGCCAAATGACATGTTTAGATCCAGAGAAGGACCGAGCTATAGTAGTTTAGTGTTATTATGTATTTGCATTGCATATTAATAAATGATTCATTATCGTAAACATTTATATAAGCAATATGGTCTGTCACTGTTCTATTATTATGGTCCTCAACTAAAATGTTTCTAACGCCAAGCCCCAATGAGAATTTATTATACTGTATATGTACTGTAAATGGGGTGAGGGTTAGACTGTATACACTCGCAAAGGATTCTTATATCAATCAATCAATCAATCAAAGTTTATTTGTAGAGCGCCTTTCATACACAGGGCAACACAAAGCGCTTCACAGTCCACATCACAAATCATCACATAAAACAAACACCAGAATCACAATTAAAACATTAAAATCACACAAAAGATTAAAACATAATTAAAACATTAAAATCACACAAAAGAATAAAACCATTAAAACTTTCAAAATTACACAAGAAATTTAAAAAAAAATAAAATAAATGACAGCAGTGCATTAGAAATGGAGATAAAATCCTTCAGTTGTATGCACAGGCAAACAGAACAGTCTTTAACCTGGATTTGAACATTGACAGAGTAGACGCCTCCCTCACATTTTCAGGGAGATTGTTCCAGATCTTAGCTGCATGGATCTGAAACGCAGCCTCCCCATGTTTGGTTCTCACTCTGGGCACCAGCAGGAGGCCAGTCCCTGTGCTCCTCAGAGTCCGGGCCGGTTCATATGACACCAACATGTCACTAATGTATTCTGGTGCAAGGCCATGGAGAGACTTGTACACAAGCAGAGCCGTTTTAAAATCTATTCTTTGAGCCACAGGAAGCCAGTGCAGAGACCTGAGGACCGAACTAATATGGTCATACTTCCTGGTTCCTGTCAGGACTCTAGCTGCTGCATTTTGGATGTACTGCAGCTGTATCAGCATCAATACTACTAAAACATGTTTTTTTTAATGCAGCAGACATTAATGCAAACGAAAGGCCTTCAAAGCAATAAAATAAATGAGACTTTGAGATTTTGTCGAAATGTCATCGTTTTGTATGTTTGTTTTTTTAACTCGAGGACACAGCTCTTAGCTAGCAGAAAACATCCTTGAGCTCCTGAACCCTGGACACTTTCTATACAGTGACCTGGCTGACATGTGTGTTTTTGATTTCAGTGCTCCTCTGTCTCTTAGAAAGTCTTCACATCAGATTTCTAAAAACAAAACACTGGCCCCTATAAAGTCAACATTGCATTCTTAAAACTGGAACGTTGTATTTATTTCTCACCTCGCAACCCACTGAACATGATCCCGTGCCCTACACATCTGTGCCCCGGCCCACCTGTTGAGAACCGCACCTGGGTGTTGTCTGTGTCTCATTCAAAAGTAGCATTGCCCACGTCCAAAACATCCCGCCTCTCTTTGCGGTGAGGTAATGCCTTGTGACAAAGGACTCGTTCTTCTCTTTGATTCACGGCGCCATGTGTGTCGTATCAAAGCTTTTTTCGGGCCCCATCAGCAGCAGCAGCAGCATCAGGGGCAGCATCAGGGGCAGCAGACACACGAGCAGAGCCTGAGTGTGCTTAATATGATTGGTGCGTGGTTTGCAGACACAGTGCAGGTGTGTGCTAAGCCTAAGATCTACATGCAGCCTGTTTGCCTCAGCCCTGACAGCCCGTCTGCTACATGCTATCTCTCTTTTGTCCAACTCTCTGATTGATCTAAGCTCCTTTTCACCATTTTAAGCCGTTTTTTATGTGCACTTTGCTTTGTAATGCTATTTCGTTCTATTTGTCCATTCGACCTGTGCGGCGCAAATTTCCTCTGAGGGCCCGAGGAGTTTCCGTGAATCCAATACAGCTTTAAAGTAATGTTAATGCTAGATTATAACGAGAAAGTTCGAGGTAATGTGCAATGTCCTCTGACCTTTTTTTTTACCAGCCCAGATGTTCGGCTCGGTTTGGTTTGCCGTGACGTGGGCACGCCGGGCTGTAATGCTAACTATGAAACATCTGGATAGATAGAGGGTGACTTCTGCGGTTGACATGGATTCCCGGGAGATAATGGTGGATTTAAGCTCATAGAGGGAACGTGCAATTAGGACCAGTGTGTCAGACAACGGCCCAAATGTTTTGTTTGGCTTTTAGCGATTCTGAGGGTTCAAAGGCGAGAGGAAGAAGGTGGCTTTGTCATCACACAAGCAAAGAACTGTGCAGATCATGATGGAGGGATAATCTGGAGATGGTGGAAGTTCAATTGCTATCACTATGAGACAACTATTACAAAGAAAAATACTTCTGACTCATGCTTTGTGCTTTGAAATGAGAAAATCGTTGACGTCCTTGTACTTGACGCTATACGAAACAGTCAATACCCTCTCTTCTATTATCTTATGTCTTGAGCTGGTGACGTCGGACAAACTGAGTGATTGAGTGACGATGACTGCAATATCTTTAATTCACTTCGATTCAATGTATTCTTGTGTAGCCGTAAATCACAATAGTAAGTATCTCGGAGGACTTTACGCTGAATTTGATCAGAAAATCAAATAGTTAAAACCATAGCTCAAACAAAGATACCCTTTCTGTGGAAAATTAACAACAGGGTCAAATCCGAGGCACTCTGATAAAAAGTCCCTCGATGAGTGAAAGGGACCAACGTGTTTCGGCCACACAGGGCCTTCTTCAGGGCAGTGTTAAAAAAATAATAAAAAGAACACTCACTCCTCCTGTTTTTGAGAAGTTAAAACCATAGACTGTATACATTAACGGACGTAGTCACGCCTATATCCGCCGTTCTAACTAATGGGCCAAAAATTGGGCTCTCATGGAGTGATTCAAAATGGCCACGGGGGCTGGAAAATGTGAAAAAACGCATCTGCGCACGCGTCATTCATTTAAACGAATTCACTCCCCTCAGCATTGACACACATGTGGAACGGAGCTTTGGGCAAAGAGCCAACTTTTGGTCCATCCTGTAAAGACGTTTTTGAGAGGTCTGCCAATGCTATATTTTAGCATTGGTTAATTCTTATTCTGGGTCCACCCCCATCGGCCCGGGTTGGTATTGCAGCATGTCAGCGCACGTCATTTTGGCCACTTTTGAGCCGCGACCCGCCCCCACTGGTTAAAACTCAAGAAAGAGAACAGAAAACACATAAGGGGAAGATGTCCGTAAATGTTGGATCATCACCACTGTCTTTTCAGTAATAATACTAATATATCTTTATCTGTAAAGCACTTTTCAAAAACAATGTTTACAAAGCGCTGCACAGTCAGCATAATAAACCATAAAACAGTCATAATAATGCAAAGTCAAAATGATTAGATAGAATAGAAGATTCAAGAAGACAAAACAAAGACAAAGCAGACAGTAAACTACAGCATGAGAAGAATTAAAGCTGACAATTAAAATCTCCTCGGGCAGGTCGTTCCAAAGCCTCACAGCCTCGTCAGACCTCACTAGACTCTGAACAGACCCTGAATCCGTCCAACACGATAACACACACACTTGCACATCCTTGCATAAATCTGTATAAATGTTCGTATCATTTGCATCTGATCCTGCACTGGCCGCGGTGGAGCTCCTGGAACGGCGGACAATCAAATTGCCACAGGATGTGTGCACTCCTGCTAATAATCATTAATGACAGAATTAAGACTGAGTGATTAGCAGCACGTGTCTGCAATCAGCGGACAATCCTGTAAAAGCCCCACACAGCTGTTTACTGCTAATTCCTAAATGGTGCAATGACCTGAAAATGCAGCAGGAAGTGGGACTCGCCGCGAATCCCTGTTTTAAAAATCCATGCACATGTTTTGGCACAACTACAGTATCTGGTGTGAGCGTGAATGGCTGGTGGTCGGAGCGGCCGGTGGCACATACTGGTTGCCTCTCTTTTGTCAGTGTGCCCCAGGGCAGCTGTGGCTTTATCACCACGGTGTTTGGAGTGAAAGAATGATGACATCTGAAGCATCTTTGAGTGTCCAGAAAATCCGTATAGATTTATTAGATGTATCATTATTTTTATTATTTAAAATACATTGTCAAGGTTTTTGTTATGGATTATATTTGACTACTAGCAGGGGTTTCTTTGTTTTTGTTTTTGTTTTTACAATATAATGCATTGTACTGGATTGTGCAAAATGGAAAATAAAGGGATGTAAATGAAATGAAAAATGAAAATGAAAATCAACTGTAACAACAACTTTTTGACTCATTGACTCTCTTCTGAGCTGAATGCTGATTGGCTGAGTGAGGGTGGTCTGCTCTTTTTACATTTTTTTGTCTGAAAAAGCGGATCTAAAGAGATCAAAAATACATGATGTGAAAACTCAATAACTTAATAATAACTGTTTGAGCCTGGAACTAGTTTTGCTGTAGATGCATTTTATTGATAAAAAAAATGCAATAATGATAAAAAATACAACTTTTTTTCATGTCTTTTTAGCTGAGAATTAGGTACCTCAGCTTTGATACGCCTGGTGACTTGTGCAAGAAAGCATCAATCTAATCGTTCTAATTTGTATTATGTAATCACAAATTGTGTGTTTGCCTGAGCATGAGTGTGTGTGTGTGTGTGTGTGTTTGTGTTGGTGTGTGTCGTTGCCTGTGGCCTCGGAGGACCCTCAGACTGGAAGTGTATATGCTTCTGTTGCGATCGATCTCTCTTTAATTAGCTCTCTAAAATGGATCGGACATGCAATCACAATCACGCCTTCATGGTTCCACCTCCTGTACGCACACCGCAGAATGGTAAACAATCACAATCATACCTCACTGTTACTCGGCCTTTACCGAAGGAGTGGGAACAAATAAGTAACAATTACCCAGAGCTGATCCTACTGGGCTCTCTGTGGACGTAGAATGTCCTGAAACACAAGGAAGGCTGCTGTGAAATGGAAATGAGGAAACAGCTTCAGATCCGGCCTCAGCGATTATATGTTAAAGCTGTGGTACCTTTTTTTATTTTCTATTTCCATCATATCATTGATGCTTTGGGCTGAGAACTGGTGGTACTCTCTTTTTCACTTTTCTGTCTGAAAAAATGTAGGCCAAAACTACATCCATGTTGAAATTGGTGATCCATAATTTGTTTTTTGCAAAATATGTAGCGCAGCTTGAAACTATTTTCAATCTTCACATCTACAGAATGTTGCGTTCTTAAAATATATATTTATGGTTATATGGTTGTATACATTTACTTATATGCATACAACCAACATGTGACACACAACAACATTTACACTGGGTTAGTTGTGACTTAGCTTAGTCTCATGGTGCAGACTAATGATAAAAGTAAGAATAGATACTAGACATGTTTAAAATGTTAATGTTTAAAACCAGGTTAAATACAGGTTCTCTTTAGCTGTGCATACAACTGAGGGATTTTATATTTTCTATATTTCATTTGAATGTACTGTGATTATTTATCATTTTAATGCTATCTTGTTTTGTTCAGCACTTTGAGTTTCCTTGTGCATGAATTGTGCTACACAATTAAACTTGCCTTACCTATTGTGGAGATAAGATAAGATAGACTTTATTGAGCTAACACACATGTCACATCTGGCATGGAAAGAATCACTCAAGATTGTGCAAAAGAAAGAAGTTTGCAAACATGTTAAATGCAGGATATGTTCTGTACAATAAAAAGTGGCAATCAAGAAACAGTGTCAATAGTAGTGCAGGTTTTTTTTAGTCCTAATGCAAGTGACTTAAAGTGACTTATTGTACAGTCTGACAGCGGTGGGGATAAAGGCCCTGCGGTAGCGCTCCTTCCTACACTGAGGGTGTCTCAGTCTTCCACTGAAGGAGCTCCTCAGCTCCTCTACAGTCCTGTGCAGTGGGTGGGAGGTATTGTTCATGATGGAGGTGGCTTTGGCTAGCACCCTCCTGTCCCTCACCTCCTCCACAGAGTCCAGGGAGCAGCCCAGAGTGGAGCTGGCCCTCCTCACCAGCTTGTTCAGTCTGTTTCTGTCCCGCTCTGTGCTGCCCGGGGCCCAGCACACGGCAGCGTAGTGTATGGCAGAGCCTACCACAGAGTCATAAAAAGTCCTGAGCAGAGACCTGCTCACTCCGAAGGACCTCAGCCTCCTCAGAAGAAAGAGGCGACTTTGGCCCTTCTTGTGCAGAGCGTTGGTGGTATGGGACCAGTCCAGTTTATTGTTAATGTGAACACCCAGGTACTTGAAGCTGTCCACCAGCTCAATGTCCTCCCCCTGGATGTTCAGCAGCGTGTGGGAAAGTGGTTTTCTCCCGAAGTCGATGATCATCTCCTTGGTCTTACTGGTGTTCAAGCACAAGTGGTTGCGCTCACACCAGTTGACAAAGTCCGTGATAACCGACTGGTATTCCAATTGGTTCCCCTCAGACACACAGCCCACAATGGCGGAGTCGTCTGAGAACTTCTGTGTGTGTCGTATGTGAAGTCTGAAGTGCAGATGGTGAAAAGAAACGGTGAGAGGACAGTGCCCTGAGGGGCCCCAGTGCTGCAGACGACCACCTCAGACTCACAGCTGCGCAGCCGCACGTACTGTGGTCGGTCTGAGAGGTAGTTGATGGTCCATGCTGTGAGGCTACTGTCCACTCCCACGTCCTCCATCAGATGATCTGATCTGACAAGTTCTGAGCCCATTCATTTCAACCAGCCGATCCACCTCCTTCCTGTAACAAACCAAATAAAATTATAAAAGAGTGACACTAAACATAAGATGAGATACATTTTATTGATCTCACAATGGAGAAATGTACATCTTTACATGGCTACTTTTGATATACAGTATGGACAACCAAAGCCACACATATACACAAGGACTCATGGGAATAGGCTTTGAACAAGCTTCTTGGCGTTCTTAAATTGTTTCTGGACCCATACTTCCTCTGCTCCTCTTTTGTATTTCAGATTTTACTGGGACTTGACGATGCTGCTGCTGATGGTGGGAAACCTCATCATTATTCCTGTGGGCATCACATTCTTCAAGGACGAGCACACGCCTCCTTGGATCGTCTTTAACGTGGTCTCGGACACCTTTTTCCTCATGGATCTGGTCCTCAATTTCCGCACAGGCATCGTCAAAGAGGACAACACAGAGATTGTCTTGGACCCTCAGCAAATCAAGATTAAATACCTAAAAGGCTGGTTTGTGGTAGATTTTGTCTCCTCTATACCCGTGGACTATATTTTTCTTATTGTGGAGACGCGTATAGACTCTGAGTTTTACAAAACGGCTCGGGCGCTGAGGATCGTCCGCTTCACAAAGATCTTGAGTTTGCTGCGACTGCTGAGACTGTCCCGACTCATACGCTACATTCACCAGTGGGAGGAGGTACGTGCCACTCTCTGCTTTTCGTCTCAATTCATTTTGGTTTGAAGTGTTTTTGTGATAATGTTCTGAAGTGTAGCCTTAATTACAAAACAATTACAATACAACTTATTCTTGTATAGCCCTAAATCCCAACAGTGGTCTTCTCAGAGGACTTAACAAAACCATTGAAATCACCAACACAGATCAGAGAATCAACAGTTAAGACACAAAAAGAATATAGTGCCATTTTTCATTTATTTTTCCAGTGTAAAGAAATAACTTCAATTCAATTAAATTTAAGCTTGTACTATATGTCACGTGGGCAGCGCTGAAAAAAAATGTAATTTAATGAATGGCACAAGAAAATAAATAAAAAACCAGGGACAAGACATGGCAGAAAACACCAATGGACTGACAAAAAGAGGAAAGGAGCACATGGTCTAAATCATGGACTGTAAATATTAACAGACGTAGTCACGCCTATCTCCGCTGTGCCACCACTTTCTGCATCTATGGGCAGTTAAAAAAACCGCTGGGGCTGGAAAATGTGAAAAAACGCATCTGCGCATGCGTCAGTCGACACGAGCCCCATTCATTTGGAGTGACTTCAAAAATTCACAGCGAGTAAACCAGACTGGTCCAAGTTCACTCCCCTCAGCATTGACACACATGTGGAACGTAGCGTTGGGCCAAGAGCTGACTTTTGGACCATCTTGTAAACCCGTTTTTGAGAGGTAAGAAGATACGTTCATTAGCATGAGCTGGGACCCGCCCCCAGGAAGTAAAACTCACAACAAGAGCACAAATATATGTCAAAATAAAATCATATTAATAAACAGAAAGTCCACAGCCCTAAATCACAACAGTAGTTTTCTCTTAGGTCTTTACAAAACCGTCGCCACCACAGATCAGAGAATCAAACAGTTCAAACACAAGAACTAAAACGATAAAACACATAGAGACATTGGTCCATAAGAGGCTGACGACCAATGTTCATAAATGTCGTTGAATGTCGAGTGTCCTGGATCATCACCGGACTCTCCTGCAAACACGCTTTAAAGGTTGCAGTCATAATGTTATATGTTATGTGAAGGTTGATAAAAAATGTGTGACGAATGGTGCATTAAAGGTGATGTTAAAATAATGTATTTTTCTGACCATAAAACACAAGATAAATATTTAAAATAGCGCTTCCCCTTGAGCATAAATTGACCAGTAAGATTTGCAGGAGGAGAACAGTTCAACCAAAGACGACAGGCCTCAAGGATTTAAAGAGATTTCCACCAATCAGGAGGCTCCAGGGGCTGTGCATGGGCGGGTCTAAGGCTGAGTCACTCTCTCTTCACAGTTTGAGTAAATAACATTCACTTTAAAGGCTTGGTATAATTTCCACTAACTTTATAACAACAATACAAAATCTAAAGGATAAATCTTGGGCAACATTCTATTAAATTTATTTTGTAAATTCCAAAATCACACCAACAGTCGGAAGGGCGTCAATCAGATTAGAAAATAAAATAACTAAAAGCAAGTTGTTCATAGTTTAACCAATGTTGATAAATATCTTTGTCAATACTTTTCTCAAATAATTTCAGATCCCTCTCGTTCCAAGTTAGCCCCAGCAGTAACTCTACAACGCTTCATCTAAAACACATACTTATCTTGCTAGTCATTACTTGAGGACGTATGTTCCGTCGACCGCCTCAGGGCCAGCGGAGGTACTGAGATACTTACATAACTGCGTGTGGTGGTGGTGGACGATTAAGGTTTGGATCCGGGCCCTGGAGACACGGGGCCCACTCAGTATTGTATGTGACTCAACACTTTAGTTGCATAAATAATCTATTGAAAGCAAAGCATTGAAAATAATGTATAATACAAACCATTTCATTAAATTCTCTCACAGCTGAATAGTTACAATGAGTTGCATTCTCGTAACATCGGAACATTCCAAAGAGCCAATAGTTTAACCTTGTGGCGGAGGACAGCTGAACAGTCTTCGCTTGTAACTATGGTAACTATGGAAACTGTCAAAAATACTTTAGAGAAAATGTCCAATCAACACTGTCTCTACGTTCCACTTCTTCTTTGTCAGTAAATATCAACTATGGTCTATTTTATCCATAGTGACAATGTTCAAACAACTAGAATTCTGAAAACTCTAGAACACGCAGTGCGTCATTTTGACTGCTCCCATTCAAATCCATGGAATTCTGGGAAATTCCCCCAAAATACCTTTTGTTTTTTTACTTTTTTTAAATAAATAGTGAATGTATAAGTGTTTTACCATTACTCACTTTAAATGGGCTAAAACGGGTTAACAAAATTTAAATTACTGCTAAAAGTTTGTTAAAATGCTACCAAATGCTAACTGCTATGGTTTCTATGGTAACTCTCAGTCCAGAACCACCACCTTGATAAAGGTTTCAACTGCCAGAGAAAGTGGGCGGCCAACTACTCACATTTCAACAATAAGATGATATGAATATGATCAGATGAAGATAATTTCATAAGTTCAAACCTTTGAGTTATTGTCATAAGACATAACAGTAATATTGTCATTAATCTAATCACTCAAATAATTCATTAATTTTCAGCAAAATTACTACTCTAGAACATGCACAGAACATACAAGTGTCGAGCTCACAGTGCGTGGTGTTGCAGGTCTTCCACATGACCTATGACCTCGCTAGCGCCATGGTGCGGATCATGAACCTGATCGGGATGATGCTGCTGCTGTGTCACTGGGACGGCTGCCTGCAGTTCCTGGTGCCCATGCTGCAGGACTTCCCTGCGGACTGTTGGGTCACACGGAACAAGATGGTGGTGAGTGTGTTTATGGTTCATCAGGTTTGTGTAGCAGTAGACTACATTACCCACAATGCATCAATAAACAGTTTGCTGATAACCTCTGTGTGACTTGTAGAACGACACGTGGGGTCAGCAGTACTCCTACGCCCTCTTCAAGGCCATGAGTCACATGCTGTGTATCGGGTACGGCCTGTATCCTCCCATCGGCATGGCGGACGTCTGGCTCACCATCCTCAGCATGATCGTGGGCGCCACTTGCTTTGCCATGTTTGTGGGCCACGCCACCGCTCTGATCCAGTCCCTGGACTCCTCCAGGAGGCAGTACCAGGAGAAGGTGGGTGTCTTTTGTTGTCAGAACTTGGCAATGTTGCTTTGATGTTGGCTGATACTCACATGTTTTGTTTTATATTAAAAGAGACAACATTGCTCTCCATCAAAAACAGACCTGGGATTATTTTTAGATACATCCATGCTAATATCAGGTACTTTTGTACCAGAAGAAACACTTAACTCTACCTTTTCTGTCCAAAAGCTCTCAGTCCTTGTCACATCCCAAAAATAATAACAACTATAACTATATTAGATTTGGCTAATTCTCGGGTGAAATTACGTTCACTATATGGACATGGCTGTGTTTGCAGACAGTCGTTTTCAAATTTGGAAAATAACTAAACAAACTCCACTCCGCCTCTGATAATAGAGTAGGGATAAGGCAGATAGCATTCTTTAGTCTGGATACTTGTATCACCGTATGCTGTCTACCACATTTATAGAAGTACATTAAACTTATATTTCATTATTGACCTTTATGTAACCAGGAAAGTCCACTGCACAGTTATAAAGTCAAACTACATCAGACACATGTGTTTGTCTCCCTCGTCACACGTATCAAACTTGGATCTGAGTGTAGTTTGGGGAAGTAGAGCAGCGCTGAAGGACACAGTGTTAGCCGGAGCCTCCCAGTGTCAGATGAGCCGCCGAGGCAGGTCTCACAGATGGCCCCGCTGCTCGCTGCTCACATAATAAGCTGCACTCGACACGTCACCTCTGAGCCGCCGCATCCATCATCCTCATCAGGGACCACAGGACTTTTGTCTTCTACTGACACTGTGTACATTTGGAATCAGCCACAGATACAGAATACACCACTGTGACAATACTGTGGGGGAGTTTGTAGACAGTAATAAAATAAATGCTCATTTGTTTCATGGTGGTGGATAAAGCAGTGGATTCTAACAGGATTAAGTGTAAACAGATAATTTTTATCGGATGTGTCACATGAATTATCTCCAGGATCACACTGTCTGAGGTCTTCCAATCCATTTTGGCATTTTTTGTAATATTTACCATGTTTTTGAATTGTTTTCATAAGCTTAGATATTGACTTATAAATGTCCATGAGAGCTGGAGGACTCTACATGTCAATGCGCCATCTTGAACTACAGTGGTTGATAAGGGACAAAAAGGAGTTTGAGCGGGAGTTGGGGACCACTCTCAAAGACGACATATTGTCCTGCGAAGCTACTGTAGCACCGTAGATTAAAATATATGATCTCAACTCTAGATGGGAGTAAAAACTACACAGTGTACCTTTAAGATAGATGAGTCGTTTGTGTCATATGGTGAGGTGAAGGAAGGACCCAAAATGCAACAATGCAAAATATATAATGATTTCATGATAATAAAAACAAACAAAAAAACAAAAAACACCAACATTTAATTTATTCTTGTTTATAGCCCTAATTACAACGTTGAAATTGCCAACACAGATCAGAGAATCAAACAGTTCAAGGACAAACAATATAGAACACATATGTATTGGTCCATAGGGAGAGACTGTCCATGAATGTTGATAAATTGATAAACTCCTGCATCTGCATGGTAAAACTCTGAAACTCAGTGGGAGAAAAGTGAGAAACCAAACTAAAACTGGCAAACAAAGACAATGGACCAGCAACAAGGGGAAAGGAGCACAGGTGCATACAGACGCAGACACAGGGGAAACACATTTGGGCAAGACAAACCATCAACAACATAACAGGACAGGAAGTAAAACTGAAATCAAAGAACACAGAGAATTAATGTCAAAATAAAACCAAGTAACAAATAATCCACACCATGACAATTTGTTTATTACTATGCAATGTGTTTTTTGTTTGTGTACCTCCTCGCAATACATGTGTTTTTTTTTTTTTTATTGCAGTCAAAATTAACATACTGTGAAATTTTGGACTATTTACTAACATCATGAATAAATACATTTTTTTGATCCGGTTACAACAAATATTTATATGTATGTGTGTGTGTCTGTGTGTGTGTGTGTGTGTGTGTGTGTTTTTTAGTACAAACAAGTGGAGCAGTACATGTCCTTCCACAAGCTGCCCACCGAGATGCGGCAGAGAATCCATGACTATTACGAGCACCGCTATCAGGGCAAGATGTTTGACGAGGAGAGCATCCTGGAGGAGCTGAACGAGCCACTCCGAGAGGTCGACATTTCATTCCCTTTATGCATTCATCTATACGTTTGTTTGTTTGTTTGTTTGTTTCAAGAGTTCAAGAGAGATGAGTGCTGCAGTGGGTCTGGCTTTGTCAGGTGCTCATCAGGACAAAAGTGGCAAAAAACACCAAGTCATCATTAAATGGCTCTAATCTGTGAAAAGGCAATAATAAACTATGCTCTTTTTGAATACTTCTTTAGCTGATAACAGTTGTTCAGTCGAGATATTTGGATTTCAAAATTAGTTTTACAGACCATAAATCTTGTTATTGTTTTTATTTCGATGTCCCGCCCTCCACCGTTTCACTAATCAGAAAGTCTGTGATCTGGATTGCCAGAACTCACTGCGTCAAGCTAATCTGGTAAAGCAACATGTGGCCACAGAACTAAAAAAAGTCTCGTTATGATTCTTAAATCATTAGCGACAAAACAAGGAATAAAACCAGGATTTCTATCTTTGTGAAAAAGGTGTTGGTTATAGAGTTTTTTTTTGACAAAACTCTTTACTTCAGCTTTTATGGATTCGGCTGCAGATCTGGCAACCTGAGTCATAGAGAGTGGGAGAGGTTGCAGTACCACCTTTGGCCAGATTTTTACAAACTGCTCTTTAAATAAAAATCCTTTAATGTACAGGGATGACACGTGGGCCTTCTTCCTAAATGTAATCACCACCTGTCAAGTGATCTACACGCAGCATGATTAAACATACAACAAATAAAATAAAATAAAATGTAATAGATTTGTAATTTCAGAAGACATTTAGGTGAGGATAATCAAACTTGTTTAGTCTGAAAGTACACACAAAAAATACACTCAAAAAAATACAGAAATGCTAAAACAAATAAACACAGTAACCACAGTATACACACACAAACACACACAGAGACACACACACGCAGAAGCACACAGACACAACAACACACACACAGACAAAAATAAATAACAATCTCAATTCCACATTTCCACATACCAACATTTAACTCTGTGAATAATGTAATCGTACATAAACTGTATATTGAGGCGTCTTCCTTGGATGTGGGCCATGGTCTAATCTGATTAGTAATCGCTAAAGCGCACAGAAAACCTCAATAATGGAGGCCTAAGCTGACAGTGCTTTTATAGAGATTGGAATGTATAGAGACACAAGCCGCAAACCAATCATGTTCTTGTTTCTCCTGCAGGAAATCATCAACTTTAACTGTCGTAAACTGGTGGCTTCCATGCCGCTGTTCGCCAACGCGGACCCAAACTTTGTCACCTCGATGCTGACCAAGCTGAGGTTCGAGGTGTTCCAGCCGGGAGACTACATCATCCGCGAGGGAACCATCGGCAACAAGATGTACTTCATCCAACACGGCGTGGTCAGCGTCATCACCAAGAGCAGCACCGACACCAAACTCACCGACGGATCCTACTTCGGAGGTATTCTGCCCACATCGGTGACTACTGTCGTGTTAGAGGGTCAGCACTGTAAATGTGGCTGCTCTGAACTGCTGCTGCTGCTGCCGTTATTATGGTCATTTATCAAAATAGGAAAACACTATATAGATGTGAAATGGTTCGAGTTGATGGCAGATAGAGTGAAAACATTGTTAGTAAAAGTGCATAGACTCTGCATGATGAAGTCAGAGTAACACAATAGCAGAGCAGTGGCAGCTTAGCGTCGCAGCCTATTACCGCACAAAATGTATCATCTTCTTAAAAGGCAGCAGGACTAAAAGAGGCGGCTTTGTGATCTTTGAATCCCTCGTGGGGTTTTCCCTTTTGACAAAACAATATTCAAATCTAAAATCCATTTCTCTGTGCGCTGCAGTTGCCTTTGTGAGCACAGCTGTATAATAACGATATGGAAACGTATTCAAATGAAGAGAGTCTGTATCTCTTCCTCTCGAGTCATACGATATTCACATTTTCAAGAATAAATGAAATTATTAGTGTAAATGTTATTCAATCATTTGGTCTCATCACTGAAGAAAAACACATTAAAATCTGTCATGCTTCACTTTTGAGTCCAAATAAATGACTTTGTCCTTGAATCACTCATTCCTAAAATGTCCCAATGAAATAAAGATGAAACAGATGAAAGTGCTTTCATTTAAGAGACAGCGATGTCATCTCATGTTGTTGGTTTTAATTAGAGACAAGGTGCAGTAAGAACATCGTAAAAAGTTACTTTGTGAATTGTTTGGTCATGCAGTGAAAATCCATATTTAACTTTTACCAATGTTAGATTTACAAGAGAAATGATACTAATCTAGATTCACAGAAAGCCTGTCCTTTGAAAAGTATGTGTTCTTTTTAAATGGCACATTATTGTATTTTTTTGGTCCGGCATGAAAGACGGGGTCAGGACACACGGTAAGCTGCGGAAAGTGCTCCATCTGTGGCTTGTCCCTTTTAATGTTTTATCATGTCACACTAATAATACTAGTTTTCCCCTGGCTTTTATGAGTGGCCCAAAATGTCCTAAAGATTTGGTAATAACTCTGTAAATGTTCCTCCATCAGAGATTTGCCTGTTGACCCGCGGCAGGAGGACGGCCAGTGTCCGCGCTGATAACTACTGCCGCCTGTACTCTCTGTCTGTGGACAACTTCAACGAAGTGCTCGAGGAGTACCCCATGATGCGGAGGGCCTTCGAGACCGTGGCCCTGGATCGACTCGACCGCATCGGTGAGAGAAAGTCTAGAGTGGTTTTATTTATGGTTCTGATTTTTATTGTAAAGCTCCACTATGCAGCGTCAATAAATGTAGAAGAACTTTTGCTAAATCTGTTTTCTCTGTGACGGCCATGAGTCAGTGGAACACACTGCCCACAGAGATCACTGCCTGTACTACATTTAAAACATATTCTTGGCTTCTGAAAAAGCAAGTTTGCACACAGTGAGTGAGTGAGTGAGGGTAATATTTTAGTAGACATTGGGGAACTGTATTTATTAGCATTAAATATATTGTTTTATGAATGATGTTATCCATCTACGTTAGAATCTGTTTAAATGAATATAACACCAGCCTGCCCAGGGACTACAGGTGGAAACTAGCATCTTAGCTATAACCTGGTACAGTGAATATCTCCTTTGTGTTCATGTTTAATTGTACATTGTCCCTGTTCAAATAAAGTACATACCATACCGTACCATACTAACGTTTTATCCTAAAAAAGCGGACTGAAATCAATGTGAGTTGTATATTGTTGGGTCCTTGAACATTCTGTGATCTTGTTTATTGACCTTGTTTATAACCCTGTCTACCAGGGTTTCCTCCAGGTGCTCTGGATTTACCTACCCCTAAAAACTTGTACAATTAAGCATGTGCTGCGTGAGTGTCTGGATGGTGGTCGGAGGGATCAGTGTGTGGAGTGACTGGATAATGCATTGACATGAGCTTTGTGTAACTCTGGCCTGAGAAAAGCACAGTGTAAATACTGACAACTTTCTCAAACTGAGACTCTAAACGTCTGCAGTCTGCCGCAGGATTCTATTTCTGAACGACACTATCTGTTCTAGGTTCATACAAAGTGATAGGAGATGCAAAACCCAATCAGGTTCATTGTAAAAAATAATAAAATATGTTTTCATTTCTTTCAAAAATTTGAACTGGGCTAAAAGAAGTAAACAGGCAGAGGCTGCGAAGAGAGAGAAAAAACATAACTTAACTAAAAGTCCCTGCAACATTTTACATACCCTCAAAAATGTCACAAGACCTTAGAATAAAATGATACAAGATATTTTGGTCTATATGTTTATGGTAAAATATGAATAAATATGTTTTTGTTTGAACAGGGAAAAGGAGCTCTGTTCTACAACACAAAGTCCAGCATCACCAAAGCTCTGGGACTCTGAACCTCCAGGAGAACGAGATCATCCAAAGAATCGTCCAACACGACCGAGACATGGCCCAGTGCACCCAGCTGACCAGCGTTGTCCAGGGCCTCGCTCCGTCCTCGGTCCCCCCCTCCCCCAACCCTGTCATATGGGCCCCTCTGGTCCAGGCCCCTCTGCAGGCTGCAGCCGCCACCACACCTCTGGCCCTGGCTTTAGCGCATCACTCCCAGTTGCCCCCCATCCTCTTCCACCGCCCTCTGTCCCACAGCGCCTCCTACAAAGAGCCTCACTCCAAACGGGTCCACGTGGGACAGCCCAGCGGCTCGGGCCCCGCCTCCCCCGCCGGCTCCTCTCGTCTGCACACGCTGTTGGAGGCTCCCGGTCTGATGTCGCTCCGGGCGCCTCAGGTGTCGTGCGCGTCCATCTCCCAGACACTCCCGCCGCAGCCCATCTTCACCAGCAGTATGCAGCCGCTCCTGCCGCACCACGTCCCCTTGGCTCTCTCCGTGGGACAGTGCACCGTGTCCTACACCTGCTCCACCACGCAGCCCCACCCCTCGCAACTCAGCAGCATGACTGCCACGCTCCCGTTTCTCCAACAGGGCGGCGCCGTGAGGGGACCTGGGAGATTCCCCGTCCCAGCCTCGTCTTCGTCGTTCTTAAACCCTCTGATCTCCAGCTCGGTCGACCCGATCCTGAGCCAGCTGCAGCAGAGCGCTCACGGCCTCGACCCTACACTGTTGGGGCGGTACGACAAAGCGGCGAGATCGTCCTTTCGCTCCAATCTCCCATTTTTCCCCATTGTCACCAGCGCGCATCACTCCGGCGGCGGGCTTGTGTCTGGAGCTGCCGCGTCTTTGGCCCAGCACAGTCTGGCGGGCCTCCATTCTGCCTTCCTGCCCCAAGTTCTACCCGAGCACTCCGCCCTGGCGTCGCTGGCCCAGTACGAGTCGGCGGAAGGATCCCCGAGTTACACCCCTCCTATACCCAGCCCCAACGTGCAAAGCCCTGCTCGAGCCAGGCCCGTTTACCACCCGCAAGTCGCCCCTCAAGCGTCCTGTCCCCCGCAAGTGGACAGCGCGCATGGATCAGAGCAGGCAGAGTTTTTAAACCAGGAAATCAAGACTATCTCAGGCTCGCACAGTGCAATACACCGAGAAAGGCCTTTGGCGATGGGTGGACTTTCAGAAGTGATATCTAGTCCATATTCGTCCCCCGTTCTAGTCAGTAAACTGTACAGTGCAAACCCTGAACATGGCGCCCCTGTTAGTCCATCACATCAGCAACCTCAGAGTAAGAGCCCCCACTCTCCAAAAGCGGAGATTTGTGTGGAGACTGAAAACTCGCAATCAAAACTGCCCTCCGACTTGTGAGGTTCACACACACCCTCCTTTGATGCCAACACGACATCGCAATAATCATTCGGAATCATTTTCCTGAAGCGGGAGGGTGTGTTTTTGTAACCAGACTGGAGATTTGTTTTTTATATATTGAATGGAATTGGTATAAGGGACAACAATGCCATTTTTCTATGGAACTTGATTATGGAAAATAAATCCGAAAACCTACTTATGAATATAACCCATCACACCTCATGCAAAGTTATTAAATGTATTCTATCATATCTACGCTGTTTTATATTTATTCTATTTATTTAAGCACTTGTCACTGTAAAGACTTTCAGTTACAGCTCCTTATTATGTATCCAACTATAACTAATACCAAAAACGACTCTCCTGTCTCCTCTTTCACCCTTTTCCAGTGTTCACTTTGAACGGACTGCACTTTTGATTCTGTTTCTGTTCATTTAGCATGTCTTCCAAGATCGCAGATTTAAGAGTAGTACGCACAAGTCAGACCGTTTTCAAATACTGAATGTAACTTTTACATTGGAGGATATATATTCATTTCCATTGTTTTTTTTGTTTTTTCATTTTTACTGCTCTCTCTGTCGCACTAAAGCAACTCATCAGTGTCCAGACATTACATCTGAGCCAAGGTCTGTGTGCAATAGAATCAATAGAATAGTATGCAATAATCTGCTTTTATAGCTTAACAACTGTACTGTGAAGCAAAGAACTTGTTGGTCTTCAAAGAGTGAAGAACGGATAATCAAAGGTCCTGAAACCAGCCAATCACTGAGGTGGATGTGAATGTATCCTGCACTTGTCAAAGGGCTACCAGCAGATCCAGAACATCGTGCACAAATGGTTTTCAAGAAGCTGCGTTTTTTGCTGCCTGCATTATTACCTCTGACATTGTAAATCGTTGGGTTGTGCAAACTGGCATCTTGTCGACGACTGCCGCTTTGCAACGCTATGCTGTATTATGAAACGACAATTTTTATAGTGAAATATTTCATCTTCACTGTCAATATTTGCGTGTGTTTTTATGAATACTTTTGCCATGAAGGAACTAAACAAATCTCAGCTTGTCTACAGGGAAAACCAGGGTGGATTTTCTGGTTTGTTTGTTTGTTTGTTTGAAGATACAATCAGCCCATACTTTCCTCAAACTGCAATACCAGAGGTGTCCACAAGGGGATTTCATCGGTTGCGAGGGCGCCTCTGTCAGTCATAAACATTTATTTTGTGTCCATTTCATTCATCTCGCTGCCTTTTCACCATCAGATGTTATCTCAATATCACCTACTGTATGTACGTTGAGTATATTTATTTTTAGCTACAAAACGCAATAAAATAATATTAATAATGCACTGAAGTTATTTTTTCTGAATTTAGTTTAATCTTCCAAAAGTGAAATACACAACCTTTCTTCAGCTACACAATCAAATCACTGAATGAGAGATGTGACCATAACTATGTCTTAAACTGTGGAACTACTTTCTTCTAGACACTACTGTAAAGGTACATTCTCTGATTATATTTGTTCCACATTTCTGTTCTTTTGTGGTTAATCCTCATTTAGAGAGACTAATGTTCAAGTTCAAGACCTGGTCCAGGCCATGTTTAACCTGGTGTAGATTTGGTGTCAGACTCGAAAACCACATTTTCAGACATGGCCCTTCAAGTTGGGATAATATGACTTTGTTAATTATCTATACTGTACTTTCTGCAGCTATAGCCTCATGCTGCTAACACGTACAGATGTATACACATTTATCCTTAATTCTTGCTTCTTCATTGTGCTAAAGTTAGAGATTTTGGATTAGCTTCCTCATTTGACTTTTGTAGATTTTATTCTTTCTTTTTAATCATGAGTTATTTATTTGTTTTATTTTTTATAGATCTATTGTTTATTTATCTTGTGTTGTGCGCTCCTCATTCCTGTCTGTAACTTTTGATGCAACACTGAAATTTCCCCGCTGTGGGACAAATGAAGGACCTCTTAATCTCAATCTTAATTCAATCCTATAGAAGTAACTCATTTGCCTTTCTTTTCCCTTTAGTCCAGGCTCTGCTTATAGGCATCAAAAGTCCTCAATCACCAATTTATTAAACCTCCTTTCCAGCAATTTGAATCTAGTATTTTTGTTATAATTGAATTCAGTCTCTGTTGGTCTTGAGCACTGAGGTCTTTTGTACGAACTGTGCCACACAAATAAACCTTCTTCTCTTTCTCGAGCAGTACGTACATTTACACAAACTATTAAATAATGCAAACAAGAGAGCAGTCGTTAGGAAAGTGTTATTTTAATGTATGGAAACCAAGTCCCCGAAGCGAGACCTGGCAGTAGTTGCACATCAGTAATTATCGGAATCATGTTGGAGCTGAAAGACGGAGCATCTTGAGTCCTTTGATGGTGATGATGAATGTCCATGTTTTTAAATTATGGCACCAACACAACTCTCATGGTGTTGGTGTAGCCGGAGCCAGGGCGCCATCCAGTCACCACGATCGCCACATCACCGGACTTGAAGAACTTGCGGTGCTTGCCTTTAAATATATTAACATTTGTTAGGTTTCTGCTGGTATTCATGGTTGCAAACAAATAAGGAAACCTGAACGGCTGCACGATTGGACGTGATTAGAAAATCGTAAAGACTGCATTTATCTAAGCTCTTTGCAAAAAATCTAATATTGATTCAATTTGTTTAGCTAAACTTTGAAAAATACGCTTTTAAAATTGATTTTAATGTATTTATACATGCTTATATACTTAGAAAAAATAAGAAATATGATAATAAAATAATTAAATTTCCTAATGTGCAAAATGATGACATTGGTTTATCTAAAACCCCAATCACAGATTTTACTAAGATTGTGCTGTTCTAGAAGCATCTCTAAAAGTACAACATTGTATTTACATTTTCTCGAGAATGAAAACATTGTTGTGACTTCAGCTGCTGGTGTTTGAGGCACTCACCGACTTCCAGGGCGAAGTTGACTCGCAGGTCCACGTCCTCGGCCCACACGTCGTTGGCGGGCTTGGTGTACATGATGGGGTAGATGCCGCGCCACAGGTGGCACTGGCGAGCCGTCTGCCCACAGCGGGTCACTGCGAGGATGGGGGCACGGGGCCGGTACCGGGACAGCATCTGGGCGGACCTGGGGGGAGGGGGTCGATTATGGAGCAGAAGTAGCTAAACTATTTCACGATAGGTCTTTCAAAGATTTTAGGCAAATACTTGTTTTATTTAGATCAGTTTGGGTCAGATTTGTGTCTTCAGAGCGTAGAGAGAGCTGTAGGGTCAGAGAGCTTTATTTGTTGTTTTATTAATGATTTTTGTCTGGTGTCTTTGTCTGCTGGATGACACAGCTCTACCTCAGGAGATGTTCTCATTTTATGACCACTACAGAACCACAGATCTGTATTTATACAGAACATACTTCAAATATTGAAAGAAATTGAGTCACATAATGATTTCATATTCTTGTTCATATTCATATTCATATTTATATTTATAATCATGATGCACCAACGACTGCGAGACAAGGACAGTTTTAGTTTTATGTGCAGTTCCAGAGGATCCCAGCTTTAAAGCAAGCTGTGCAACATTCAGGAGGTAATCTGCTTCATTCGATAAAAATAGAAAGACATATCTGGCATGTGCAGTTGTTTGTGCAAAACAAACTTGTGTTGTATCTTTTTGCTAAAACATTTCCTTGAGGATAGTTGAAGATTGTTATTAACTCATGTTGATGACTAAATATCTGTCACCGATCTTTAAGTTCAGAAGAGTTTTCCAGAACAATGCCTCAGTTGTTGTTACAGAGTAAAACTTTCTAAATAATATTCAGAGCTTCTTACTGTACAATGTGTGCAAAGAGTTTAAACAAATACCCAAGTGCAGAGGACACTTTTAGAGTTAAAATTAACTCATAGAATGTCAAAGTTCAAATCTGCAAAGGGCAAGAGCAGGAGCTCATACTGTGAGCTCAGTAAAAGGAGTTGGCACGAAGCACGGCTGTTGGAGCGAGAGGAGGAACATAACATCATGTGTCATTTGTTGCGGTGAGTTTTATATGGATAAGAACTTTGTTGCGATGCTCTGGGGGCACTTCCTGGAGGCTCTAATTGAACACACAGGATTGTTTAAGAGGAAATATTTGCCACTCCACACATGGGGCTATAGTTGTAGCTACAGCTGCTTCGAGGAAGGCTGACAAAAGCAGCCAACCTGTAAGTGTGAGAACTGTGCACTCTCTGACCAACACAAACGTACACACTACACTCATGTGCGGCCATGGGGCTGCACTTCAGAGCCACAGCTGCCCTGTGGCACGTCACAGAGAGCAGGCACACCAGGACTGTGTCTGTCAGGGGGTATCTGGTACAGAGTCCAATGGAACAGTCTGTGTGTAGTGTTTGTGTGTCATTACCTTCCAGTCTTGGTGAGCACAATGATGGCGCTGGCGCAGCACTTGAAAGACGCCTCGACGGCACCGATGGCCACAGACTCAGTGGGGTCACGGGTCAGGTGAGAAGTGCGACGAAGCTCCTCGAACAACTGCCTGTGGAACATGGCAGCTTCAGCCTCACGGGCGATCTACACAAGAGTATGAAGAGAAATACACATTTAGAAAAATACAAAAGGTTGTTATTATCGGAATAAAAGTCTTCATACCTGCATCAGACTGACACTAGAAGCCAAGCATCAGAGGCAGCCATGACCTGTGCATGTAAATCTGCAGTATCCGAGGAGCATGCTTCTGAGGCCATCACAATGAAAGCACATGACGTTAGGAGCATGACAAAGGGCCACAGCAAACAGTCACAGTGATACACACAACCGGAATCAAACAAATGTAAATACACACATTTCGTTGTGGTCAATGTTAAATTAGCAATAACTTTGTCCTTGTGATGAAATCTGTCCCCTGCATTTGATCAATCTCTCATTGCTCAAGGCTGAAGCTTGTGGCGCCACCTGCAGGTGAAGCCATATCCTAACAGACCTCTGAAGTTAAGCAGGGGAGGGCCTGGTCAGTACAGTGATGGGAGACCCCAGGTGCCAAAGTGGGGCAGTTGTTAAGTGGCAAACAGTAGTTGTGTCCTTAGGCAAGACACACCCACATTGTCTAATTAGAAAATGTGGTGTCTGTGTGTGTGAATGGTTGGTGGTGGATGGAGGGACCGATGGCACATACTGGTTGCCAATGACAGTCTGCCCCAGGGCATTTGTAGCTTAATAGTTTTTAAAATGTTTCAACTCTCCAGAGTAATAAGTGAGTAGTTGTTGTGTACACTTCCTCCGGCTCATTCATGGACAGTGTCTAATGCAAATGCAATAACAGGATGTGGAGAACAAGCAAATATCTTCAGTTAGCTCAAAACACATGCTCCTTTCTCTAATGTTACAGTGATGTATTCAGTCAAACAAAACAGCAGTTTCTAAAGCGGTGCCTTTCAGTTACTCTCAGTTAATCCAGTCTGAGCAAGAGTCGGAGCCTCACCCTGTGCTGTGTGAGCACGGCCTCCAGAGGGTACTCTCCCTTGGCGGTCTCTCCGCTCAGCATCACACAGTCGTTTCCATCCAGGACGGCGTTGGCCACATCGTTGGCCTCGGCGCGAGTGGGACGAGGCTTCTTGGTCATGCTTTCCAACATCTAAAAAATAACAGTGTTTATTGTAGCATTTTAAAAGACTTTAGAGGTGACTGTTTAGTTGTAAAACTAATACTAATACAAACAAATCTTGACCTTTCTTGGATAGTTTTAGAATGGTTTGAACAATTCCGACTCACTACAGAACTTTTAATCACTTCTCAAAACCAACTCGTCTTCCCTTAATGTTGTTCTTCAATGTATGTTTTTATATTGTTTTGTAAAAAGTATTTGAGTGTTCAAAAAAAGTTCTGTATAAGTTTGATGTATTATCATTATTAACAATCTATATTAGAGATATTATGAGACAACATGATTAACTAAACAACTTTTAATGTATATTCTATATCTTTGAAAAACATAATCTACATCAGTATCAGCTGAGTCTCAGCGTGGCAGGACCTGAGTGGCGCAGGTGATGGGTTTGCCGACTCTGAGGCACCTGCCGGTCATCATCTTCTGAGCCAAGAAGACTTTCTCTGTGGGAATTTCAATACCAAGATCTCCGCGGGCAACCATGATGCCGTCACTGGCCTCCAGGATCTCATCGAATCTAGTTATAAACACAGAGAAAAGTGTTCATTCGACCGAAGCCAAGTACGAAATCATTACTTTGTATGATTTAATTCAACATTTACTCAGTGCTTTAGGAGGACACTCATCTGTTACTCTAAGTGCGATGACTCACTATGTGCTTTGACAAAAAAAGATGCATAGTTGCTTGAAGGTCTATGTCCTTTAGAGTATGTTTGACTAATGTCCTTGCCCTTGTATCGTTTTTTTCTGTTTGCATCACTCCCATTTATTGATTAACTTGTAAATATTATGGAAAGTGAACATTTGGACAATTAAATTTGAAAACTGAGAAAAAATAAGACACACAGTAGAAAGAAGCTATTTCAGCATGCAAATAAAGCATATGAAATAATACTTCTGTACCAAGACCATTGCTGTCTCTGTTGACAGGAGAGCTTCCTCATCACAGCAGAACAACAGAAGTCTGGCCTCACCTGCGCACTCCCTCGTGATTCTCCAGTTTGCTGATGATCTTGATGTCTTTGCCCTTCTCTCCCAGCACCTTCCTCACAGCCTCCACGTCGGCGGCCTTGCGGATGAAAGAGGCGAAGATCATGTCAACACCCTGCTCCACGCCAAACTGCAGGTCCTGAATGTCCTTCTCTGACAGCGCAGGCAGATCCACGGCTGCTCCAGGGAGATTCACACCCTTCTTACTGCCGAGCATGCCGCCATTCTCGATCTCACACATGATGTGGTCACTGCCTTCAAACACAAAGGACAGGAACATTTAAACTGAACAGACAGTGCGGGGTCACAGGCCAGTGGACACTTCTACCCTGTTCCAACTTATCCAAAACTATGCTCAGACTTGAATCAGACTAGACTCACTGACTTTTAAGAGAAGACATTGTCACAAAATTCACAAAACTGCATTTCACTGAAACAATAGTTTAAGTCTAAAGCTAAAACATTCATGGATTTATGAGATTAATGAAGAAGTTCTAATCTTGATCACAGTGATTTGAAGAACAATTGTCACTTACATCAATATACTGGCCTTTGGACGGTACTAAACACACAACATTGGTACTAAACACACAACATTGGTACTAAACACACAACATTGGTACTAAACACACAACATTGGTACTAAACACACAACATTGGTACTAAACACACAACATTGGTACTAAACACACAACATTGGTACTAAACTACTTCTGAATGCGCTGGAAAACGGCAGTAGGTCCTGAGTAGCTCTGAAACAGTCGATGTTTTGTGCTTTAGAAATTTGATTTTTCTTTCTTTTTTCTACCTAAGATGTTGCTGCAGTTCAGTGTTCATGGTTTTACACTGGTCCAGACCAGAGCAGAGAGGATTCATGGTCCGAACCAAGAGGATCAGATGAAAATCCACTGGAGGAATGCTAAGCAAAGGCTACTCCACCTCTGCTGCTGTGACCCGTCCTGCTCCACCCAGAGGCTACTCCACCTCTGCTGCTGTGACCCGTCCTGCTCCACCCAGAGGCTACTCCACCTCTGCTGCTGTGACCCGTCCTACTCCACCCAGAGGCTACTCCACCTCTGCTGCTGTGACCTGTCCTGCTCCACCCAGAGGCTACTCCACCTCTGCTGCTGTGACCTGTCCTGCTCCACCCAGAGGCTACTCCATCTCTGCTGCTGTGACCCGTCCTGCTCCACCCAGAGGCTACTCCATCTCTGCTGCTGTGACCCGTCCTACTCCACCCAGAGGCTACTCCACCTCTGCTGCTGTGACCTGAAGGGCTGTTGCTGATTATTACTATTGTTAGTTTTTTTGAATGATCAATTCTGTTTTTTATTTTTGCTGCTACTGGACACCTGAATTTCTCTGACGGGGATCAATAAAGTATCTCTCTATCCAAACACACTACATGGTATTGTGAACAAAGAGAGCAAAGCGAGAGGAGGGACCACAGTTCTAACTCTTGTATTCGGCGAGACTTTCTGAACTGCTGATGTATTTACAGTGACAAGTCTCCAAGAGTGATGTGTAATTATCTGTGAGCTTTGCCCATGAACACTGTACACACTCCTATAACATGAACGTGATGATGTCACAGACGTGGCCTTACCGATCTGGTTGACCTTGAGTGAGATGAGGCCATCGTCAACATAGATGTGGCTGCCGGTCTGCACGACTTTGGTGATGTTTTTGTAATCGAGCCACAGGACTTTCTCGTCACACTTCTCCTTGTACTGGTCGTCCAGCGTGACCTTGATGGTTTCGCCCTTCTTCAGTTCCACTTCAGCAGTGTCGCTCTAAAGCAAAGTTAAACTCAATATAACATCAATATTTGAATCACTATACAACACACACACACACACACACACACACACACACACACACACACATATATGTACAAAACAGAATAATTGAGCTGTACATGGTTTGCCTTCATAGTCCTTATTTAGACCAGCAGTACTTACTCCCTTGATCAGTCCGGTCCTGATTTCTGGTCCTTTTGTGTCCAGAGCAATAGCCAGAGGTCGGTACTCAACAGTGCCAGGTACAAAGCTCTCAGCAGCGTCGCGCATGTTCTTGATGGTCTCGGCGTGATACTATAGAATTAGGAAACAACAAAGATACATCAAATATATCGCGAAAGATGCACCATAATCAAAACAAGTTGTTGATATCTGGATCTACAGCCCATCCCTCAGGTTCCTCTTCCCACTGGTTTGGATTTGGGTCTGGGTCTAGGGACAGTGGTGATGATCCAGGACTCTCCAAATGTAACAATATTTATGGACATTTATCAACATTTATGGGATTTGGTCATCTGCCTCTCATGGACCAATGGCTCTATGTGTTTTCTATCATTGCATTTCTTGTGTTTAAACTGTTTTGTAAAGTCCTCTGAGAAAAAACTACTGTTGTTAGGGCTATACAAAAATAAATTGAATTGACTTGATATGATTTGATGAAACACAATATCATCACAGAAATGTAGCTGAAACATTTTAATTTTAGCCTGTTGCCTTGTTTCCATTCGTTCAGCCTTAGAGTAAGACTTTGTGAATCTTGATCCTGTGATAAGACGAAGCTGCATGACATTGGTTATATTTTTGTGATAATTGGAGTGGCAAATGCAATATATTTATAGCACAGTAGAATGTTCTGATCCTGCGTGCCTAAATAACTGTAGCCCAGAACACACTGGCTATTATGTAAATGGTTCATTATAAGACCACGTGAGGCATGTTTAGACAAAGCTATTATCTGCATAAAAACTTGGTAACATCTGCAGATTAAGCCACAAAGAATAAACATTATTTTTCCGGCTTCACGCTGACAGCTGGTGGAATGGATTCCATCGACTCGTGCCTTAGCTACCAGTCTTAACTAAATATAGCAGTGACCTAGCATTCAAGGAGAGGTCAAATTAATTTCTCATGTTTAAATGCATTTCCGTCCTGGGTCCGGAGGTTGCAAATGGGACAGAATGTGTCAAATTAAACTTATATAGTGAAGAATTATGAGTGCAGAATTATGAGTGAAGGATTATGAGTGCAGAAATGACGCTAGCCTATTTCTAATAAAATAGAGACAATGAAAGTTAACATAGGCCAACAGCTCTGCATATAAATAAATATTCTCACATAAATACGCTCAATAATAGCTAATCCTTGAGAGATGACAGAGAGAGAAGTGAAGAGGCGTGACTTTTAAAAGTGAGAGGTCACTGGTGTGAAATAGTTGGCCCTTAGACAGTGACTGTGAAGCGGAGCCATGCTGCTCTCAGCTCATGTTACAAACAGGGTTCATAAGTTATGTCAGAACAACTGCTGCAAAGGCTGATCTTCCAAACTACTTTTGCACCACTGCAGAGTCTCTGCTGTGTCACTGAGATCATGAAACACTGTATTATTAACTATGCTGCTGTTGTGGGGTTTCCAGTGTGTTCAGCCTCACTTCATGAGTGCCATGAGAGAAGTTCATTCTTGCAATGTTCATCCCAGCCTTGATCATTTCTTTGCCCATGTCCACGGAGCGAGAGGCCGGTCCTGCACAGGACACACAGGTGAGTGTACACAGACTGCTCTGGGGTTAAAGTGACATTTAAAGGTTGTGTTTGCACAGAAATGCATAATGCATCAGCCTCATGGATCAGAGAGAAGCATTACCAATGGTGCAGATGATGCCAGTGTTGCGAGACACAGCCGGCTCAGAGTCAATGTCCAGGAGGCACATGTGCTCGATCATGGTGTCCGCCATCGCAGCGTGGAGCTGCTGCGTGTGGATGATCGAAGAGCCCATATCCTTAGACTTCTGCATGACTGGTTCTGTGTCTACACAAAGATGCTGTGGAGACAGGGCAAGGACAGACGTTAGCCCTCGATGAAAGAGTCATGTGAGCCACAGCTACATGTTCCTGACATTAACACTGAATTAGTTAAACAAGTAAGCTCTGTTCAATCCACAAGGGGCTATCACCTTTGGTGAGATGTTGTGTAGCAATCTAGTCTATTTAAACAGGATAAAGAGAAGGAATATGACTCTATCCACATTCCTGATGAATAAAAACAAGGTCAGGGCTCACTTAAACTGACCAAGGACCCACATACTTTTTACAGTGTTATAGAAAATAGGACGCATCAAGAGAATACTGGGAAACTATATTTAGTTACAAAATACTAAGTAGCTGCAAACGTGCATACCACTTCTCCATTATTATTGTTAATAGAAAAACCTGCTTATGCAACTATTAGTGATTTCTTTGTCTTGTATAGAATCATACCATTAAAGCCTAAAAAGCATGATCGAGTTTCATCATGTATTCTTTAGATTGTTGCAAAGTATTTGTATTCTGAAAACTCTCTTCAGTTACTCTCTTTACCTAAAGAAAGTCACTCAGATACAGAGAGTATCTGAGTAACTTTTATTAGCATTCTGAGTACTATAATCTAAATACATGTATTTAGTTAACACCAAACACTCACTGCCGAACAATATATCTATCAACTTAAAATAGTCTCTGATGTCGTCAAAAGAATGTATTTTGTGAATAAATCATATACAATTTCAACATTTCAACAAGATAGAGTCATAGTATTCTGAAATCTGGAAATAGGAAAGTGTCGCCTACTCCAAATGATAAACTCTGTAATAAGTCAAAACTTCTTAGTTTAAAATTGGCTGATTAGTTTAAAATTGGCTGAATTAAAAAAAATTCAACTCCACAAAGTAAAAAGTGACTTGTGTCTGTGTTGCTCCCTTCACTCACCTTGGGGTGAACTTTGCAGGACAAGTGCGCCACCGCTCAGCAGGCGCACAAGCTTTTTATTGGACCCTAACCGACCGGGACTACTTCCCCCGGATCACGTGTCACACATGGATCCCTGCGCCGCAGGGTGCTCTCCCACTTCATCATAATGATGAGTCAGTTTTATGTAACGCTCGTCAAGACACTTTACATGCCATTATTCATTCACTCAATACACGCTGGTGATAAACTACTACTGAAGCCACAGCTGCCCTGGGTCAGACCAACAGATGTGAGACAACCAGTGTGTGGCATCATACTTTACAGCCACTATGGCCCCTGGTGTTCCCAGAAGTCCCCCATCACAGCACTAACCAGGCCTTGTCCTGCTCAGCGGTCTGACGGGTTCTGCCTTTCACATGAAGGTGGCACTATAAAAGATACTACGATTATCCGACCAGAGAAAAGTTAAAAGTGTTGAATAAGTGATAATACTTCATTATGATTTATTTTTATTTTTATTTTTGAGATCAACATAAAGAAGAAACGACAACATGAGTCCTGATCTGCGTGGTCTTGGTCCTGGTTCTGTAGCTTAGGTCCTGGATCTACAGCCCGTCCGTCCGTGTGGAGCGGATCCCTCTCTCCAAGTGGGTCTCCCTGAGGTTTCTCACTTTTCCTTCACTGGGTTTTAGAGTTTCTCCTTGCCGATGCAGGAGGGTCTGTGGGCAGTTAGTGTCTAACAAGAAAGACTGTGCTGATGATCCAGGACACTTTAACATTCTACAACATTCATGGACATCGGTCTCTCCCTTTGGACCAACTCATAGGTGTTCTATTTTTTAGTGTTTGAACTGTTTGCTTCTCTGATCTGTGTTGGTGATTTCAATGGTTTTGTTAAGTCCTCAGAGAGATCTAGTGTTGTGATTTAGGGATATATGAGAAGAAATTGAACTTAATTGAATTTAACATGACAAAATAGACAAAAGGTTACTGTTGTGATCACATAGAAAGTGGGTCATTATCAGTTGGAAAAAACAATAAACAACTGAAACTGTTTTTGTAACATTTTGTAACGTCAGAATATTGCTTTATCCTCAGTTTAAAAAAACATTGCAAATGATTCCCAAGTGATCATGGGATCAGAATGAGCCTCACATGAGTCTGTGATTTTAAATAATTCATCTCTTATTATTTTACACTTTTTCAGTGGTCCATACAGATGTATCATTCTGGATCCTACACAATATACACATCATAATAATATACCAATAGATTAGCCTTTCACAACGTGCAGAGCCCAGAGTTAGCGGTGCACTAGTTTAGATAAAACACCCAAAAACAAGAATAAAACTTGCACTGTCTTTAAATGTACAAACTTTACCTTTATTTGTCAACTTTGTAAGATAAGATAAGATAAACTTTATAGATCTCACAATAAAGAAATGTACATGTCACATTTGGCACAGATAGAATCACTTGCAAAAGACAGAAGTGTGAAACCTGTTGAAGGTTCAAATAGAGTCTCTTTTGTGCAAGAAAAAAAATAAAGTGGCAATAGCAGTGCAAGTTTTTCAGTCCAAGTGACTTATTGTACAGTCTGACAGTAGTGGGGATGAAGGCCCTGTGGTAGCACTTCTTCTTGCACTGCAGATAAGAGCTTTTTTTGTCCGATTGTGGGGAAATGTCGATGTTGCAGCGCACATGCAGGGTCAGAGCTCACAGGGAGCACATATACAGAATCAGCTGGTGACAGCCGGAGCAAATACATTTAAATGTACTTACTGTTTTATGAATTTGTTTTCCTTTTACAGTCATAACATGACACCATAGGCTTTTACGAGTGTAATGCGCAGTGGGTTCTTGTATGTTGAAGTGTCCATATGCAGACACTGGAGGCCAAGTCTAAAATTGTAAGATGTAAGCAGTTCTGACTTGAGGCCAGAGTCTGAGATCTGCAGAGAGCGTTTCAGATAACAGGTGACACATGTGTGTGTATGTAACCTTTTTGACCATTTCATGTGCAGATATGCCCATCATGTGTGCAAAATAACATTTGAGATACATTTGGCCACAGAAGTAGAACACTTGACATGCCAGCCTGGATATTCATATGACTTATCCAGAAGTATCCCTTACACAGGTCCATGTGTGGCAGCTGCCTCAGCTGTATCTCAGCCCAGCTCTGCTCAGTAACACTCAGTAGGCACTCAGCAGGCGTATGTGAATCCCTCATCTGAGCTAGGACAATCTGTCAAACATTTAGTGTCATTAGAAATAGAAACAGTATGTGCCCCATATGTGTTGGGGCCGGAGCAGCAGCAGCAGCAGCAGCAGCAGCAGCAGGTACCGCATCAGGACCGACAAAGATGCATGTCATGATCTTTTCAGCATCTTAGCCCTGGTTTCCTCAACCATTTGATGGATCACTTTTTGAGTCACGATATCTACTTGAAACTGAAATCTACCTCAATGGAGCATCTCTGTCACTGGGTTTTAGGCACTTTCACCATCAGACTGCCTCTTAACCATTTTGAGGCCTATAATAAAAGAAAACTAGGGGGTTCAAACAAATATATACATATGTTATTTTGTTGTTAGTGCTTCTACATCTTAGAAAATCCCCAAAATATGCTGGATCACTGGAGTGAATATTAAAGGGTAAATTGCATTATACAAGAAATGATATAATGGATTGATTACCGTTAGGACAGGCAGCTGACTTTGCCAGTCAAGCTGCATAAGGAGTCAGTTTGTGGGAGAAGTATGATAACGTGAGCACCCTCCTCTCCTCCTTCCTACTCTATCTATCTGCATTATTAAGATTTTGACTCTAGTGTGTTCATTGCTATTCACCCGTTGTCCTATTGTCTGTTTCATGGCGCGACAACGGGACCTCTGAACCGGCCCCCTCTATCTCACCTGCGGACTGCCCTGCCCCCCTCCATCTGCACCTGCGGACTGCCCTGCCCCCCTCCATCTGCACCTGTGGACTGCCCTGCCCCCTTCCATCTGCACCTGTGGACTGCCCTGCCCCCCTCCATCTGCACCTGTGGACTGCCCTGCCCCCTTCCATCTGCACCTGTGGACTGCCCTGCCCCCTTCCATCTGCACTTGTGGACTGCCCTGCCCCCTTCCATCTGCACCTGTGGACTGCCCTGCCCCCCTCCATCTACACCTGTGGACTGCCCCCCTCCATCTGCACCTGTGGACTGCCCCCCTCCATCTACACCTGCGGACTACCCTACCCGACCCGCCTGGGAGCTCTTCATTCCTGCACCGGACCTGTCCACGCTCTGCGGCCGCTGCGTGGCATTGGTCCTTGTTCTGTAGCTTCCTGGATCTATAGCCCGTCCATCCGTGTCGGAGTGGATCCTTTTCTCAAATGTGAGTCTCACCGAGGTTTCTAACTTTTTTTCCCACTGGGTTTTTGTGAGTTTTTCCTTGCCGATGCAGGAGGGTCTGTTGGGCAGTTCCAACTAGAAGGACTGTGGTGATGATCTAGGACACTTTAACATTCTACAACATGTATGGACATTTATCAACATTCATGGACATTGGTCTCTCCCTGTGGACCAGTTCATATGTTAATATGTTGTGTTTTAACTGTTGATTCTCTGATCTGTGTTGGTGATTTCAATGGTTTTGTTAATTCCTCTGAGATGACTGCTGTTGTGATATAGGGCTATACAAGAAACGTTGTTGTTGTTGTTATTGATTGACTGCGGAACCTTCCGCAGTCAACCATTGGTTTTGTATTTCTTTATTCCGTCATTTTTTTTGACACGTTTCACAGCTTTCACATTTTCAACAATTTCCACAAGTTATACATCAAAACGTTCCACATGTTTGGGAGATTATTGCTATTACTTTTGGGACTTCAGCGATTTCCGGTTTTTCCGCAATCGGACAAAAATCTGCATTGAGAATTCTGCAATGCATTTTAATAGGCCCATGCATTTTAATAGGACTTCAGCTCTTTCAGACATTTCTACAGTTTCAATGATTCAACAGTTTCAAGGATTCAACAGTTTCAAGGATTTCAGCAGTTTCAAGATTTCAAGAGTTTCAAGGACTTCAACAGTTTCAAGGACTTCAGCAGTTTCAAGGACTTCAGCAGTTTCAAGGACTTCAGCAGTTTCAAGGACTTCAGTGTAATCATGCAACCTAATAGGGATTTTTCCATGTAAACCAGTATAATGCAACTTAATAGGGATTTTTCCATGTAAACCAGTATAATGCAACTTAATAGGGTTTTTTCATGTAAACCAGTATAATGCAACTTAATAGGGTTTTTTTTCATGTAAACCAGTATAATGCAACTTAATGGGGATTTTTCCATGTAAACCAGTATAATGCAACTTAATAGGGGTTTTTACATGTAAACCAGTATAATGCAACTTAATAGGGTTTTTTCCATGTAAACCAGTATAATGCAACTTAATAGGGTTTTTTCCATGTAAACCAGTACAATGCAACTTAATAGGGATTTTTCCATGTAAACCAGTATAATGCAACTTAATGGGGATTTTTCCATGTAAACCAGTATAATGCAACTTAATGGGGATTTTTCCATGTAAACCAGTATTATGCAACTTAATAGGGATTTTTCCATGTAAACCAGTATAATGCAACTTAATAGGGATTTTTCCATGTAAACCAGTATAATGCAACTTAATGGGGATTTTTCCATGTAAACCAGTATTATGCAACTTAATAGGGATTTTTCCATGTAAACCAGTATAATGCAACTTAATAGGGTTTTTTTCATGTAAACCAGTATAATGCAACTTAATAGGGTTTTTACATGTAAACCAGTATAATGGAACTTAATAGGGGTTTTTACATGTAAACCAGTATAATGGAACTTAATAGGGGTTTTTACATGTAAACCAGTATAATGCAACTTAATAAGGATTTTTACATGTAAACCACTATAATGTAACCTAATAGGGGTTTTTACATGTAAACCAGTATAAAGCAACTTAATAGGGATTTGTACATGTAAACCAGTATAATGCAACCTAATAGGGATTTTTCCATGTAAACCAGTATAATGCAACTTAATAGGGATTTTTCCATGTAAACCAGTATAATGCAACTTAATAGGGATTTTTCCATGTAAACCAGTATAATGCAACTTAATAGGGATTTTTCCATGTAAACCAGTATAATGCAACTTAATAGGGATTTTTCCATGTAAACCAGTATAATGCAACTTAATAGGGATTTTTCCATGTAAACCAGTATAATGCAACTTAATAGGGGTTTTTACATGTAAACCAGTATAATGCAACTTAATAGGGTTTTTTTCATGTAAACCAGTATAATGCAACTTAATAGGGATTTTTCCATGTAAACCAGTACAATGCAACTTAATAGGGATTTTTCCATGTAAACCAGTATAATGCAACTTAATAGGGTTTTTTTCATGTAAACCAGTATAATGCAACTTAATGGAGATTTTTCCATGTAAACCAGTATTATGCAACTTAATAGGGATTTTTCCATGTAAACCAGTATAATGCAACTTAATAGGGTTTTTTTCATGTAAACCAGTATAATGCAACTTAATAGGGTTTTTTTTTCATGTAAACCAGTATAATGCAACTTAATGGGGATTTTTCCATGTAAACCAGTATAATGCAACTTAATAGGTTTTTTTTTTTACATGTAAACCAGTATAATGGAACTTAATAGGGGTTTTTCCATGTAAACCAGTATAATGCAACTTAATAGGTTTTTTTTTTACATGTAAACCAGTATAATGGAACTTAATAGGGGTTTTTCCATGTAAACCAGTACAATGCAACTTAATAGGGATTTTTCCATGTAAACCAGTATAATGCAACTTAATAGGGTTTTTTTCATGTAAACCAGTATAATGCAACTTAATAGGGTTTTTTTCATGTAAACCAGTATAATGCAACTTAATGTGGATTTTTCCATGTAAACCAGTATAATGCAACTTAATAGGGATTTTTCCATGTAAACCAGTATAATGCAACTTAATAGGGGTTTTTACATGTAAACCAGTATAATGCAACTTAATAGGGTTTTTTTCATGTAAACCAGTATAATGCAACTTAATAGGGATTTTTCCATGTAAACCAGTACAATGCAACTTAATAGGGATTTTTCCATGTAAACCAGTATAATGCAACTTAATAGGGTTTTTTTCATGTAAACCAGTATAATGCAACTTAATGGGGATTTTTCCATGTAAACCAGTATTATGCAACTTAATAGGGATTTTTCCATGTAAACCAGTATAATGCAACTTAATAGGGTTTTTTTCATGTTAACCAGTATAATGCAACTTAATAGGGTTTTTTTCATGTAAACCAGTATAATGCAACTTAATAGGGTTTTTTCATGTATAATGCAACCTAATAGGTTGCATTATACCACCAGACCAAGACCCAAACGAAGACTCAGACCACCACCAGATAATGACCACAGACCAGGTTTCCTTAGTTACAGGAACCAAATTGTTTCAGCGGTGAGGGGATTTTTCAGTTTCAAGGACACTTTCAATACATTCAGTAGTTTCAAGGATTTCAGCTGTTTAAGAATTTAACCAGTTTCAAGGATATCAGGAGGTTCAAGGATTTCAGGAGTTTCCACACTTTCAACAGTTTCCAGGTTTAAAAAAGTTTCAAGGATTTCAGGAGTTTCAATGTTTCAACAGTTTCAAGGATTTCAGGAGTTTAAAGGTTTCAACAATTTCAAGGACTTCAGGAGTTTCAAATATCTATCAAGTATTTTAACAGTTTCAAGGCTTTTTAAAGGATTTCAAGGATTTTTTTTAGCAGATTTCCACATTAGATCTGTTCCGCAGTCAATCGCAATGGCTTCAGCCATTGCAAGTTTCTAGTTTACAAAATAAACTTTACATATATTTTGGTTTGATAAAATAATTAAACCTTTTCTCAGGGTGAAATGTTTCAGTGTCAAAATGTTTACACTAAGGACTACCTTCCAAAACTAAACATATATATCAGTTAAGTGAATAAATGCCTTTGGAAATGTTTGGGCATGCTGAATTACACAAAACAGACAAACAAGAAGTGTATGTTTTAAAACACGATAGAAGAACAGCTACTGTGAATAAAATGGCGATATCACCTCTGGTGTCAGTCTAAGTGTTTTCTTCACAGTAATAGGTCACCTCTGGAAAAGAGGTACTGACATTATGAAGTCCATTGGCTTTGGTTTATTATCATATATGAATATAATGTGCGTATACACATTCATTCTAAAACGTTTGACATGTAGTGTACTGCTGTAGCCTGGCCTTCGCCATTCGTACGCTCCGGTCAATCATCATTTTCCTAAATGTAATCTGTACTTTGGAGTGGTGCCCCAGGCTGGTGCTGCTGTAGTTCCTCTGCTGTCAACAGCGCCTCCTAGTGTATAATTCATATCATTGTCTTGATAAAAGATTGTAAGATTCTGAAGCACAGCCATGACAGGTGTGTATAAGTGTGTTATATACATATGTATTTTATTCTTAAGTCTTTAACAATTCAAATATTTCTATGTATAAAACACATATATACGCAGGGTCAGAGCTCACATTGAACTCATCTACTGTCCACCTACAAAGACCCGTCTGACTAAGTGGATTAAGGAGAGAAAATCTCTTGTTGGGTGAGAAACGACCTGTCCATATGTCTCACAGACAGCGTCCTGCACAAGGCTCAGATGATTAGGGTCAGTCGCACACAGTCGCACACTATGGCCACAAACACACATCCCCAGGCTTATGCTGGAATACAACCAGTTATAACATCACATCAACAAGTTATGTACGCAACCATTTTGTGTGTGTGTAAAAGCAATATTTATCCATGTGTTCCAAAAGGGACAATAATGTGTGTTCTTGTTTCTCTCAGTGGGTCACATGACTCAGCATGTGGTCCTCAACAACTCTACAGACACACACACATCTCTGCAGGCTCAGACACACACACATCTCTGCAGGCTTAGACACACACACATCTCTTCAGGTTCACACACACACACACACACATCGCTCCACGTTCAGACACACACACACACACACACATCGCTCCACGTTCAGACACACACACACACACTCAGAGCAGGGCACACAGAGAAGACGCTGTAGAACTATGACCACTGAGGAGACCGACCGAGTGCAACGCAGCAGAGGATTTGTGTGTTTCTCTTATTGAAAAAAGGTAAGAAAACCAAATAATGCTCTCTTATCTTTGTTTAAATTCTCTTCAGCTCTAAGTTATAGTTCACAGGAATTCATGTTTTTCAGCAGTAAAAACATCTGTAAGGAAGTAATAGACATTTTTGATATTACTCTGACGGACATTCCAAACAACTCATCTCCATAGCAACAGTCATATACAGTGGACCCCAAATGCCCCTTTAACACCAACAATAATATCTTTCCCCAGACATGAAACTGAGATGACAATTGATGACAGAACGATGAGAAGTTTAACAGTGAGCACGGTGAGCCTCAAGCTGGGATCCACCTTTATAAATGTTCATGAATTGTACAAACATTTACAACATATTTTGGAGCAGGAGACGGGCAGAAAGCAGAGGACCTTCCACGTCTGTGACATCAGACACACAGCAGTGAACCTGGGCACAAATGTCAGTCTTTCTGCCTCACAAGACTTCCCTGCGGTGGGTTTCTGTGCTAATCTTTGTTATGTTGATGCTTTAATCTGCGCCGTGAGGTCAGTGCTTCATGTTTGTCTGTGCAGCAGGTCACACACCCTCAGTTTGAGGCGGACATCGAGGCGTTTCAGGCCCATTACTCACAGGCTGCAGTCTCCGTCAAGTGCGTGACACTTTCATGGACCGAGGATACTGCTTTAAAATGTGAACAACAATCAGATTTGATTTCTTTATTTCTAGAGAGTTTGTAACAATTAATGAAGTGGATGTTGATCTCATCGTCAAGTCTGACTTTTTTAAAGTAAGTGAACTTGAAGATGCATTCAAATAAAGTGGCAGCTAACACTAGCAGTGGCTGAGTGGTTAGCACTCTCACTTCTCTGCAAGACGGACCTGGCTTCGAAACCTGGTCGGAACAGTGCCTTTCTGAGTGGAGTTTGCATGTTCTCCCTGTGGTTCCCCTAGCACTAAAAACATGTACAACAATAGGAAGATCCAGCGGCCTGAGCATCACCTGGAGATGAGCCCTGGCCATCTCCAGTTCTGTTGGCCGCACTTATGAAAAGGTTCTTTGAGCAGATGAAAGACTGTGGTGACAGTAGCTGCAATCTGAGGAGGTTAGAGGAGGTTTTTGTGAATGGCCAGTGAGTAAAGAGAAACTGTAAGTGTTCATCAGGAGGATCTTCTACAGCTCCTCAGGCAAGAATATATTTATATTGATTGAGGTCTTAAGGGGAGAGTGGGGAGAGGGAAAAGTAGAGAGAGATCTTGTAAACCTGGACAAGGGCTGAAGATCCGCTTAACTCTTTTACTAATATAACGTTCTGTTTAATAGGTACTTGTTACAAAAGCTTGGAACATAGATTCATCTGAACCAATCATAATACGGCTTCGCTTGTCCTTGTCTCAGTATCTAGAAGGTCCTGGTAAGTGCATGTTCTCTCCATCACATTTACTTTATCATTCAAATGTAGCTAAAGCATCTGTCTGCTCACAGCCCCCACAGTCCAGGTGTTTCAGCCGTCAAACAAACAGGATTTTTGCATCGGAAAACAACTTCAAAAGTAAGTTAATGCATGTATATATATACTGTAAATAGGTGCTCACAAATGCAGAAAGTTTAAAGTAGTGGTTCTCAACAAGTGGGACTGCACCGAAATGTGGGTCACAAGATCCTCTAAACTTAATGCACTGCAAGAAAAGTCACCAAGAGGTCAAACTTAATTTTTTCCCTTGATTTAATTCAATTCCAATTATTTTGTAAGCCCTAAATCACAACAACGGCCATCTTGGAGGACTTACAAAGCTGATTCCTCAACAACAGATCAGAGAATCAAAGCACAGGAAATGCAATCATAATAATCCACTGGTCCATGAGGGCGGGACAACCTCTGTCCAGACATGTTCATATATGTCCTTAAATGAAACAGACAATGGGACAGTGGGTGAATAGCAATGAACAAACTACAGCTGAAGTCATAATGATGAAGAGGAAGAGGAGAGGAAAGTGCTGAAGAGAGTCTCCAAATGCAGTCTGATAATCTTTTGACATTTTTTTGGTATGTTTTATTTCTTAGTCTAACTTCGCCATTTTCTAAATTAAAGAGGAGTTTTAAACCTGGGCTCAAATATAAAGTCAGTCAGTGTAGTTTGTGAGTTTGGCTGACATGATACTAACGTGTCTCGGAGAGAGCCCAACTATTCATGGCCTTGTTTGTTAAAAGAAAGATTTACATAAATAAAATCTGGCTCTCACTGCTTATGTTGATGGTCGACATCTTTCCAGTTGAGAACCACTGGTTTCTTTTCACATTGTTTTTTTATTTTATTTAAACAATTTCTTCAAGACAAATAAACCCCGATGCTGCATTGATGAATATTGTCTAAAAAATACGATTTGTCTTTTCAGTATTTTGACAGCATTTATTCGTAACGAGTGGAGAAACTTTTCAAATGAAAAGATGGTCAGCCATCTCAAAAAGACTCACAGCTGGTTCAGACCATCAGGGACCATCAAGAGGTTCAGAGCAAGACTCAACGTATGGCAGCCGTCATCAAAGTACACCTTCCTTTGGGCATTGAACATTTTAATTTTAATTGAAATATTCCTTTGGGCGGCAAAACAAGTGTTTGACTAATTTCTTACTATGTTTAGGTCGAAAGAGCCACAAAAACCCAGTGGAAAAAGTAGGATTTTTTTGTCCAATATGAAACTTAAAAGCTACTCAAACACAATCGCTTCATATGCCGTCAAAAACCCCATGGGAGAGCTGTTCGCCTACACACCGAGCGGAGAAGTGAGTTCAGTTCTGTTCACAAATTACAATTTTTATTTGCTTTTTTTTCTGACAAATAATTTTCATTTCCTCAACAGCGAGTGATGGTTTCAGCTTTAAAGTCGTCAGCGCAGCTCAGCACCAAACACCTGATCGATCTCCTGTTCTCCGCTCAGGCCATCTCCCACTGCAAGGCCGTCCCCACTCTGCAGCACGGCTTCTTTGTACAGGTACACACACACACACACACACACACATATACACGCACACACCCACGCGCACACACACACACACACGCAAGCATACACACACACACACAGACACACACACACACTTAGACTCACACACACACACGCACACACACACATACACACATATACACGCACACACAGAGACATATAGACACAGGTTCATATAGACAAAGAGACATATTGAGACACACATGCACACGCACAAACACACACACACACACACACACAGACACACAGATACACACACAATTGGAAATGTGGAAATGGGAAAACCAAATCGATTAAAAACAATCTTCCTAGTTCCAAGTTGGCTGCACCGCAAAATAAACTGTCAACTAAAACAGGATCTCCTTTTGTTCTGTTTCCCAAACTTTAAAGTTGATCAATCACTGAGCCATGGTGATGACTGCGTGCCATAAACCAGTACAAAGTGCTGTAAAACACTAAAAAAATAAAAACATTAAAAACAAAACATTTTTACACCTTTATTACACTATTATATATCAATAAATCTTTATTTGTAGAGTGCTTTTCATACACGAGGAAACTGTGGAGAGCTGAAACGAAGAAATGCAAAAATAATGATTTAATGAGAACAATAAAATGTAAGTCCAACGGAAAAACAAACTCAAAATCCAAACAGAACCAGGAACACAGACAATGGACCAGCAACAAGAGGAGAGGAGCACAGGTACATATAGATAGACACAGGTACGTACAGATAGACACAGGTACATATAGATAGTCACAGGTACATATAGACACAGGTACATATAGATAGCCACAGGTACATATAGACACAGGTACATATAGATAGCCACAGGTACATATAGATAGCCACAGGTACATATAGATACAGGTACATATAGATAGCCACAGGTACATATAGACACAGGTACGTATAGATAGACACAGGTACATATAGAAAGTCACAGATACATATAGACACAGGTACATATAGACACAGGTACATATAGACACAGGTACATACAGTATAGACACAGGTACATATAGACACAGGTACATACAGTATAGACACAGGCACATATAGACACAGGTACATATAGACACAGGTACATAAAGACACAGAGACATATCGACACAAGTACATATAGACACAGGTACATATAGACACAGGAACATATAGACATAGGTACATACAGTATAGACACAGGCACATATAGACATAGGTACATACAGTATAGACACAGGCACATATAGACACAGGCACATATAGACACAGGTACATATAGAAAGTCACAGATACATATAGACACAGGTACATATAGACACAGGTACATATAGACACAGAGACATATAGACACAGAGACATATAGACACAGAGACATATAGACACATAGACATATAGACACAGGTACATATAAACACAGGTACATACAGTATAGACACAGGCACATATAGACACAGGTACATATAGACACATAGACATATAGACACAGGTACATATAGACACAGGTACATATAGACACAGGTACATATAGACACAGAGACATATAGACACATAGACATATAGACACAGGTACATATAGACACAGGTACATATAGACACAGGTACATATAGACACATGTACATATAGACACAGGTACATATAGACACAGGTACATATAGACACATAGACATGTAGACACAGGTACATATAGACACAGAGACATATAGACACAGAAACATATAGACACAGGTACATATAGACACAGGCACATACAGTATAGACACAGGTACATATAGACACAGGTACATATAGACACAGAGACATATAGACACATAGACATATAGACACAGGTACATATAGACACAGGTACATATAGACACAGGTACATATAGACACATGTACATATAGACACAGGTACATATAGACACAGGTACATATAGACACATAGACATATAGACACAGGTACATATAGACACAGAGACATATAGACACAGAAACATATAGACACAGGTACATATAGACACAGGCACATACAGTATAGACACAGGTACATATAGACACAGGCACATATAGACACAGGTACATATAGACACAGGTACATATAGACACAGAGACAAATCAGGGCGGGGCTGACAACAGGGGAACAGGACAGGAAGTCAAACTAAACTAAAACCACAGGGACAAGAAGTCAAAATAAACACAAAATCACACCATGAGAGTAAAACAAAGTTTTTCACAGACCATAAATCATCATATAAACAATGAATACATTAACAACCTTAACATGAGGCAATGCAATCTTTGAAATATTAAATTAAACAAGGGATTAGAAAAACAGATAACCATAGTGCATTAAAAGAGAAGAGATATTACACTTTTACACCCATATTACTCTACGACACAAACATCCAGTATCTTCTCTTGTTCTCTTGTAAATTGTATTAAATTGACATAAAGTGTTTTTCTCACCACAGATAATGAAGTACGCAGAGCAAAGACTTCTGACACTAAACGAGTATTGTGTCATTTGTGACGAGAAGCACGTGTTTCAGACCGGCCCACTGTTAAAGGTACAACACTTTAACTAGTTACGTACATAATAAATACAATGTCACTCACACAATGTCTTTGCAGCCTGCGGTTTGCACGAGGGAACTGTGTGCTTTTTCCTTTTACACACTTGGAGTCATGTCTGAAGCTACAGAGGAGGTCGCGACTGGAGCAGAGGTAGGCCTCACACTGATCTTGCTTTTAATGTTTTTTTTTTTTTTCAATGCATATAATCTGTTCTCTTCCAAATTGAAATCTTAATCCATCTTAAACCCATCAATGTTTTCTCCTTGAAGAAAACAATGTATTTTTTGTATTTATTTCTTAGATCAGGGATGTCAAAGTCAAATACTACAGAGGGCCAAAAAAAGCAACAAAAAGACAAAAAAAAGATTTGCTACAAGCCGAGAGCCGGATTGGTTCAATGTTTATTAAAATGATTGCATAAAACCTATTGAACCAAGACCTAACACGGTGGGACGTATTTTATTTAATGATTAAATGAAAAATCCAATATTTTTTTGGCTCAGTCTGTCATTTCAAGTGAACACATTTTCCGACTAATCAAATACTGTATCATCCTGGGGGCCAAGATAATTCATTCACGGACTGGATCTGGCCCCCGGGCCTGGACTTTGACACCCCTGTCAGTGAAGAGAAAACCAAATGTGCAAACAAATAGTTCATTGTAGATATGTTTATTGTCCGAGCAAATGTCAAACACGCAATCTGCAGTTTCCCACCACGGCCATATTTACAGTAACGTCTTTATTTTTATTTACAAAACTTAATCGTAACACAAGTCATACACATTGTAATTTGTAAAGTTTGTAAATGCTTTGTAAAATGGAACTCCCAGGAAGCTGCATTAGCAATAATCTTTATACATTCTTAAACCCAATTTGGAAACATTTAAGGCAAGGCAAGGCAAGGCAAGTTTATTTATATAGCACAATTCATGCACAAGGCAACTCAAAGTGCTGAACAAAACAAGAAAGCATTAAAATCATAAATAATCACAGAACATTAAAAAGAAAGATAAAAATATAAAATCCCTCAGTTGTATGCACAGCTAAACAGGACTGTCTTTAACCTGGTTTTAAACATTGTCAGAGAGGAGGCCTGTCTCACATCTTCAGGAAGATTGTTCCAGATTTTAGCAGCATGAATCTGAAAAGCAGCCTCCCCATGTTTAGTCCTGACTCTGGGCACTAACAGGAGTCCAGTCCCTGTGCTCCTCAGAGTCCGGGCTGGTTCGTATGGTACTAACATGTCACTAATATATTTTGGTGCGAAGCTATGGAGAGATTTATTTTTTCTTTACACAATTTATTGAGTATTTTATGATATTCCATTTTCACTTTTCACATTTATTCCACATTCCATTTTACAGTCATTCATGGACAGGTGGATGACAAATACTCCCAAATTGAGTGCAAATAGTGAAACACATGTATATTCAGTCTAGTTTATATTCTATTCTATTACACACAGTAATGTAACATCATCCATGTACAGTGAACAACAATAATGAAACCTCTCAGATTGCGTGACTGTTTTTAGGTTCTCGGTCTTTGGGGTTTCATGATGATGTATAATGTTGGAATCATTTGTGTTTTTAATTATCTCGATTGTGTCATTAAAGTCTCCAGTTGATTCCAGTTATTTAACCCTGTGGCCAAATTAAATTAATGAAGTTACATTAATAGACGCAAAACCATCTCAAACTAATTTAACGTTTGAGAGAAATGAGGGCTACAGAGGGTCAGTTTTGTCAGGTGCTCGTCGGGATCAGCAGTGACCAAAACACTGGAAACATTGAAGAAAGGAGGTAGCTTTAAAGGCATACAGGAGGATTTTCTACTTCCGGGTGGATCATCCAGACTATTGGTTCTCCCAATTGTGTCAATCATTCTGATACGTGCTCGTCAAATAAGACCAGAGAGCTTTGTTCAAAAAGTGGAGAGGGCGGTTCTTTCCTAAAATTTGGTAATATGGTATATATCTTTGAATTATTGACAAATCACCACTGCACTATATTCATATATTTGGAAGGAGATGAATTTTATTTTTCTGTCAAGAGTTTTCCCCCACACCTCATGTAGCTGCTGTCACATTCAGGTGATCGACCTGCTGGTGGCCATGTGCAGAGCGGCTCTTCAGTCCAAACGCAAAAGCATCATTTTTGAGCCTTATCCGTCGATAGTGGATCCATGCGACCCCAAATCCCACGTCTTCACTCCTAAGGTCAGTATAACAAAGTACTATTATACATTTTTAACGTTAATAATGATAATGGCTTTTCTGGACCACCCCCAGCGTTCACCCACTCACCACACTCACACTCACACTTACAGGACTCTTTCAATCCACTTTATTGTAATAGCAATTTGATAAAACAGAGATAAAAGTAACACATTTTAATATACAGGTTTGCCAGTTGTATATGTATCAGAAATAGAATAAGTAAAACAATCATGATATTAAAAGGTAAAAACAATACAAATTGAATAAAAAAATTAAAAAAACACTAGTTATCCAATATTTACTTATTTAAACTTCATTCTTTATTGAACACCATATAACATACAAACCATCCGACAACATTAAGACACATAATAACTGAATATGCTCTTTTCTACTTTTTATCAAAGCATAAATGACTATATACTTATGTAAAGATGTGTACATGCATAAAGATATATCACATTTTCCACACATTGTTCATGCAGCTTACTTGTTGTTGACCCTCTTCACCACTAGGTTGCACTGTAGAACACATATTGGGGCGGCACGGTGGCTGAGTGGATAGCACTCTCGCCTCTCAGCAAGAAGGTCCTGGGTTCGAATCCTGGCCGGACCAGGGCCTTTCTGAGTGGAGTTTGCATGTTCTCCCCGTGTCTGCGTAGGTTTCCTCCGGGTACTCCGGTTTCCCCTACCACTAAAAACATGCACAATAGGTCTGGCATGCGCCTCCTGTTCGGCGACCCCGCTCCCATCTCTGTGTGGAGTGAGAGGATAAGTGCCCAAAAATAACAATTGTAAACCGCTTTGTGACTCTGGTCTGTGAAAGGCGGTATATAAATAAAGATTACTTACTTACTTACATACTGTGCTGTATGTGACATCATAACTGACCGTTTACTCAATTATTGATATCATTGCAGAGGAAGAACTATGAAAGGTTGCAAGCTGCTTTGGACAGTGTCTTGTTGGTGAGACAGCTTTCACAGGTGACCATTACATTCATATACACGTTTACATAATAATCGCTTAATATCAAAGTATTTTTTAATTCCACGTCAGGGCCCATACTGTGATCTTAAAAAGCAAATGGATGAGATGGACCCTTTAGCACAACCCTTATTACAATGGTAAGAGCAAGAGTTTAATGAAGGTTGTTCTCATGAGTTTATATAGAGTCATTTTATCTGAACGCTGCAAAAACTGATAAAATATGAAGTAGTAATTGCAGGAATTGAGTGCTTTTTTTATCTCAATTTTAGGGAATTCTCACTAAAACAAGATTTGCCAATGGGACAAAGCCATTTAGTCTTATGGCAGTTATAATGTGCTCAAGTAAAGATACATTTTCCCCAAATTTGAGCAATTTCTGGCCCATTTGTCATCACTTTTTGCAGTGAAGGCCAACATCAAAACGTCCTACTTAAATCCAAAACTTCAACAGAAACGATCCTTATAAGTTAAATGTTTGCACGAGCCGGTTGGAATGGATACTTGATAAAAACAGGTGAAACTCCAGTTACCTCTGTGAATACTTCTGTAATTCATCTTACACGTATGTGATAGACCGACTGCAGGCAAAGTGGTGATGATGGCAAGACTTTATTTGTTCTTATGTTGATAATTGGCTCTCGTGTAAAATTGTAAAATAAAACATCAACAGAAAATTTGAATATCCAAATTATGACAAACAAATGAACCCACTGTGGGACGAATACAGGATTTCTTCATCTTAATCTTAAAGTTGGAATATGTGACACGGCGTTTGTGTGTTAACCTTTTACAATATTATTATTTATCGATTCGTTTGAGCATCTGTTAAAACACATGCAAGAAATTCAACTCAGAATTGATGCAAAAAGTACAAAAACACTAAAATTACATACAAAGAGTGCACATAAAACATGATGCTCAAAAAGAGTAGGAGGAAGTTTAAAACTATATGGGAGGAAATTATTCTTTTATTAAGTGTGGATTATATTTTTTCATGTTTTTAGATTTCAATCCTTGCTTGTAGGGAATCCAAGGTCTGGTTTATATCATACTTTAGTTTCACATTTCAAGTTGAATTAATGAAATAAATGAACTTCGGAACAGTATTCTAGTTTTCCGAGTAAAAGCGTTCACTAATAAAAAGTGGGGGAAAACTGTGTTCATTAATGTTCTTTAAGAAAAGGCTAGTTATGGATCAATAATAGCGATTTGTATCATTCTAATCTGTACATAATCTCTAATATTGAGTGCACATCTTTGACAGGATTTTAGAAAGCAACAGATCTCAGATGATCAAGCTTCCACACAGCAGGGTAACGTCGACTCGTGGTAGATGTTGTGAATAGACATGTCGTATAAGTGAACTACTTTTTAGTCATTTTTGTTGTAATTTTAACCAATTGTTTGAAATTGTATTCACGGATTATGACTTGTTCGTACAGCAACTAAAGTTCATGCACACGCCTCACCAGTTCCTACTCATCTGCAGTCCTCCTTACAAAGAAGTACGTTTTCAAATGGCCAGAAAGTTGTATGGCAGCACCTTCGCTTTCCAGTAAGTTCGACCTTCTACTTGGTTTTTCAATCACGTAAATAATTATTAATCAATTCTGGTAAACTTTTTTTCTCACATACAGTGGTTCCCATATTGAAAACTGGCACTCTATTTTGAGAAATGGTTTGATCAATGCCTCTTTTACTAAATTACAGGTACATTCACTTGTGGCAACTGTGTTTTTACTGAATTTACTGAAATGGATAATTGTCTTATTCCCAGCTTCATGGAGCAGTTTATGGAAAAGGGATTTATCTGAGTCCGAGCTCAGGGGTCTCCTTTGGTTATTCAGGTAAGATTTAAGTTTTGTCTTGTTCTTGTGTTGATGCCATTATGACAAATATGTTTTTAGACATGGGCTACAGTCAACACAATCTGTCAAGTAAAGAAGAACTGAAGAGTAAATACAATGGAATCAACAGACCAATGGTACTTTCTATAGATCTAGGTTTGGATTCATTTATTAATCTGTGACTCTTGATCATGTCAGGAGGAGCCAGCGAACGCAGCAAACGCAAGATTTCTCAAAAGCAAAAATATAAACTGCGTCGCACTTTGTGAAGGTAAACAGAGATGATCATTCATAAGTGTAAACATGAGTGATTCCTGGTTGTTCTTTTTGGCAGTGGTTTTGTCCAAAGACCTTCAGCAGCACGGGAACATTTGGGTTTGTCCAGTTCCAGACCATGTTTGCATCAGATTCCTGTTTGTGTAAGCAGTGAAAGCAGTGAAGCTGAGTCCAGTTGAATTCATCTGTTCACATGTTACAGTATGTCTTTCCTTTCTACAGATATGAAAATGGCCAAGTGGGAGATGTCCACATCAACACTCAGGAAGACCAAATCCATCAGGAAATTATGCAAGCAATCAGCAGTGGCCCCTGCTGAGAAAATGGAATGAACATGTGTTTGCATGAAAGAAACATTAGGGCCACAGCGGATGCTTTTTTTGCCCTTCTTTACGATGGCATTTTATACCACATTATTATTTGAAATGTTTTATTTATTTCGTTGGGTGCTTTATAAAGCCATGTCTCTGTGCTAAGTTGAGTTACACTTCATTGTCCTTGTAGGGAAATGTGTGGTCTGCATTTGACCCAAATCCTTCACTGCCACGAGGGCCTCTGTCAGGAGCACAGCACCGGGAACCATCATCCTCAGATGTTTATGTCTGGCTCAGTCAGGACTCCCAAAGATGGAGGATTTTATGTTATGTACATGTTTTTAGTGGTAGGGGAAAAGGAGCGCCCAGAGAAATCCTCCGTGCACACACACACACACACACACACACACACACACACACACACAAAAACATGCTTTTTTTTCAATCCTGAATGCTTTTAAGTGAAGATTGAGAGCACTTGAGTCATCCTCATTGACACATAACTGTTTTATAATCTGTAATTGTACGTAACTTTGTAACTTTTGATGCCTCTTGGACTCTCTTAAAAAATAAGTTCTTAATCTCCATTGGACTTTCCTGGTTAAATAAAGGTTGAATTAAAAAAGAACATGTGTGAAGGGAGATTGTGGCATGGCTCTAAAGAACCTGAGTGCGTAATGAGAGGCATTGCTCTGGATCGATGGACTGTCCACGGAAAAAGCCAGAAGTCACAGTGTGTTTTTGGGAGAAGAGTCAAAGATCTCGTATGCTGATGTAGTGAAGCTTGATAAGGAAGTGGGAGAAAAGAATGAAGTACAAGAGGAAACTATAGTGTGGATAAAAATAAAATGCTTCTTGACTTGCTTTCATCATCAGCATCTGAGCAGGAGGAAATAGCAGACCGTGCAAATATGATTCTGGGAAATGAACAAACAAATATTGAGGAAATATCACAGGAGATGATTTAGAGACAATGCTAAAAGAAGCATTTGTGTAGAAATAGTAGATTAAATCCAGCTGCTAGATCTGTTTGCTCTGAATGTAAATTTCTCCATTGTGAGATCAATAAAGTTTATCTTATCTTTTCTTATGTTCATGTATTCTGCACACACACAAACATGTGATATATGAACCGCTAACCGCATTTCTCAGATCAGACTTAAAGTTCTCAAAACTATAAGTTCAACCTCCACAACATTGAGTCATGTGTGACATCATCGCAGCAGTTTCTCCTTTGAACACATCACAAATGCTTTTGGACATGTATCATTTACTTTCATACAATTCTATGCTGTTTTATAACATTATCATTTGCTTCTGTCGTGCCAGTCAAAATAAAACATACTCATGGGTGTTAGTATTAGATAGCAATATGGCCTACGTGCAGGACTGTACAAGGACTCCATGTTATGACTATGATGTGACTGTCTCTTTGTGACACGTATGTCTTTCAATGTGTGACGTGACAATGACTATATAAACTGTGTACTGCCTTTATTCTGTCTGAGAGAAAGAAACAGAGTAAACCAGTGGAACTTGAGAGAAACTTAAATAAACTTCCAGAGTTTGGCACACCACGATCCGTCTCTGTCTGCTAAATCCTAACAGATTTGGTGGAGAATGCGCGGCTCGGTTTGTGCCATTCTCTGGATTGTTTTGAGGGAGTTTGCTTTGTTTCTTTTCCTCGGCGTGAGAGACCGGCATGCTGTGTCTGGGTGCGGAGATTCCAGCAGGCTGGAAGAGCTGTTCCTGGATGCTTCTTGTCGCTTCTGTCACTTTTGTTTTTTAAATTGAAGATTCCGACGCGGAAAAGAGTTGGCAGACCTCTCGGACAGCCCGTGCGCACCTGTTTGACAAGAATAAGGTAAGCAGACACCTTTTTATATGTAAAGTCTGCATAATTGGATACTAGCTAAATTTTGGTCTAGTTTTGAGGTCTGTCGAACTCTCTAAATTGTGTTCAAATAAGTGAAAAGTGTTGGCCATTAAAGTGAATAGGATCCATAAAGTGAAAAGTGTTGGCCATTAAAGTGAATAGGATCCATAAAGTGAAAAGTGATGGCCATTAAAGTGAATAGGATCCATAAAGTGTAAAGGCCATAAGTGAGGATCCATAAGTGAAACCATGGTGTAAAATTAAAAGTAATTATAAAAAGGGAAACGTGTTAAGGAGGCCTTTGTTACAAAAGCGTTGAAATTGACGAATTTCAGGCTGATAAATGACAAAAGTAAAGAAGCAACAATATTTCAGTGATCACGGTTTAAATTACATACAGAAAAAGGGAGTTTTTGTTTTTGGAGTGAACAGAGTTCACCGGAGAATGCAGAGTTTTATCTAAAGTTGAGCAATGAGAGCTTTCGTGAGTTATTTACATTTTTTGCCGAGTTATATCTACAGTTAAGCTATGAGAGGGTTGTATCCAACAGTTGTTTTTGTTTTTTAGAAAGAGATTTAGAGTTTAAACTAGTTTGCTACCTCGATAAAATAGAAGCGTACGTTAAAGTAAGAGTGCCTTTTGTTACTAGTGTGGAAAGTGATCACTTCTAGACTTGGATGACAAAAGTTTAAAGAACAACATCAGTTATATTCGCTTTAAAAAGTAATCTTGAAAGTTATTCTTCTTTCTGTTTTGGCATTTTTGCTAAAACACTACTTTCTGCTTGTGTGTGTGTGCGCCGCTCTATCTTGCTGCCGTTGTCAGGGAAACGGCCCCCTCCTTCGCTGCTCTGGCTCTGAATCTGAAGCAAAGCTACTGCTTTTAGGATTTAGGCTTTTCATAGTTGTTATTCAGTTAAATTTGCGAAATTTGCCATTGAACATTCTGTTATGACACAGTTAAACGTTTTTAAACACCATTTAGTAAATATAAGTTTTGAATTAGTATGTTTTTGAAACCCAAAGATTAGTACAAAAATCTTTGCTTTTCTTTTTAAATCTGCTGCTTATTTTTGAGTCCATTATTGTCTCTCTGATATTTCATAGCTGTTTGTGAGAATTTTTTCATGTATTTTTTTTTTTTTTAATTTTAGTTACAAAAGCCGTTTTTCAAACATTTAAATTAGAATCTGTGTTAAAAGTGATTATTGATTATAGACTTCGTCTAAAAATAAAGAGGGAATTAGCATTAGCTGTAAAAGTATTATTAAGTTAAACTACCCAATTCACCCATTGCAAGCGGTGACGTTTTTGTTTTGACTATGCACCTGACCTTGCTGCTGCAGATGCACGCAGCACAGGAGACTGGTCTAAAATGTGCTCCAATTCATACTGACTTCATTTGAAAAATGCTGCAATTATTTTAAATTAGTAAAATATATGCTGAGATAAATGCATAGATAATTAAACACAGTACAAAAGTACATAATACATATTTTAAAGTTTGAAGGTTCAAGAGATTTGAGTCTTGTTTTTTATTAAGAGAGTTTCTGGTCTTAAAAGTGTCATCATTAGTAAGATAATAAGTAATCTTTTATTTACATAGCGCTTGGGAAAACCAGAGCGCTCCAAAATTGTTTTGACTTCAGAGAGAAGAACAATCTCATTCACAATCTCTGTTGTTTTTAATTTGACTATAAGGTTGTTTTCCAGAACCAAGGGCACACACTGTACAGGGCCACTGGACAGCAGGAGTGGACACAGAGGGATCAGAACAGTGGCCCAGAGTAGACACCATCCAACCAGCCGCAGATCGTAAAGGCGACATAGCTACCTCCGTGTGCCCCTCCCCCACTACAGACCGATGGTCGTAGGTGGCAGTGAGACCGGGGCCACAAAGTGAGGTTTTCTGTAGGCAGTGGTGGGTGAGTTGTTTTGCAATCTGGAAGTGTGCCCACTTTGCTTGTTTACATCACCACAGTGTGACCTTTGAGACCTACAGGTGGTTCGAGGAGTCTGGAGACACAACCCCAAAATTTACATACACACACACACACACACATACACACATTCATACACTCACACATTCACATTTACATATAGATACATGAAAAAGCAGAACATGAGAAAAAAGCATTTTAAAAGTTTACTCCAATGTAAACACATTTTTAATTGTCTAGTCAGTATCTAATCAGTATTTTTTGAGACCAGAAATGTTCATTTGAATTCTATATTGTCATGGACTTAATTGACCTCTGTCCTGACACTTTTGATTTGTTGATTTTGTACTGTGTGAAGTAATTACATTGATTAGAATTAGATCTGATAAAAATACAAACTAGAGAAGTAAACTGAATCATTGCGCTTGCTTTTGTCTGAGGGACAGAAGCAACAGCATGAATAGAAATTGTGTTAAAGTAGAATCAAAGTGTCTTAACCATAGAGAGTAACTATTGCATTACAAGCTGTGTACAGGAACTGAGACACTGCACCATTGACCAGAAGTGCATCGCGAACAACGCAAATGACCTGATGTGCTTCAAGTGAAAAGACTGTATCTGGAGATCCTGATGTGCATCTGGAGAGACCAGAACCATGGCTTGGACCCTACTGATGACCAAGATGACATCTCTCTATGACCTGACCTGATGAGGACTGAGACTCATCCTCAGAGAACCTGAGGATCTGAGGACCTGAGAGAGAAAAACTGGGGAGTGATGTTTATATTTCTAAAATCATACATTGATGAGTGCTAAATGAGAGAAATACTCATGATTCTTTCTTTTGTTTTTGTTTGTCCCTAGCTTCTGGACATCTGATGATCTATTGCACACAGACATTTGCAGAACAAGAACCAGCCAATGAAATCGTCTATTGCCGATGCTATTGCTACAACCACAACTGTGACAAATGCAATATACATGTTAAGTATTCAGACATCTGACAGACAAAAACTTTTAAAATGATAAAGTATGAGTATTGTAGCGTTTTATTAGATGTCAAATAGTAGTAAAAGAGTAGAATTTGACTTCCTTTGTTTTTCATAAACATATTTCCACGTAAGAGTTAAAATAGTACCATACAATGTTATCCTTCTGATAGATCAGCTAAAATACTAGAATCAGAGTT